TAGTCAAATTATAAAATTCCAATATCTTCTTAAATTAAAATAGTAACAGAATAAATAAATCTATCTATAAAAAATCCATAACAGTTTATCTTAAATTTATTACTAATTAAGTTTGGTTGGGTACTGTAATAATATCTAATTTTTCTCTTTTGTAGATTGCTAAAACAATAATATTATTTTTAATAAGTTTTATATATATTACTGCAATTATTTGAATAAAAAAAGAATAATGTCATTGATTAGAGTAAAAAATTTTGATTGAGTGCAGAGGAAGCAAAAAATTCATATTAAATTCCCTATTTAAGATTAATTTAATGCATATCAACCACCTTATTAATCAAATATTCATTTTTAACAAGGTGGTTGATATGCATTAATATTATTTATTTGAAATTAAATTTTTTACATATTTAATTGATATATATTTTCATTTGTTTTATAAATTAAATATGTAATTTTGTCAATGTAACAATGAATGAATCTTCTTTTTTCATGAATAGAATGACACTCAAAATTTTTACCAAAAAAGACATTTTAATATGGTTCAAAATTAGTATCTAAATATTTTTTTGAATATTTTGCTCTCTAATTAAATGGTTGTAATATACTTTATGACCATCTTTAAACCTAAATATATTATATATTCTGTAAATTATGAACATATTATAAAATATAAATATTGTTATTTTAATAATATAATATTTAAATAAAGCATAAATTTAATAATATGATATAAAACTAATTGGTTTCATTGTGAACCTATAAGGCAGGTCATATATTCTCCAGCAAAAACTTACTAAAAAATATAATTAATTTTATGTTACATTGCCTAAAACATTACACTTTTTTGATGTTAGTTTATTGTTTGAAAATTTGAAAATAGTATTTTCATCTGATAAAAATACAGAGCTATCATAACCACAACTATAAGATTTATATATCTAATTAGGCAATAGACTAAATAGATAAAAATAGAAAATACTTCATAATGTTTTTTTTGCAAAATTTAGTTCCTTTAATAGTAGAAAATTCAAACTATTATGATTAGCCACATTAATTATATGAATTATCACCCCAAGAAATGAATTATTCATAATTTTTATCATATTCTTATACTCTGATTATACAATGGTAAGCTCCTATTTGAAACTCTCTAGATTAATTTTAATTAGTTACTTGATATGATAATTTAAAATATTAATTCTCATAGGATCAATCATATGTATAATATATTGATCGTCTAATTCTGAACATTAATCAAATCCAAAAACACCATAATCATTACTACCCCACATATAGATATTATTATCTAATGAGAGTGCACCAAAACAAGAATATCCAGTATAAATAGCTTTGGCTTTTAAATTGATTTTACGAGGAATCAATTAACTATTAGTATGATCTGTGCATTATAAATTTATTGTATCTTTGAAAGAATTTAAAACTTTAACCATTCCATTATGATTATAATTTTACATTTTTCCCCATGTGAAAACATCACCTTAATCTGTTCTACAGATTGATATTCCTTCACCTGCAGAAATATCAACAACAAAAAACTAATTTTTATGAAAATATTAAATTTCTTATATTTCCATTGAACTTATCTATGTACCTAATAAAATACTACAAAAGAATTACCATTTCCTAATTAACCATGATCATTATATCCCCATGATAATACATTCCCATCAATAGTAACAGCTAAAGTATGATATAATCCACATGCTATTTTACTAATAGGTTTTAATGTATAAATTTAATATGGTGTACAAACATCAAAATCTTTTTAAGGATCTACTACATCATTTTAAGTAATAGTAGTATCTTCAAAATTTAAAATATTTCCCCATTATGAAACTTCAAAAGATGTATTCACAAAACCAACAGTACTATATATATATATTTAGAAATAAATTACCCATATTTAATTGATGCCATTTTAATTCTATTTTCTTCAATTAAGATTAAACTAAAATCTTCAATTACATAATATTCTTAATCATCTATTTTAATCTATTATGGAATATCAATTAATTCAATAAATGATTATTTTTCATTAAATAATTTAACATTAATTATTCCATCAATAAATAGAGATCCACTTTAAAATGATTTCAAATATATTTTGATAGGATATAATTCTAATTCTGAAGACCATCCATTACAATTCATAGCTTCTATTGAAAGATAGATCATTTCATTAAATGCTAATTCTCCTTAATTTTTAGGATTATTTTTAAATAGTAAATTTTATCTTTAAACATTTTCTTTATTATTATTAAATTCTAATAGAATTCTTTTATTTGGTTATAATGATAAAGATGTATCATTCATATCTAATTAAAAGATTGCATATTTTGTAATTTCATATCCATAATCTTCAGGTTTTTCAAATATTATTGATATTGTTAATTCCTTATCACATTCTCTCTCCACTACTACTTCACTAATAACATCTGGTGGTAATGGATAATGATCATTTAACATTCCATTCTATTATTAACCTACATTTTATTCTTTTTTATTATTAATTTCATTGTTATAATTATCCTCCTTTTATTCATCCTCTTTATTTTTATCTTCATTTTTTTTATTATCCTCTTTTTATTCATCCTCTTTAGCTCTTTAACGTTAATTTGTTTCATTTCTTCCTGTTGCTTGTTGATATATTGAAAAATTGTTTATAGGATCTGCTTATTTATATATAACTATATCCTTCTCCAATAATCCTATTTCTTTTATATTCAAACCTAGATCTTTTACTAATTATTCCAATTAAACAATTATCTTCCTATTCTTACCATAATAATTCTAATTTAATCTCATGAAGTTTTTGTTTTTATAATAGATCAATCTCTAAAGTACTTCTTTCATTCTTGATTAAAATTCTTAATATTTCTGTTTTATATTCTTGCGTTTCTCTTCTAATTAAATACTTAATTCATTATAATCTTCATTTTTAATTGCCTTCTCATTTATTGTTATCTTCAACAATCTCTTATCTTTCTTATCTTTTATTATTGGATTTATCACTTCCTCTTTTATTTTCTATGGAGCTGGATATAATTATGGATTTAGTTATTTCCCTTCTTCTTATGTTTTTTTCATAATTTTATAAATTAAACATTTTTATACAACATAATTTTTTACATACTTTTTTATGCTCATTAATATTAGTATATTATAAATCAAACTTTTTTATATTCTTATAATTTTTATTCTGCCTACTCAACTTATAGACTAATCATTGATAATTTATCCTTTAAAACTTAGTTTTCTTTCTTCAAACTTATATATAATGAATCTAATTGATCCTTTACAAAATTCCCTTAAGGAGTTTCCTAAATCGATTTAGCTTAACTTTAACCAGAAAAATTAATTACGTTAGGAGATTGCTTAAATTATTAATATTCATTACATATTATTAATTGTTGATACCAATTTGTCTTTACACTGAAGGAACATTTCTTTGAACAGAATTAGTTGCTCGTTGGAAATACATTAATATATTAACTACTAGTAAAATTAAATTTATTAAAAATCAACTTCCAATTATATTCCTTAACATCACACTTTAATTCCAAACTAAAATCTCTTATCCATAATACGAAAACCAATATCATTATTGTCTTTTTTCAAAAAAAAAAAAAAAAAATTTTTTTTAATCCAAATAACAGAGAATTAAATCCATTAAATTTCTATTAATAAAATAGATTCATCATTAATTTAGACAAACTTATAACTCTCTTTTGTATTATTTTGATTGTTTGTTCATTATGTATTTAGATTAAATCATAAAAAAAACTCTAATATATTATAAATTTTTGGCTATATCCATCTAGGAGAATCTAGATCTAATAAACATAATTAAAATATGATTTTATTCTTTATACATATTATTCATATATATCTATGTTGCAAAAGTATAAATAATTATTCAACTTTAAAGTCATTTAAAAGTAATTTAAACTATTTCAAAAGAGGTCTTATTATCATAATAACTTCATCAATGAAAAGAATTTTGAATTTAAAAAAGTATAAATTTTAGCAAATTTTTTATGGCTTTAGTTTCATAACCAAATGAGAAGCTAGTATATACTTTTTGAAAACTCAAAATTAAAAATTAATTTATAGTATTTTGATCTTATATTATTTATTGGATAAAATAAAAATAAAATAATTTTTTACTTGATATCATGTAATTGAATATTCAAATAAATATTTAAATAGTATTTGCTTTCTAACCATAAAATTGTTATTAAATTTATTGTTAATGTTCAAATAAACAATTATAAATGAAACTATTAATTAAATCTGGGATAATCCATAAAAATAAATAAATTATAGATATTATAAATGATATTAATATTAATTTAATGTAAATTAAAAAATAAGGCGTTAATTCAAATAAATATTGAAGGTCAGTATTATTTGAAATAATGTTTTAGAATGTGGAAAATAATTTAAGATGGGATTATAAGTGAAGAAACAATAAATAAAAATAGATTGATTATAAAAATGATTTTAAACTATATTTTTTTCATTTCATGTTTATAAAAATCAATTATAATTATTATTGATGTAAATTAAAGAAAATTTATATAATTGGCTTTGTCAATTAAGGGTGCTGCCATAGGATGGAAAGAAATATGCAGATAAAGTAGAAATCAGCAAAACTAGTTTGGGATAGCTAGAGAATGGAATAGCATTTGGTTAATTGTTAAAAGAAATTGTGAAGTTACGAAATAGGTTGGTTTATTAAGATTTAAAAGGCCTTCCACTCCTTTAGCTAAATTAGATACACTTAAAGACAATTAATAAAAATCATCGCTGCTATATAATTGGAAAATACTTTGTGAAGAGTATTAGAAAGTTGACATTATGATTGATTAGGATACAAAAGCATTAATATTGGGAGGTGACAAAGAAATGATTCATTAATTACTTTTAGAGATTTATGAGAAGAATTTTAAAGGATAATAAAAATCTCTCATACTTGATGATTCTTAATTGAGTTTAGATGGTGCAACTAAAATTTTGGCTACTAATAAAATTTCATAAGGTAAACTGAAATAAATAATGTAGCAAATTAGTAGGTAGATCTATCTAAATTGGATCCTAAGAAGGATTTAAATAAGACTTAAAATTGTTTAGAATTCTTTATTGTTGCTCTAGCAAAGAATTTATAATTAACAATAAAATAGGCAGCATCTCTCTTTACAAATAATAATAAATATTTAGCTCATATTTTAGCTAAAGGTGTTAAAGGAGTATTTGAACCTATAGTATCATTCTATAAAGAAACATATGCTAATTCTAATTAACTGAATAAGTTATTTAATGAAGATTCTACAAAGAAGTCAATGATTTTTGCATTACAAGTATAATAAAAATGAATTTTTTTTAAGGCATTAAAACCAGGTTTGATTTCAAAATCATATGATGTAGTATATGAAGCAGTTAGACTTTTTACAAGATTAGGTTCTTTAATACCAGTTCAATTAATTAGAGAATGGTTTTTAGAAAATTAAGGTGGATTACATACAGCATTGATGGGAGCAAAAAGACATCCAGAATTAGTAAAATTTTAGGTAGAAATGATTCTACAATTTGGAAAAAACAATTTTGTTGAAGTCTTTACAAATGGAATTAGAAATGTATTATAAGAAACTAAAGATTTTATAAATTCAATAGAATTGATTTATTTACCTTTAAGTTAGAATTAAGAATTAGTATCAACAGGCATTCTTAATGATTGGGTTACTTAAGCTATTGGAATAGCAGAAAATGAATTTAAAAATACAATTGATACAAGAATATCATCACTTAATTTTTTAACTGAAGTATTAAGGAATTCAAAATTAGATGAATCTCTTTCTAATACTATAATTGCATTATTAAAAAAAGGTAGTAGAGATAAATCTCAATCTCTATCATTACTTTGTTTGAATCATCTATTTAAATTATTAAATGAATTTAGCATACAAAAGAATAATCAAGCTCCATTAATATATAAAAAGTATATAAAATTAAGAAATATTTTTTAGTTTGACTTTAGCTTTGGTAGAGAATCATGATAATTAATAAATAAGGGAATTTATTTTAAATAATTTTATATAGATATTTTCAACATTGGAATCTATTCCAATAAATTTAGTTTTGGAGAATATGATAAAATAATTATAAACATCTGAGGGAGTCACTTATATTCTTAACATATTTGATATGCAATTTTTTATGATTATGTCAAATATGAATATTGGAATTAAAAATGCTATTCAGCTTCTTGATTTTTTAGCCAAAATATTTCTAAATAATTTAGTGTTTTAAAGTTTATCCTATGAAATAATTGTTAATATATTATCGAAGAATATTGAAAATTAGACTATGTAAGAGTTTATCTTAAAATTTGTTAAAATAGCTTTAGCTATGTTTTTTTCATCTGAGAAAAAAAAATAAGGAAAAGATCCTATTAGTGCTTAAAAGAGAAATTAGATAATAGAAATAATAAAGACTATAGTTCAATTTTAATAATAATAGATGAATGAAAAAATTAAACCTTTAGTTGCACATACAAATATATAGGTGAAATAGCATAGTAAGAGAAATTCAAAAGGATTAATGACTATATTGGAACTATTTGGGAATGCTGAAAAAATATTAGAATAATATGAAATAGAATATAGAGAACAATAGATAAATAAATTGTAAGGTGCCCTTGATGATGAAGATTAAATTATACCATATAATTAAAAATCAATAGGATCAATAAAAATATCAAAAGAAGATTAATATAATTTAGCTTCTTTAAAAACTACAAGGGCAGATCCAAAAATTTTGGAAAAACTTGAGATAATAAAAAAGTAATTTGATGAAAAGGTAATTTAAGAAGCTTAAAAAGTTGAAAATTATAAAGAAGCTTAATTAAAATAAAAAAATAATCTTCGTAAATAATTAGAATAGAGATCAGTAGAATAAGGTGTTTCGATAATAAAAGATAGGGAGACAAATTTAATATTTAAGGAAGGATCTAAAGGTGCAGCTCCTGTAAATAAACATGGATTAACTGAATATGAAATTTGGGATCTATAATTTGAAGAAGATAGAGAAAGATATTTAGTAGAATAACTTTTTAGAAGATATCATAAAATATTCAAATACATATTTTTTAAATATGCAAATTCAGGGAGTAAGATTGGAAAGCCTAAAGATTTTGATGAACTAAAAGATCAATCAGATATAATAAATGAAGCAGAAGTTTGGGCATTTCTTAAAGATTATGAATTAGTGTTTAATGTTTCAAAAGAATAAGTTAAAGCATTATTAAGATCAATAGCAATTTAATTAATGAAAAGTAAAAATGAATTGACTAATTTTAATTATGATGGATTTAAACATATTATTACATAATATGCTTGTATTATATTTACAAAGAAGAATAGATATGTTTAACCTCATGTTTGTGTTGAATTAATGCTTTAAAAAATGTAATAAGTAACTGCCAATAAAGGACAGAATACACAATTATATGATGATCCTGATAATATGTATTTTGCTTAAAAGGAAGTTATAAAAGAATTTAATAGAAAATTGGCTGAAGATTCAAAATATGTTCTTCCAGAGGGATATAAAAGTTAGAAAGAAGAGATAATTAAATTTTATCATGTTTTTGAAATTTAAGATGAAAATACAATTGCTTATTAAATTTTAGATGAGATAGTTTTTAATGTATGTAAATGTCATCTTATTGAACCTTTAACAGCTAAAGAGTTTTAAATTATTTGTAGACCAAATATTTTAGGATATGTAGAATCTAAAGTTAAATAAAATTTAGAAAAAGATCATTATATGGAATAGAAAAATAAATTATTAAAGAAATCTGAAATTGTAGCTTAATCATAACCTATTTTACCTTAGTAGACTAAAAGAAATTTAGAAATTGAACCATTTAGATAATATAGTTTGGGTATTAAATTAGAACTTGCTAAAATACCATTTAATCAAGCTAAATAAAGATTTATTATGGAATAAGTTGCTGATGTATTAGAAGATTTAATTTTTGCTGTTGAAAATAATTAAAAAACTATTACTAGAAAATGGAATATTGTAAATAAAGTATAAAAAGATAAGCAGGATGAAAAAAAGAAAGAAGAAGAAGATAATAAAAAAAGAAATGAAAAAATATAAAAAAATCATGAAGAAGCCAAAGCCAGATTAGAAATTATGAAAAAAGAAAAATAAGATAAATAAAAAGCAGAAGAAATTGAAAAAGCATCAAAAAAGGATCCTAAAAAAATTAAATAGGAAGAAAAATAAAAAGAATAAGAGGCATACTTAAAATAATAAAAAGAAAAAATTGCTTAAAAATAAAAAGAAGAAGAATAAGAAAGGTTAAAAAGAGAACTTTTAGAAAAAAAACAAAGAGCAGAAGAAATTTAAAAGAAAAAAGAAGAATTCAAATTATTTAACGAAAAAAAAATTCAATAATATGGAGAAATATTTAAGGCAGAATAAACGAAACTCAAAATGGCTATGGAAGAAAGAAAGAAATAAGATGCAGAATATTAAAAAATGCATGAAACTATATATAAAAATATTGAAAAAAAAGGAGAACAAATTAAAATTAAAGAAAAAGCTACAAGTGAATTAATACAAAAATTGTTTAGAAATCAAATATACTAAAATATATTCACTACCAACAATTTTAAATTAAGTTATCTTTATGAACTATTATAATTAGAATATTATAAATCTATAGAAATGATAGATTTTAAAGAAATACCATTAAAATTATGGATGTGGTTTGGAGATAGATTTAGAATGTATCCAGATATAATAACATAAGTAGACTTTATTCGTGTCTTTAATGCTATTACTTATAGATAGAATGATATTTAAGCTTCTTTAGATTATGTGGAATTTTTAGAAGCACTTTTTAGAATTAGCATTAAAGGATATTAATTCTTTAATAAACTTGCTAAAAGTATCAAAGAACCAAAGACTTAAAGATAAGAAGATGAAGATATGTAAATTTAAGAATCACCTCCTTTATCTGTTAAACGAACTTAATAAACAAAAGAATTTATGTTAAACAGAATTAAAGAAGTATAAAATGAATAAGAAAAAAGACTTGAAGCTGCTTAAAAGGAATTAGAGGAAAAGAAAAAGATGGAAAAAGAAGCTTTAATATTAGATAATTATTAAGCTCTTAATGATATCATTGGAACTGATAATACATCAGGTTAGAATTTTAATGAATAAACACTTGAAGCTCTCATTACATATCTAGCATTACCTAATGATAAAACAGGAATTGAATTAAGATTTAGATACTTAATGGAAATCGAAGCAAAGAAGAAACCTACAAAAGTTAGGAAATAAGGTAATTTTAAATATTAATTATTAGAGGCATCTAAGAAATTAGATGAAGATGTTACTTAATGGAAAGAACATAAAGTAGTTGAATAAAATAGATAACCAATATTATCAAGTATTATTGTATATTTTTATTTAGAAAAAACAAATAAATTAAAATAAAATCAAAAACCTGAAGAAATATAAGAACCTATTTTACCTTAAAATGAAAATAACGATTTATAATAAGAATAATAATAATAATAAGATAGTTGATTAATATTAAAAATAATTATTATTAAATTTAAATACAAAATGGTATTCATTAAATTTCTGAAAAATATAGATCAAGAAAAAAAACCATTATTTTGTCTATTTGCTAAAGTAATAGAACATTAAATAGTCATGGTTTTTTCAAATACTTTGTATGTTTTTGATAATCAAACAATCATTGATTATTTTATTGAATATAGAAAAAAATTTTAAAATGTTTATTCATTATAAGATACATGCAAGTCTTGTTATTAATTACAAGGGAAATTTGATGCTGATATTAATGTGATTATTTACAATTTTTTAATTGAGGATCAAACCGCTGATAATAAAGACATTGAAATTATAAAAACAGGAGGGAAAAAAATTTCATTAAGTGTTAAAAAAGTTTCATAGCTTAACAAACCATAAAAGTCATCAGTTTTGATTGTATAGCATCCTTTGTGTATTGTATAAGTCACAAAATAAATTAGAATTTTTATCTGCTTTTAAATGAATAGTTTAAATAAATTCTGGAAATGAAATTCAAAGATATAATAATTAGTTTTTCTATAACAAATGAATAGCAATTAATAATTTTGAATGAAAAAAATGAGCTAGAAATTTATGAATTATCTCTTGGAATACTACAAAGTTAGAGTAATTTATATAAAAAAATCTATTTAAATGTTTATAATTAGATATTTATAAAATTAACTTGTAATTACCTTCATGGATAAAGAAATGTATATAAAGTAAAATAAGGTGATCTCCATGAGTTTTTAAAGTATCATGAAATAAAGGATTCTTAACCAACAGATTTAGAATAATTGGATGATCGAATGAGCGATATAAGAAATATGAAAGTACATTAATTAAAAAAGGATTGTTGGGTGTTTGCATATAAACGTTTTGAACACTTTGTTTATTCATAAAATAGCATATATAAAATATTAGATTAAATGATCATTACTACAATGGCATTATCAAAGTTTTATTATTAGAAAATAAATCATGTAGAATAAGAGGAGTATTTAGTATAATACGAAATACTAGTAACAGCAGGATTAGATTAGGATAAAGAATAAAATTGTGATAAAGCTTACATAAAGATATTTTAATTGTTACAATCATCTCAATTGAAATGTACAATGTTAATTCCGTTGTTATAGATAGTAGATTTAAAGTATGAGATAGAATATTTGGAATTTATTGGACAATATGATTTAATAATAAAAGATACAAAAGGATAGATAGGAATAATATAATTCACAGTGGAAGAATTTGGGTAAGTTTTATTACGGGATTAAGATTGATTAATAAAATTAAGATATTTATAATATCACAAGAAAGCAGCAGTTCTTTTAACATAATAGTCATCTCTAGCTTCAAATTCGATTTCTCCATCATCATTAAATAATCCTAATTTAAGTTATTTTAATTAGAGTGTAAATCTAGGTCCTAATTCTTATAAGGCCACTTTTTATCCTTCTTCTTAAAACATATATCTATGATGCCTAAAAAAGATAAAATCTCTTTGATTATGAAATGTAACAACTCTTCTACCTCTAAATTATGGTTTAGATGGAAATAGAGCAGCTAATCCTCTTCCTACTCTTCTTCCAACTTTAGTATTAAATTAATTTAAAATCAATTCAGGATTATGATCTGTAAATCTACCATGATGATGTATTTCATCACAAGGTGTATAATTAGTTAATTTAAATTTGTAAGTAGGTCCATTTGGTAAATGAACATATATCAATTAACTTACTTCTTTTCTATGCTCTCTAAATACTAAAAGATCTGTATATCCTTTATTTAATGAATATTCTTAAATTTCTTTAATTGAAAATTATTTGCGAGGCCAATAATGAGTATCTGGTCCAAAAACATCTTTTACATCTTTTAAAAAATCAAATAATTATCTAGATGGTCTTTCACTTGTTGTTATTATTATTTTAGGATCTTAACCTTCTTAGAAATAATTTTAAAATTCATCTATCATTTCTTCATTTTATAACTCTTCTTAATCATCTTCATCAAATACAAAATTTTCGTCTATATCTCTTTTATCATCTATTGTTAATGGATCTAATTTTTCTCTATCAGGATTTGCTTCTTTTTCTTTTCTTTCCATTTTTTTAGTTTTCTTCTATTCATTTTATTTTCTCTCTAAAATTTAAATTCTTTTTTCTTTATTCTTAATTCTACTTACATCAAATTTTGCTAATGATTTAAATCCTCCAACTCTTCTTTATTTTTATCCCTTTTGTTCCTTCTTTTTAATCTTTTAACTAAAGGGAGCATTATGTTTAATTTTAATAGCATGAACAGCTTTGCTTTTGTTTTTTGCCATAATTTAATTAATATTCTAATTCTAAAAAATAAACCTAGATTAATGGGATGCATATAAAATTAGCCAATAAGTCCTGAACTTTCTGTTATAGAAATTAATTCTCCCATATACAATCCTCACAATCCACCACCAATAAAACCATATTCTAATAATTAATATCCAGCTGCAAGATTACCTACCAGTTAATCAGAATAATCAACTTAATCTAAATTTATCTATAACAAAGGATTATCTTGGTCAAAGAATGGTAATATATTTAAACTAAACTTAGAAAATTAAGATAGAATTTTCTGTGCTTCCCTTAATAGTTGTCCTTACTTTTGATAGATCAAAGTATATGTTTCCAAAATATTATAATTATTTATCTACCAGCATCATTTTACTAATGCTTTTACTATTATCATTATTATATAATATTAGCATCTTTGTCCACAATAATGTAATATCTCAAAATTGGAAATTAATAAATATATATAAATTATATAAAGCTTTATTATGTAAGACTTTTAGTCTGGAGATGTAATAGCTTAAGAATATCAAATTGTTACTATGTTAGCATAAGGCTCTTTTGGAAAAGTATATTTAGGAAAATCATAAACCAAAAACATGAATGTAGCTATTAAAGTAGAAAAAACTGAGGTTTCATATTTCAATAGTTTAATCAGAGAAGTATTTCTATTCATTAAAGTTAATTAGGTTGAAATTCTAAAAATATTAGATGGGGTTCCATCTGTACCTAAAGTTATATGGTCAGGATTAGAAAAAGGATAGAGAATCATGATCTAAAATCTTTTAGGAAAAGATCTCATACATTATCAAAAAAAAATGAAGAAATTTTCTTATGAATGTGTTTGCAATATAGCTTATTAAATGATAGGAATTCTTGAATAAATACATAATAAGTAATTTATTTCTTAAAATATTAAGAAACATTATTCATAGAGATCTTAAACCAGAAAATATCTTAGGGGCATCACAATCAGATAAAATCTATTTAATTGATTTTGGAATTGCAAAGAATCTTGAATCGAATAAAAAAAGCAAAGAGAAAATTTCATTTATTGGAACTACTCGATATGCAAGTCTAGCTGCTCATCTAGCTAAAGAATAAAATAAAAAAGATGATTTAGAATCATTAGGATATATCATAATTTATTTTCTTAATGGAAGTTTACCTTGGATGAATGTTGGAAGGGACGATAATGAAAGAATTGAAAAAATTGGACTTTTAAAAAAAGACATGTCACCTGAAGAATTATGTGAGAATCTCCCAAAATCAATCTTCAAGTAACATTCTTCATCTTATTATTAGTATAGATATATGAAATATGTAAAAGGGTTGTCTTCTAAAATAAAACCTAATTATGCACAATTAAAAGATTTATTTAATACTGTAAATATTTAACCAAATATGCCATTCGATTGGAATCAAAGAGCTAAAGCAAATCGCAAGATGAATTCCAATAAATCCATTAAGACTTCTAAATCTGCAAAAGTGCTTAGCAAATCGAAATCATAATTTGGAAAAACTTAACGCAATAGTTCTAAGGAAACATCTTAAAAACTAATTTAATATGCTCTAACTCCTATTAAGAAGCAACATAAAACTTTAGTATTTCCAGAATCTTAAGATAAAACAGTTTATCACTCTAGTGATGATAATTAGCAATAAAGTAGTCTCAGTGATGAAAAAAAAAGTAAAGAAAGTGTTAAAGTTGGATATTCTATTAGTTATGAACCTTCTAAATTTTCTAGATATTCCTAACACAACAAAAGTCCAATCTAGCAATAATAAAAAGAGAGAGCCAGAGTTTCTACTTTAGATGCTAATCCATAAGATTTATTTATTATGCCTCTTCAATCAGAATAATAATTATAAGAATTTGAAAACCAAGATTTAGCAATCAAATACAACTTATTGTTTTATAAATCAATTTTATACAATTACAAAAACCCTATTCAAGATTTCAAGGCTAGTGATTCTAATTTTATAGATTGATAATTTATTAATATTTCTCTTTAATCAATAATTATTTTTTATTTATTCAAGATATGTGACACATTATTAATTAATAATCGAAAATAAGATATTTTCCACATTATAAGGCTTTTCATACTATCCTCATAATTAATAATTATATTACAAATTACTCAATGAATTAGAGTGCACCTTACAATAATTCCAAGGTTGAATTTGATGAAATAATGCAGTAAATCGAAAATGATTCCCCATTATAAACTGTCTATAGAAAGAATAGCTTTGCTATTAAAAATCTAAATTTATATGAAACTTCAGAAGAAGACATGGAACAAACAGAATTTTCAGCCAAAAGTTTACCAGAAAGTTAATACAATACTCAAATTTGAAACACAAATTTCTTTATTTTATTTTAAACAACTACTTAAATACTCTCCTCTTTTTACCTCTATTTTATTTCATCATATTCATAAATTAAAATTTATATGATATTGTTTAAGTTTATAAGCATCCCTTATGTTGTTTTAAATAAATATTTAAAATAAATAAATGGGATGCATGAATTCTAAACCTCCTTCAAAATCTTAACCTTCTCAATCTGGCAAAGCATAGATTCAAATTTAATTATAAAGCTAAGATGAAAGTCCTTATGTAATAAAAAAGAATCCTATTTTCTAAAGAAGAGCTTCATAAAAATCTATCATAAGCCCCTTACAAACTACCACTTTTGTGCATAGAAATAAATGAACTTAAATCAAGAAATGACTTTCTTAACATTTTATTATAATTTAATCTTTTAAACATTTTTCATCTCTATATAACAAGCAAGTTATCCTTCTTTTACCTTTTAATTTTTACAATTATCTACATTAATTTGATATCCTAACTACAAATATATTCTGTCCTATTCTACTGTTATGAGTTAAATCTAAAGATTTTAGTCTAAGAATATTATTCCTCACTATATTATTAATTACTTATGAGGATTTATCTACCTTCATATTTAATTTTTTAATTTTATCGTTTTAAATTGATATAAATAAAAGTATATAGTATGAATCAATATTAATTCAAGTAAAACATATCACAAAAATCTTCGTTAATTTATTACTAATCTAAGCTGAAATTTACTAATTCTTTTCACATTTTGATTAAAATATTAAATGCATATTTCTTTCTTAAATTTATCAAAGCTTCAGATTTTATTTGAAAAAACTAAATTTAGAATCAAAAATAAAATAATAGATAGAATAAAGTCAATGATCTTAAAAATAAGAATTTTAAAAACAAATTTAATCAATTAGATCAAAAATATTTGATATTTTGTTCAATATTTACTAATTCTTTGTAATATCGATTCAGAAGCAGGTCAAGATGTTTAGTTTTTTCTTCAAATTATTGAGAAATTTAATTTTTTTAAATGCATCTTTTGACATGATTTATTGTAAACTGTTCTATCATTTATAAAACTGGTTTCTGGATATTGGTTAATGTCTATACAAGTTTTCCTTTAGAAACTAGATTATCTAAAAATGCTTAAAATGAAAAATGAAAATGTTTGTCATTTTTTATGTATTTGTTGATTTATGTATGAGTAAGTTGTAATTACTCAAATTCTTCTTTAATAGTTTTGCATTTATTTAAAATTAAATTAATGGCATTATTCAGATCAATAGGATCGTTTTATTCTAACTAGAGTTAAGGTTAAGGTCTTTAAGGTCTCATTGAACTTTATCTTAATGATGCCCTTCTGAATCCATTACTTTATTCAGCAACATCATCAGAAGTCTTTAAAACATTTTATTTTACAGAAGTGATCTTATTTTATGTTGAAAGTTTGAATGTTAACTTTGGTTTTTTATTTAATGTTATTTTTTTATGCTAAGTTTTCGAGGTTTCATCTTCAGGAGTGTTTTTTCCACTTTAAGTTGAATCATTAATCTCATTCTCATCAACTTCTAAGTTAGTTCGAGAGTCTCCCAATTTTTTAAGTTCTTTTATTGTTTTAACAGTTGTAGATTAAATAATGTTAGAATCAATTAGTGATTATTACATTAATTAAAAAAATATAAAAAAATAAATATGTCAATTTAGATAAGTATTACATTTATCATAAATTTCTAGAGTCTTATTAAGAAATTCTTATCTATCCGGATGAATAATTTAAGAAGAGATTGCTTTTTTAATATATTGATTACTAATCCTCGAATTATTAATAGAAGTATTAAGTTTAATTTTCTTTTAATATTTCTTTCTTATAAATAGATTATCCTCATCTGTATTCACATTAATCCCTTGCATAATTGAGTTCAATGCATTCTAGTATTAATTTTCAAGATAATTTCTCATTAATGTTCTTTTTTACTTAACACTTTTTGATGCATTTATAGGTTCTCTTTTTTGTTACTTATATTTTAGAGCTTCATTAATAATTTTATTCATTTTTTATTGTTCTTAAAATAAATCATAATCTTGATTATAATTAGAAGAATATTATTGGTTCAACCTTTATGCTTCATTGTCTTACTATATTAATTTATCCATTTATTATTATATATCTTAATCCTTGATTTTATTAACCTTATCTTTATTACATTCTTAAAATTATATTTATGAAATTGCTGATTCACTATTATAATAATATAAATATACAATGTTTAGATCTATTAATAATCTATTTTTTTATATTAAGTTGGTTCAATGAATTTACCATATATATTTTATTTTTAATAAAGCAACTTTTTTTATGAATCCATTGGTATAGAGAATTCATATTGTTCTTTATTATTTTATTTTTTAACTTATTACTTCAATATTTTATTCTCATCCTATTCTATTTTCAAAGGTGGAAGTAAAGTCATTTAAGAATCTTAGAGTGTTAAAAGATACTCCTACTTTTACTTCTGTACCTTCCCTATCAAATCTAGCAAGTTTTCTTGACAGCTTATTGATTTAATTAGATCCAAATCACTATTAAAAGTTACAGATCTTTTCCTTCGATTGATTTAATCCCGAGATTTATTAGAAATTTTAGGTTTTGACTTACATGAAGATATTGACCTAATGTGAGAATAAGTTTTCCATAGATCCATTATATATATTATTTATTATTAGTTTTAATTACGAATGTATTGAAACATTTTAAGAATTTGAAATATTAATAATTCAATTAATAATCATCGAACTAATATTGATAAGGTTTGCTTCTTCAAAAATCCTCAATATCAAGAAATCAAATAAGATGAAGAAAAACTTTTTGATAATTCTTAATTTTCTTTTCATTTTTATCTATTTTTAATTTAAATATCCTTCCTTTCCATCATTTAAGGTTAAAAAATAAAATCTACTAACTTTATTAGATTACAAATTATTAAAAATACAACCCATAATTAAATTCCTCAATTTTTCTTAGATTGAAATTTTAATTAAATAAATCTTTTCCACTTTTGCAGTTTAATTTTAAAATAGTGATATGAATTTAAATTAAAAGTTAAATAGCTACAGAATTCTTTAATGGTTGAACTAAGCTATATACAGAGTTTTCTATTGAGATGAAAAATTAGAAAAAACAATCAAATTATTTATTATATTGAATCTTAAAATTGATGTTTCTCATCAAATTTTAAGGATACAATTTTATTAACAGTGGAATAGTAAGGATATCTTAATTATCAATTTTCTATCCCTTCAATTATAATAAGGTATAATTTAAAAATTTTTCCATAATTTAGTAAAAGCAGGAAAGAAAAATTAACTTTTTAAAAATATTTAAAGAATATACAAAGAATTTTGGAGTTCAAGGAAGATATACTATTTATTTGGTTAAGTTTCTTTCTAATAATCATAAATTTAATGATACCAGATTAGTATATATTTTTTAGTTATATCAAGTATCTTAGAAATATAAATTAGGTTTGAGCAACTTTTTATGGGTCTATTTATAGTTTTCAATTCATAAATTATTGTTTATCTACTAGGTATAGTAGGGAATGGATTTAATTCTATAAAAATTAAGTAATTATTAAATGGTTTAATTAATCTTCATCATTAAAGGTTTATAAAATTATGTATGAAGTATTATAAATAAGAAGAATTAAGAGGATCATATAAAGGGTATTTTCAAATAAAAACTTAAACATTAAGGTTTTTCATCTTAACATTTTAGTATTTGATAAATTATAACAAATTATATAATTCTATGTTTATAATTTTAATATCATAGTCAATAAAGATTTTCTCTGAGTATTATGAGGGTGGATATTTATTGAGCAAATTTAAATAAATAAAAGAGAGAATATATATTAAAAATATATTTATTTAGATTAGTAAATAATGGAAAAAGGTCTAGGTTGATGAGAAATATGAGTGTTAAGATTTACAAATAATTTGATAATAATATTGTAAGTGTATGATAGTGTTGCTAATGGTTTGTATAAATAATTGACCACATAATAAATATCTAATTATAAAAATAATTTTTATAATAATTAGAAATTAGCGAATCTTTTTAATTATGTTATAATTAATACGCATAGTGTGTGTATAAATGGAGATAATATCTTGATTTTTTAGATAATAATTATAATATATCATCATGTAAGTGAACCCTCGAAGTGCAGTGTAAATGTTTTACAGAAGTGTGTATAACAATACACATGGACTTTTGAAGAAGAGAATGAGAGAACTTGTGCCTGTGAAATAAGCTTTATTACGTGATGTCAGAAAGAGATATGGATCAAAGGAAGTGTGTAAAGTAACAGTAGATCAGGCCATAGGAGGTATGAGAAATGTATTTGGTCTATTTTATGATGCATCATTGTTGGATGCTAAAACAGTAAGACATCTATATTTATAATATTTAGGGTATCACAATGAGAGACTACAATATTCCAGAATTGTAGGAATATCTATAAAAAGCTGAGAATGGGCATGAGCCATTACCTGAAGCTTTGTTTTGGTTATTATGTACAGGTGATTTTCCATGTAAATATATCATATTATCTATTTTATAGCTGAACAAGAATTTGCTGATGTTTAATAAGAATGGAAATAAAGAGGATAATTGGATAGTGAAACATAAAGGTTCATTTTGAGTTTACCAAAAACAGCTCATCCAATGACTATGTTATCCTAAACATTATTGTTTTTGTAAAAGGACTCTTAATTCTAATAAGCCTATGACTAAGGAAAAGTTTCAAAACCATAATATTGGGAATATTTCTATGAAGATGCTATGGATTTATTGGCTAAGATTCCAAGAGTATCTGCCTTAATTTATAGACATAAATACAAGGTATTTAATAATCTATATATCTTTTAGAATGGTGAAATCATTTAAGCTGATGATAATTTAGATTGGGCTGGAAATTATGCTCATATGCTTGGATATAATAAATTTGAAGTTAGAGAATGTTTAAGAGGATATTTAAGCATTCATGCTGATCATGAAGGTGGTAATGTAAGTGCTCATACAACACATTTGGTTGGTTCAGCATTAGCAGATCCATATTTATCATATTCTGCTGGTGTTAATGGTTTAGCTGGTCCATTACATGGTCTTGCTAATTAAGAAGTACTTAAATGGTTATTAGAAATGAGAGTATATATCTAATATCATATTTTAATAGGAAGAATTAGGTGATAATATCTCTAATGAAAAAATATAAGATTATGTTCTTACAACAATTAGAGAAGGTAGAGTTATACCAGGATATGGACATGCAGTACTTAGATATACTGATCCACGTTTTATTCATTAAAAAGAATTTGCTGCTAGACACATCAAAGATGATCCTCTAGTTAATTTAACTGCATAATGTTATCATGTCATTCCACCTGTTTTAAAAACCATTGGAAAAATATAAAATCCATGGCCGTATTTATTATATTTTATTATCATTATAGAAATGTTGATGCTCATTCAGGAGTACTTCTCTATCACTATGGAATGAGAGAATTCTAATATTACACTGTCGTTTTTGCTGTCTCAAGAGCCCTTGGATGTATGGCCAATCTTATATGGTCAAGAGCTTTCGGATTACCAATCGAAAGACCTGGATCTATTACTCTAAGATGGATTGAAGAAAAGTTTGGAGAAAATTAAAACATTAAATGAAACAATTATATATTGTTTACAAATACCTATTCAATATAATTTATTTATTTTAATCATATTAATTTTTAATCATATTTATAATTCTAATAATCTCTTTATTCGTTTTATTTTTGTAGATACAAAACACTTTATTGTATAAAGACTAGCCTTCCCCTTTTTCACTCTTTAATATTTATTTATTCTTTTTTATATATTCATTTCATTACCTTTATATTACATTATTATAATTATTATGAGGATTATAATACTTAAATAAATGCATTCTCTCAAATCTATTAAAAAATATCTCGTTATATTAATAATGTGGATTCTTTTTTATAAATCAACTTTAATACATCAGGGGTGTTGATTACTTAGAACTAAGATTATAGAATGCTCACTTTTGTTCCTGTCTTAGTACTCTTTTTTCTATTTGTATGACGCTGTTCAGATAAAGATTAATCACTATGAGATCCTTTGTCATCTTTCTTTTTTTAAGTTTAAAATTAAGTAGGAGATGCTCTGGCTGCTGATTTTGTATGTACCTTTGATATGATTGAAGGATTATTGGATATGTTATTAGAAAGAGGATTAGAATAGGTATTAGATCGATTGGATGTTTATCTGACTGAATTTTATTACTGTTAAAATTAAACGGATTCGTCCATCTAATTAGATTATTATTATTGATATCTGAATGTTAGCTTAGTATGCATTGATCGAGCAGCAGAATATAAATTATTCTTTTTAGCAAATCCTTATGAACCACTGCTTTACTTACTTAATTAATTTGAATCTTCATGTTTGGAATTAAGAGTATCAAACTATTTACTTTATGAAACCTCACTAATAATTTATAATTTATCTTTATGTATATTCTCTAAGATATGCTTATGAATTTCATTACATAGATTATCTGTCATAAATGGAAATCCAGCTGTTCTTAAAGTTGTTTTGTTAGTTTGTTTTCTAAATTGATTATTAAGTACTGGATCTATTATCATTTCATCATATAACTATTCTTCAATACTATCTGGATTTTCACTAAGTTATTCCGGATTACCTTTATGGATCGATTGTGTCTTACTTATATAACTGGCTGATTGTTGGGTTTAATCTATATAGATTTAATATATAAATATCAATTTTATTAATACTTTCACTATATGGAAGTTATGAAGACATTGGAAAATCTTCTGATGTCATATATTCCTAAGACAATTTTTACTGAAATTACTTTGCACTTTCACCTACAACAAATACCATTAATAAGGTTTTTGGCGATTTAATACGCCTTTCAGATTTTATTCGTTATTGTACATGAGGATATAAATATTTTTCAATAACATTAACTTTTTATGGATAATATTACAAGTATTAACATTCAAAAAGCATATGTCCTTTAATTTTACAATAATGACATTCAAACATATTATGATTTTGATTACAGTTTTCTTTATAATAACAAAAGATTTCATTATCTTGAGGAAAACTCTTAATAATTTCTAAAAAATCAGATCTTCTCAATCTCAAAACTGTTGTCAATCCTTCACTATTTAATGAAATATAAGATGGAATTCCACTAATAAACGAAAATTCACCAAAAGTCTAACCTTCTATAAGTGTGTGAAATGTTCTTTTAGGTTTTCCTTAATATTAACCTTGAAATTATATTTTAACTTTTCCTTTTAAGATATAATATAAACAGAAGTCTTCAACTTAATGTTCCTAAGAATTACTTGTATTTATTACTTAGACAATATTTTCTTCTGGATTATAGGTAGAGATTTCAAACCAATAGATCAATTACTATCTAAGACTAGAGGAAAACTTTTTAAAGAGTTTTATTTTTTCTACCATTTTGGATCGTATGGAAACTTGTAATTCTTCTTAAAGTGCAGGTGATAATTTTTTAGTCAAAAGATCGCGGGTTTTCATGATGTCTTCCTAAATCTGAGAATCCAATTTACATCAACAATATACTCAAGATATGAGTAGGATCTGCATTATAATCCATAATCAATATTTTTGTTTTTAATTCCTTAAAGAAACGAAGCCAAATGTTGCTCTTTTTCTTATTATAATTTAATAGCTGGTTTAATCCAAATGAAAATAATGGAAGCAGTATAAATCATGGTTAATGAACTAATAATCATATAAACTTGTAGTAGTAAAGAATTTGAAGGAGTAACATCTATAACAATAATTCCATTATGAGTAAGAATAGAAATAGCAATAGTAAATGAATAATATATATCTTATTATTCAGATTCAAAGAGACAAACAAAAGACATTATTATGGTAAGCCATAAAATAATAATATAAAAAATGAGCTAAATTGATGTGTAAATGTTTTCGAAGCATTCAGCTTATCTTATCAATTATAAAATGAAATACGGAATAATTAGATATTTCAAATTATAATAATAATAAGCAAAAACTAATAGGATAGCAAAAATTATTCTGAATAAGTCTAAGGCTAATTTTTATTCATTCACAAATTAATTATTAAAGTTACCCTCTTTTAAATGAAAAGGTCCTCTTTTAAAATAAAGATCTGCTAAAATTTAGAGAATGACTAAACAGTGAGTAATGTAAGCTAAATTTTTAAATCTTAATTCTTCAACAATTTATAATGGTATCGTTATAATTGAGATTATATTAATGATTGAACTTAAAATAAAGTAAAGATTTGTAAACCATTTGTAAACTTATGGATTGACTATTATTTATTATTCAGTATTACATTATGATTAATTATCTATTAATGTAAAATCTTTTAATCTATTCAAATCCACTTTTCTTTTCATTCTTTATGCAAATCTATTAATTATAGCTTTAATATGCTAAGAATTAATCGTAGAAGACTTATTTCTATCGACTAAATAAGACTCGATCTAATTTAATATATATAAATACATAATCTGATTGTGGAGATTATCTTTCACTATCAAATCCTGAAATTTCTATTAGTTTACTACTAAAAATATATAAGAAACAAATCATACTTTTTTGATTCTTATTGAAACAAGTTTTTCTCAAAACTTTTAATCGATTATATATTTGTATATACAGTTGGAACTTTCATGTCACTTCCACTTTGTTCACAAGGCTATTAAATTGAAGAATTCATGTAAGGTAATTTTGGTTTTGGTTATTAAAAATTAGAAGAAGATTGCTCTTCATCTTCTTCTTATATTGATTAACTGTTTTAGTAAACTATTGTTTTAGAAACTCTTCTTTAAGGAAACTATTCACTTGGATCAAGATCTTGGAATTCTTCTAATTTCTTAGAAAAATTATGTTACATTATATTTTTAATATATAAAAAAATCATACTGAAAAATATTGATTATGAACTATTTATCTACTCATAAACAAGAATCTATTCCATTTCCAATATTTAATCAAAAAAATTTCAGTGAATTCTCTTAAGATTCAAAATTGATTGGACATCTTAATTAAGAGATGTTACATCTTAATCATAAATGTTCATATAAATGGATAAATTCACCAAAATCTGAATGGACTCTTGAAAATGATATTAAAATGTTAGTTATTACATGGAATATGCATGGAATGATACCTGGTTATTCATTAAAAAGACTCTTTAATATTGAATAAATTCACCATGATTTAATAGTTATTGGAACATAAGAATGTTCAAGAAGCATAGCTGTATCTCTACTTTGTGAATCAAAAGGAAGTTGGGAAGTCAAATTATAAGAGGAACTAGGTAAAAATTATGTAAAATTATAATCTTCAACACTGAATGCAATGCATCTAATTGTATTTGCTCATGTCTTATTGGTTCCTAAAATAAAAAATGGAAATCCTTATACTCTTTCTTAAGGTTTCATGGGAATAGTTGGTAATAAAGGTGGAATTGCTATCTCAGTTAATATTAATGATAAAATATTCTTATTTGCAAATAGTCATCTTGAAAGCGGATAAAATGCAGAAGCTAAAAGGTAAACTCAATTCTCTAAACTTGAAACCCATTTTGAAAATGAAGTTTTTTCTAGTCATAAAAATGTACCATATGATTATTTAATTTGGACTGGTGATTTCAATTCAAGAATAGATTAAAAAATAACTGCCTAAACTATTAGAAATCATTCAGATTTTTTTGGATGGTTATCAAATGATTAAATGTATTAAAGTAGAAATAATTCATTAAGTATTTTATTATAATTTATTAGATTATTAATCATACTTTTATGAAGGAATGATATTGTTCCCACCTACATATAAACTCTTAGAAAATCAAAATTAATGGGCTGTAGGAAATGATTTCAGAATACCTGGATGGTGTGATAGAATTCTATTCAAAGAAAATTAAAAGTCTAAAACCATATCATCTACCTAAGGAATTAACGAAAATACACCATCATCAATTAAATTATAAAATTATGATGCAAATTTTGATATCCTAGGAAGTGACCATAGACCAGTATTTGCTTAATTTACAGTTTCCTGTTTATGATATCTAAATAATTTTTTTATTTATTATTATCTAACTCATTCATAATAATGATAAAATATTGATTATTTAATTTATTGATAATGTATTACTTTTCATTCAATGCCAGTATCATTTTATTGATCAATCAATATTCTTGCTCTAAGGAAACGAATTAGTGAAAGTAATTATTCAATAAAACCTAATTTTTTAGTCATTCTTACATCAATTTCATTGCCATAACATTAGAAATAAAAAGATTATTATTTCTATTGATTTGAAATTTAAAATATGATTTTCTTAAATCAATTCACTCAACAATTATTTATTTTCATGTCATATTAAAATATTGAATGAAAATTGGATAACGGAAATCTCTAATATATCAACTCAAAATTTCACTAAAAATTGAATTTTATATTATTTTATAAGACATTTAAAGTAAGTAAGCCATCAAATAACAAATAAAACTTTAAGAGACTTTTACAAATTTAGAATATTTTATATATGACTTAAAAAAAATTAGATTAATAAAACAAATAAAGTCAAGAGTAAAAATAAAGATGTCAAATAACAAGGAAAGATATAATGGGCAGAAATAGTAACGCTAAGAACCTAAGGAATCATAACCAACTAATGAAATTAAAAAAGAAAAATTCATTAATAAAACAAAAATAAATGATTCCCCTTTCGATTAGAAAATTGAAGTCAAATACTTTAAAAAAGCTGTCTCATAAAAATCAACCACGATTATAGATAAATAGAGAATTGATTCTCAAATAATCTAACCAAATTAAACAATGAAGGAAAGTATGAAATCATCAAACTAATCAAAATCTGTATAGAGATCTGTAAATAAAAGCAACACTCATTACTAAGCTATTCCTATTACATAAGATCATTTATTGTCAAATCGAATCATTAAGGAAGAATAATCAGAATCAGAAATAAATAATACATTTAATATTGAATAGGAACATTCAATAATAAAATTAAATGAACAATATTAAAGATAGGCTTCTAAAAAGGCCTTTTTATAATTAGAGGAATTAGAAAATAATTAGGATCAAATGCAAGATAAAAATGAATAAATTAAATTTTTTGAAAATAGTAAAATATAGAGAGATGATAAAGATTAAGAAGATAAAAAATAAAATGATGATGATGATGAAGAATTAAATAATAGTTAATAATTTGATTTCAATCCTGAACTTGAATACTAATTAATGATAGAATAGAAAAATTTGAATCATTCTATTGATTTAAGAGTTTCACACAATTTTCAATGGATTATAAAAGAAATTTATTATTATTAAGATTAGCATAAATTATTATTTATTCGAAAATTATTATTTGCTGTTATTATTTCATTAGAAATTTTAAGCTACAAATTACTATAATCAACAGTTTTTGATTTGTATGAAATGTTCGTTACCGTAGCAAATATAGTCTTATTTTTAAATAGATCTTCATAAGAGTCTAATAAAATTAGTGAATACTAATACTTATTTTGTGTATTATATTTTATTGACGCTATTATACATTTAGCAGGATAAGGTTTTAAAAAATACATCTAATCATTTTGGAATATATATGATTTGATAATTCTCATTCTTTATTTATTATACATTCTCTAGAACCATTATATTCCATTTGATGTATCCACATTTAGATTAATAAGAATACCAATATATGTTGGACGAATAAGTAATAAATTAAATATCATATTATTATCAATAAAAGAAGCAGTAAAGTAAATAGTAGAAAATCTGTTGATATTAATTCTATTCACAATATTGATAGCAATATTCATGCTATATGCTTTTAATGGAGTATTAAAATATCGATGTATGCATGAAGAACTTGGAATTTTTTCATTAAATCCTTATGAAATAGAAGTATGTGGATATAAAGAATGTATTAATGGTTTTGTTTGTGCAAGACAATTATAGAGTATTGATGTCCCAACTAATTTTGATAATATTCTTTTTGCTTATTTCTAAACTATTCGAACTAGTATTGTAAATGATTGGACAATAACTATGTATATGCTAATGAAATAATTCAATCCTTTTGTTTGCATACTATATGTATTTATCATTTTTGCAATTAATAAATTTTATTTTCAGCTTTTAATAGCAGTACTAAAAGTCAACTATCACAAAACTTAAGAATATTATATAAATAATCCAGTAATACCAGAATTTTCTGAAAATTAAATTAAAATTACTTTATCTTCATTATTAGATAATGATATGTGGAAAACTATTAAAAATTAAATATCCAATTATCAAAATAAAAACTTTATTTTTGATATACAATCAAAAGGAGATCAAAAAAACAAGAAATAAAAGTTTAAAATCTAAATAAATTAAGAACATAATAATGTTAAACTCTTATCTGCAAGGCAATAGATTGATCTTTAAAACATTAGAGAATAAATTTTTAAATAAAATACTCATGAATCTTGGATTATTCCTTTTTTAATTCCCAATCATTAATTGCAATTTTAAATATAACAAATTATTAATTAGAATGAAAATAAATTTTATAATTTAGAAACTTTCTACACTCTTAAAAGTCTTGATTATTTAAGTATTTATAAAAATATTCGATATGATGAATCCTATGAATTTACATCTATTTAAGATATTTAATTGTAAATTAATCCAAAAATGAAATAATAAGATAAAAAAAAAGTTATAAAAAAATAACATCTACATCAATAATATATTGTTATTTAAAAAATATAAAATAACATAAAAAATAATGAAAAACCAAAATTAAAATTTCCTTTTAGAAGCAAGAAAATAAATATTGATAGTGAAGCAGAATTTTTTGAAAGTTTAGCAAATTCAAGTATAGATGAAAGTAGTTAAGACTCAAAAAGTTCTCCAAAAAATAATTATGATCATTTTCAATCATAAAATCTGGGAAACAATATTTTTGTAATACCCTCTTAATAGGAAATAAAAAAAAAGAATTCTTACCTTCATAAGTATTAAGGTTAAAAATTGATAAAAACGCATTCCTAAAGTAAAGCAAACATAAATCAAAATTAATTTAATCTTAAATATAATGAAGTTGTTGAAATCTTAAATGTTGAACTAAAAAATGAAACTATATAAATACCTAATAATGAAGAGGCATATGAAGAATTAAATATTTAATCTTAAGAAGGAGTTTACCTCTCTTATTGGTCTGGTAATGATTTGGTTGAAAAACTATAATTTGAATATTTGCTTTAATATCTAAATAAATAATGGAAATATTATTTTTTAAAGGGAATACGTTTTTATCTAAGCAAGATTTAATATTAATTATATTATTTCATTACTAATTAAATTATTTAAATAGTATTAGATGGACTAGTTTGTTTAAATATTTTGATTTTAACATTTTCTGATTTTTATGAATAAATAATAGCTGATTACTTTGATTTGATAATTACATTACTTTTATTTTTGGAAACAATATTAAAGCTTTTGACAATTCATAATTATTTGTACAAATTAACAAATTTTTTGAGTATAATAATTATAACATTTGTTCTAATAGAAAGATTATTTTTTTTTTCACTTTATCATTCAGAAGAACCGAAATTCGAAATATTTACATACATAAGAATTTTAAAATCACTTTTTTTTTTTAGGGTAATTAAATATAATACATTTGCATAAAATATGATGATGATATCATATTAAACATTTCCAAATTATGCAGTAATGGCATTATTGCTTTTTTTTTTAATTTTAAATTATGCCATATTTTCACTATAAATATTTGATTTTCCTGAAACAGCTGAATTAAAAATGTATCATTATTTTGGAAATATTTATTAATCATGGATAGCTGTCTATGATATATCAACTGGAGATGATTGGTATGGAGTAGTTATTCTCAGTACTACTTATGGAATATATTATATAGGTTTCCTATTTTGCATTTCTTTAGTATTTATTGTTAATTATTTTGGTTTTGGATTATCTTTTGTGATTATTCTGGATGGCTTTGCAAATTATTTAGATACTGCAAAAGAAACATAATAATAATAAAAAGAGGAAAAGGAAGAAAGCCTAATGTTAGATTTTAATCATTAAGGATCAGAATTTAAAAAAGAAAGTAAATAAAAAAAAGATAATAACAATATATCTATGAAAAGTTTACTAGAAACTTTAATTGAGCCAGAAAATAAGGAAAAATATCATAACATTTAAAATGAATACTCATTGTTTATTATTTAAAAAAATAATTCTTTAAGAAAGTTATGTTTTCTTATAACTGAAATTTATCCTCTTAAAATATTATTAGGTTTAGTATTATGGAGTAGTTTAATTAATTTAATTTTGATTACTTATTATGATGAAATAAACACAAATTTTTGGAATAGCTTCGAAATTATATAATGTCTCTTTAATTTATTAATATTAATAGATGCAATAATATAAATAATTACATATGGAGCTATTGCATAAGATGGATACTTTAGTAGTATTTGGGTTAGTATAGATTTTGTATATGTAGTTAGTTATTTTTTGTATTTAGCATCTAATCATACTGCATTAAAATGGATTTTATATTTGGGTTATTTACGTCCACTTAAAGTAACATCTACTTATGGATTTTTTGTTAATGAAAGAGGGGCTATTATGAAATCATTTTCTGATATCTTAAGAATATTCTATGTTATTTTGCTTTTTTGGTTTATCTTTGCTATTTTTGGAATGACTATATATAAAGATAAACTTGGTTATTGTGATTCATATTTTAATTATGGAGTAGGAAGATCAGAATGTTAAGGGGAATGGAAAATTTACCCTCATAATTTTAATAATATTATTGAAGCTATGCAATCATTATTTGTTATCTCTACACTTGATGGTTGGGGTATAACTTTTTTTGTTTGTATTAACAGTGCTTCAGATAAAACAGGACCAATAAGATTTAATAATGAATGGATTTCTTATTTATTTTTTTTTAGTTTTACTTTTATAGGGGCACTGTTTTTCTTATAGTTTTTTGCAGGAGTTATTTTTGTGAACTTTTAATAAAATAAATAGTAATTGTTGAATCCAGATTTAACTCTAGATTAAGAATTATTCTTAAAACTAACTGAAATTATTATGTTGGAAACTCCTAATTATTCTAAACCTCCAAAAAAAGGATTAAGACTAAAAGCCTAAAAACTTTTAGAAAATTCAACTTATAGCTTAATTACAAAACTAAGCTTAATTTTAAATTTATGTAATAAAAGATTTATTAATTTTAGTTACTTTAATGCTTTTTTTTGAATAGGGTAGTGCTGGATTTTTAAATAGTTTAAATTGGCTTAATCATTTTTTTAGCTTGATTTTATTAATAGATTGCACTTTGAAATTGTTTACTTATCATATTAAAAGATACTTTGACGATATTTGGAGATAAATGCAATTAATTTTTGTTTTATTGGCTTTATTTGATTTCTACATTGATATTTAATTTAATTTTTATATGAGATATGCTAGAGCAAGCAGAGATGATCCATATTTTATATGGTTAAGAGTTTTTATATTAAATAGATGTTTAAGAATGTCTTTAATTATTTAATAATTCACAAGAATACGTAAACTATTAAATGTCATCTATTTCAATAAAATGGCAATCTTGAGAATTTTAGGATTATTTATAACTGTTTTATCATGCTATTCATATATAGGTTGTGCACTTTTTGGAGAAGCTGATTCAGGATCAATACTAAATGATTAATTAAATTATAATAATTTTTTTTTTGGTTTACTTGCTAGTTTTAAATGCACAACAGAAAATGGATGGAGATTTATTTTTGTAGACTCGTAGAATTTTATGAAAGAAAATTAAAAATCATGGATTTTAGCATCTATATTTTATTATAGCTTAATATTTATTGGAGCTAGAGTATTGATGAATTTAATTGTTTGTGAATTAGTATAAGAATTTGAAAAGTTTTATGATACTAGTAGTAGTTGTTTAGAAACTTATGTAGAAACAATTGATAAATTTCGAACTCTATGGTGTAAATATACTGAAGAATTTGAAGGCACTAAAATGTAAACTAAGTACTTAGGATAATTCTTATTAGATTTATAAGAACCATTAGGAGCACAGAAAGGAGATAACATATGGGATGCAGCAAAAAAAGCATCAAGTTTTGAATTAAAAAAAGATTTTGTAGGTTGTCTTACTTTTAGAAATCTTTTATATGAGGTTTTTAAATAAGCATTTAAAGAAAGTATATTCAAAATTACTACAGAGGCTGGAAAAACAATTATGAAAGAAAATGATAAAAAAATAAAATATAGATTATACAATTAAAGATCTCATCATTTCAGAAGAGAAAGAGTCAATGAGAAAGTAGATATATAAAGTAATTTTAATATTCTTTAAGAATATTTATATCTATATATGGCTTTGAAAGCTTGGAAAAGTTTTTCAGAATACTTTTTTAATATTGCAGGAGAAGTTTAAAATACTATAGATTTTACAGAAAGTGATGTAGATGCTAAAATATCTGAAATAGAAAGTGAGAATAGTTAAACTGATTAATTAGATTATGAAGACTCTAAACATGTAATTAAAAGAAGGCCTACAAAAGAACATTTAAGAAGACCAACAGATGTTTATATTTTACCTTATTATGATGAAATCTAATTTAAAGAAAAGAATTACAAATCTATATTAAAAGCTACTGATTAATAATAGTAAAAAGTTTTTAAATCTATCTCTATTATTAAAAAAAAGGAGTAGTTAATTTAATATAAAGAATATAATAAAAGAAGAGATGCTATAGATAAACCAATTGCTTCAAGAAATAGATATCAGTATGGATATCATGAAAGAGTCACAAGATAATAATTAGAAGAAAAATCTGATAATAGATTACTTTCAAGATTTGATCCTACTAAAATGCCCAGCTCTTATAATATTACTAAAATTGCTTCAAAATTAAAATGAAAAGGGAAAACATTAGATTGATTTTATTATACAAACTTAGTTTATAAAAATTTATACTCTTTAGTTAAAAATTATTTATTAAAATTCATTATTTTATTAGATAACAAAATAATTTGAATCAAATTTATGTTATCTCTTTATTTTTTTAGGTATTCTCTTTAGTTTCATTACATTTACTTTTGATTTCATATCAAAATTAAAATAATAATAAATTTGATTATAATAATTTAGAAATTAAATGGTCTTATGATAATAGTTTAATAAATAAATATAAAATTATGATTGCTGTATAAATAAGTAACCAAAATAATGTTTAATCAACATTTCATCTATGATAATGAATTAATTCCTTAAATTTTACATTAAGATTAGGGGCTTAATGATGTACTAATTATATTATTAAACTTAATAGGTTTTAGATTTGTTTTTATAAATTATCTCTGTGGTAGTAAAATCTTAGATTTAGGAGATTTTGATAAGAAAGTATTTTCAGGAGTTTTTATTTAGATAGTATTTTCAGGAGATTTTGATTAGAAAGTATTTTCGTTTTTATCAAGGGAAGATAAACAAATTTATTTTAACTTTTGTTATAGTTAAGATTATTTTAAACTAATAAAATTTTATTATTGTTTTTAATAGATATTTTGATGAGGAGTTGCAAGAGTTTTATTTGTGCTTTTATCTTAATTGATTATTGTTTTATTCTAAATAAAAGCACTTCTGGCAAATTATTAATTTTAAAGTTATTATTAACTTGATATCTTCTTTAAACTTTCTACTTATTTTTTGTCTATATTTTAAATTAACTTTTTTTATTTGCTAATTAAATTTAACATTTTATTAAAATGATTATTTTATTTGTATAATAGATCTCTATATAAATGAATAGGAAATAATTTATCGTCATTCAATTCTAAATGAATTTTTCCTTTAAATATGATTTCTTCTTCTATATTATGATGTTCTTCAAAATAGGGATGATTTAAAGCTTCACTAGCACTCAATCTTTTATCAGGATCATAATTTAATAACTATGAAATTAAATCATATTCATCAATACTACAATTCAAATTTGCTTTTAAATTAAATTTATAATTTTTTGAGAATTTATCAAATAATTATTTTTATCCTCCTAAACTTTATAAATCATCTTATGATGGAAGTCCAAGAACTTCTATAATTTTTTCAATTTAATTAATAGTTGAATTTCCTTAAAAGATTGCCTTTCCCAAAATCATTTCACACATCATACATCCCATAGCCCACATATCAACTCCAGTTGAATAAGATTTTGATCTTAATAGAATTTCTGGAGCTCTAAACCATCTTGTTGCTACATAATCTGTTAATATATCATCTTCCAAAGTTGATAACATTCTTGCCAATCCAAAATCTGCTAATTTTATTTAACATTCAGAATTCAATAAAATATTTGCTGGCTTTAAATCTCTAAATTTATTATAATCTTCTTCTATACCTGTGGATCATGCCTGATGAATGAATATATTTTAATGCTTTGAATATTTGATATATAATATATTTTCTATGAAGTGGCTATAATATTTTTGCTCTGATTGCTACATGAAGATCAGTTTCGATATATTCAAAAACCATATATAGATCATTTTAGTTTTCAGCTGGATAAGTATCTATTAATTATATTATGTTTGCATGATTTAACTATTTTAAGAGACAAACCTTAAATTAAAATACAAATCAATATTACTTCTCTATAAGTTCTTTGTGCATCAGTTGAATTTGTGAAAGCATCAAAAACTTTTTTTAAAGCAACTATCTTTTAACTTTTATTATCTTTAGCCTTCCAAACTATTCCATATGCTCCTTTTCCTATTTTTGTCAAAATTTCATATTTCTATAAAATGCTTGGATCAATTATTTCACTCATTTTCTTTAAAAAATAATATATTTTATTATATATATATCTCATTTTCTATCTATATTTCATAAAAATTCTTAATAATAATTATTGCTAATATAAGTAATTTTATTTACTGAATATGATATTGTTTAAAATTCTTTTCTAAGTCTTCATTTTTTCAGATTATTAAACAACGTAACGATAAAATTTTCTTAATTTTTTGAAATAAAAAAGTTAATAAAACCTCCTATTTTAATAAAAATACAGTAATAAATATACTTCTTATAACATAAAAATTATATTTACCTTTTGTCTTGAATTGCTAAGATTAGGAATTTAAATTAAACTGTACTGAATTTCCAGGAAAATATATATATATAATACAAATATTAATCCAATTATGCTAATTAAAATGAATAATAAAAATTAACTATTCTTAGAAGATATACATAGATAAAAAATAATAATACATGACTATGTCTTATATATTATTTTGACAAAAAACATTAGTAGCATTCTAAATTTTTCTTTTCTTTTGTTTAAGTTATTTGTTATCTAGAAAATTTTCGACAATATTTAAACTTGAGATTGATAATTATATCACTCATTCGTTGTCATTAAAATTTTTCTTCTGTTTAAAAATTCAATAAGCTAGCATAAGAATATTTTACTACAAATATATATATATATAACTCGATATATTTAATCATAATGGGGGTCATTTTGTGTGATTTTTCATATATTGATTGAGAATTGATGTTCTTGTTTATTATAAGAGAGCCTCCATCTAAGAAATTATTGTTTTTAATCTCTAACATTACTATAATTTCAAGACATCATTATTAGTAATACGAGATTTTATTCTCTTTCCAGAAGGAACATCGGTTTCAGAATCAACCTTTCTAATTTTTTTTGATTTTCTGTTAACATGTTTAGTTTTCTTTTTTGGTGCTTCCTCAACACAATTAAACAGAAGGACAGGTTCTTCTTATAAATACCCATCAAAAGTATTTAGTTATTCAGGCTCCTGTTAAGCACTTTGGTCATATTCATAATATTATGATTGATTCGTTTATTCGATAAGAGGTTCATTTATTAACTCTAGAAATATATAGAATAAGTACATTAAGAGGCTTGTTCTTCAAAGTCAATTGGGTAGAAATTCATAGAAATTGAAGATTATTCTTGTTTTTAATTATATTGAAATTTTCATGATTTAATCTTTTTAATTCATCTGCGTTTTTTTGGAGGATGATAATTTTAATTATCTTTAATAAATACAAAAAAATAGATACAGTTTATTTATATATATAGGTATAAAAAAATTATTATATATTTATATAGAGAAATAATAATGGATCATTTTCTTCTTTATTATTATTAAGTGAATTACATTCCAGGAAATGAAAATCCAGGGAATGCTGCTCCTCCATTTTAAGTGAAATCTCCTCCAAATTAAAATGGAAATGCTTATCCTCCTCTCATATTCTAACCCATTCCACCTAAATTAGTTGTAAACATAGTTGTAAATCCTCCTGAACCTCCTATATTTGAAAATCCAAAATCTGAAAAATCTCCTGCTCCTCCTTCTCCACCAAAAAACATTTTAAAGATTTAAGTTGGGTCAATATTAGTTTCAAATCCTTCAGCACCTCCCATTGGATCATTTGGATCAACTCCCATATCATATTATTATCTTTTTTATTTATCACTTAAAACACTATAAGCTTCAGCAATTTCTCTAAATTTTTAATCAGCTAATTTCTAATATTATATTATTCAAAATATATACTTTTTATTCTTCACTTTCTTTATTTTTATCTGGATGCCATTATAAAGCCAATTTTCTATAAGCTTTTTTAATATCTGCTTCTGTTGCATTTTTATCAACTTCTAATATTTTATAATAATCTTTCTTAGATAATTATTTCTATTTTCTATTAATATCATTTATTTTTTATCTCATTTATTATATTGATCCTTAATCTAATTCCATTACTTTTTAATAATCACTTTATGCTCCATCTAAATCACCTAATTCATATCTTGAATCTCCTCTTCTCAAATAAGCTTTAAAATATCTATCATTTAATTCTATTGATTTATCAAAATCATTAACAGCTTTTCTATGATCCTTTAACTTTTAATGAGCTAATCCTCTATTTGCATATATTAATGAATTAAATCTAAAATTATTTGAATCAACTTCTAAAGCTTTGCTATAATATTAAATAGCATCATTAAATTTATTAGAATTCAAACAATCATTTCCTTTTTATTTATAATTATCTTAATCCTTTGCCATTTAATAAATTGCTAAACATTTTTTATTATTCTAATCTTATCTTAATCCTTCTTATAGTATTGATTTTGCTTTATCTGGACTTCCTCCATATAATTCTATTAAACCTTTTAAATAATATGTCTCTGTTCTTGATCCATATTTATCTTAAATAAGTCTTAATTATTCTTAAGCTTTATTTATATTGGCTGTTCTAGCTAAACATTCACAATTTAGAATTTAAATATCAACTGCATCTGGAATTTCCTTGGCAACATTTTCAATCAAATTTAATGCTTCTTTATATTAATTAGCATCTAATTTTTATCGAGCTTATTTTATATTATTTATGTATTCTTTAATTTATTCATATTCTTTAAGAGATTGTTCACTTTTATCTAAATTAACAATTTGATCAAAAATAAGTTTGGCTTCTGTTAAAAGTCCCAAGAATTGTAAACTTAAAGCTTTTCTTCTGAAGAATTTTACGTTGTTTGGGTCTAAGCTCAGGGCTTTGTCACAGTCTTTTATACATTTATTATATCTAATTATATTATTAATAAAAATTACTTTTTCATCTAAAGGAAACAAGCTGCTCTATTACCATAATAACTTGCTTCGTTTTAACATAGTTCTAAAATTTAAATATATTTTAATACCTATAGCTTTTTCATATTCTTCAGCTGCATTTGAATATTATCCTCTTTTAAAATAATCATTTCCTTTATTTTTATGTTCCTCTGCTTAGTGTCTTTGTTTATCGTTCTCTAAATTAAGTTCCACTTCCATCAATAATAATTTAAAAAAAAAAATATTTTTTCCTTCGATTTCCAGAACCTTCTTAAAGTGCAAAAGTCATTATAATTAATTAGATTTAAATTATAGAAAATTAGAAAATTTAATTTGCTAGAAAATTATTACTTTAATTGTTATGAATATTTAAATCAACTAGCAACTTTAACATTACAATAAATTATTAAAATATGTTTATTTTTACTAATATAAATTTATTTTTATATATCAAAAAAAACTCAAAACCCTCCAATTAAACCCTACTAATTAATAAAAATTATGTAAATTCTTTAATTTTGTAATTTTTAATTACAATATCTAAAATAAAAAATTCCAATCATATTTAGTAAGAAAAGATTATGATTATAGTAAAGTCTAAGTTTACTTTTGCATGATTTAAAAATTATCTAATTAAGTAATTATTATTCTAGATATATTTCATAGTCTCTAAATCAAATTTAATAACTCTTGAAGGTAGCACTACGATTCCCAAAAGCTGAAGAATTAGGGGATTTTGCTATATAAAGTACTAAAAAAATCTTTGATTAATAAATATAAATATCTTATTAAATATATTAAAATCGAACTAAGAATGCTAGTCTAATAAAATTCAGTAAAATGAAATCAAATAAATTTAAACAATTTTATGAAAGCATACACATTTAAATTAGTTTATTTGAAAGAAATGATAGTGGAACATTTAAAAGAGTTCGAAAAATAGGATAAAAAAATGAGTTTCTAATAAGTATTAAACCAAATGATAAATAAATTATAATGATGAATATTAATTAAATCAATTATAATTTTTAATGGGTTGTGCAGCAAATAAGCAAGATAAAGGTAATTAAGCAATATACAGAGAAAAGACATGGCAGATAATCCATTTTTTGTAGGACCTTCATTGTTCATAAATTTACAGGGTGGGGATCTTCTAAAAACTTATAGAATAGAGAAACATCTTGGAAAAGGTATTAATTTGAAAGATAAAAAGGTGCTTAAGGGGAAGTGAATCTAGTTACTCATTTGATGAGTGAATAAAAGAGAGCAATGAAAAAGATTATAAAATCTTAGAAAATTAATGAAAAACTTATAGCTAATGAATGTTAAATAATGATGTATTTTGACCATCCAAATATTGTGAAAATATATGAACTGTTTCAAGATAGTTCTCATTTTTACATAGTTTATGAATATTTAAGTGGAGGAGAATTACTTGATTTATTGAATAAAAAAAAAGAATTAAAAGAATAACAAATTGCTAATTATATAAAATAAGTTTTAGAAGCATTAAATCATTGTCATACATGTGGAATAGTTCATAAGTAATTTAAATATATTAGATAAATAGAGATGTAAAGCCTTAGAATATATTATTGGAATCTGAAGAATAAGATGCTTAAATTAAATTGATTGATTTTGGAGCAGCAAAACTTGTTGAATAAAATGATGTTGATGTGACTGGAACAGTAATTTATATTATTAAAGTTTTAGCCATTATATATAGCACCAGAAGCTATTTCAGATAATTCAGATGAAAAAAGTGATGTATGGTCTTGTGGAATCATGACTTTACAACTTCTTACTGGATAATTTCCATATAAAAATGAAACAGATCCTCAAAGAATATGTGATATGATTACTCGCAATGAAATTGATTATAACCGTACTTAAAATATATATTAATCTATTAGTTATCGAGAAGATAAAAACAAATAAGGGAAAAACTTTTGTAAAAAAAATGTTAAGTTTTGATCCCAAAAAGAGATATACAGTTGAATAAGCTCTTTTAGATCCTTGGATTTAAGATAATAAAAACAATGCAGCTTTAGATTAATAAGTTTTAAATAATTTAAAACAATTTCATGTATGTTATAATATTATTTATAGAGTTGCAGCAAATTATAATAAGCTATTTTGCAGTTAATTGCTTCTACAATGATGAACCATTAAGATAGACAAAAGCTAATTTAATAATTTAAATCAATGGATAAAAATGGTGATGGAAAACTATCTCATCAAGAATTGAAGGCTGGATACATGAAAATTTATAAAGATGAACTTAAATCAGAACATATTGTTTAAGAAATTTTAAAAAAAGGAGATTTTAATCACTCAGACTCTTTAGAGTATTCAGAATTCTTAGTTGCTGCATCTGAATATAATCAATTAGTAGAAAAGGAAAAGATTGAAAAAGTATTCAAGTTATTTGATCAAGTAATATATAGTATTAGTAACAGGATGGAAATGGATAAATTACTATAGCAGAATTAAAAAAGGTGATGGCAGGAGCAGGAGATAAAAATACTTAATGGAAAGAATTAATCAAGGATTTTGATTAAAATGGAGATGGTTAAATATCTCATTCAGAATTTATTGATACTTTAATGAAAAAAATGTCTAATAATTAATGAAATTAATTCTGATTTTTGTTATTTATAAAAAGATTACATTTCTAGTTTAAATATTTATTGGCATCCTTAAAAGACTTTATTATAAATTATTTTGTTTGAATATTTTTCTATAACTCATTTATTCATCCTTTTTGATTTTTTTGATTAATATACATATAATAAATGAATAAGTAACAACAAGAAATAGAGATGAATAATATATAGCAATAGGATACTTACTTATCACATCTTGATTTATTGAAAGAAGATGATAGTCATCCTGTAATGTGGTTATTACATATTTTATTAAAAGCATGCGCCTTTTTTTCGTAAAAATATTTTATTTTACTTTAGGTATTTGTTACTTGGATATTTCATGTAAAATATTTTTTATGAGATGATCATTTTATTGATTTGCCATGGAGTTGATTTTTATTTAGTAAAAAATGTTACCGGAAGATATTTAATAGGTGTAAGATGGTACACAGATTTATCATTTCATGGTTAAGAAATATATAGATATGAGTTTTATAACAAAGGTGAAGTAAATGCTATAGATTCAACAGTTTTTTGGTATTGTTAATTTGGATCTTCTTGTTTATGGGCATTCTTTGTGTTTGCAAATATATTTTAATTTGGATTTATAGATGTATGGATATATTAATTAAATAGATGTTTTTAGCTGGTATTGGTGCTTGTTTGAATTGGATTAATTTATGGGGTTATTATAAAGGATCTCAAGAACAATAAAAAAAAATGAGAAATATTAAATAGTTTCTTGCAAAGAAGGGAGCAAAATACTTGATTAATTAAAAATGACCAATTATAGTTTTAGTTTATTTGTGTATTATTTACTAAAATTAACCATAAAAGAATTGGAGAACAGAAACCCATAAAATTCAAAAATTGTCTTGATTATTTAAATAAAACCTCTAATTTCAAAGACTTATCCTTATTCAGGGGCAATATCGCTGTAAGTGACGTACCAACGGATACGCGAGATTGCTAATTGAAAACTACTCCAATGCGAGTGTACGATTTCCTTGTGAAATCGTTCACCAATTTCTGAAGGGTCGAAAGACTCACCCTCCATTTAATAATTAAGCAAACGAAATTTATATATATATATATTTAAATTATGAATTCGTAAGAATAGGAATTCTTTCATACTCTCAAATAATGTTAAAAAATGCATTGGATCTAATCTAAATAAATGTCTAATGTAAAAATATTTTATACAGGAACTAATGCTTTCTATTAAAGAGGAGATATTATTTTTGATAATTTATTTCCTCTTAATTCATAATTAGATGAAAGAGTCTAATATTTTAGAATCGATAAACAATAGTTATCTGATGGAAGTTTTATTGAAAGATGCAAATTCAAAAATTAAATATATTCTCTTAAATATAGATATCATTTTTTCAAAATTAACGAATCAAGTTAGGGAATTCATAGAAAATATGAATAAGATCCAATAATGCTTTAATAACTAGTGTATTGTAAAGTTGAAAAATCAAGAACAATCTTAACTATCATCTAACATTTAAAGTCATAACCAAATTATGCATTTTTCAAGTTTTTACGAGAATGCATTATTAATTATTCAAGTTTTTAAAATGCAGAATTATTTGAAAAATAATCAATTTTATCAGAGCTACGTTTATGTGAAGAGGAAGAAGAATTAAATAATTATGTATGCAATTATAACGATACATGTGATTTTTAGCCTAAAGAAACAGATGAAAAATATATCACAGATCATTATCGGTATTATATAGTTAATGTTAATGATAGAATAACATAATTAGATTAAGAAGATCAGGATATTTATTATAAATTATTTAAAAAAGTATGTGAATACAAATTCTCTAGTAATACTTTGATAAGATGGTTAATTGCAAGAGGGTGTAATTATAACATTTTGTAATTTTAGATTTGATATTGATGCTTCATATGCAGCTATAATGAATTGGATAGTATGATATATTTATTAATTTCAGGAATGGAGAAGACAATATAGAATTAATCGTTTATCAGCAAAATAATTTCCAGAGTTTAATGGAATATTAGAAATTGTTGGAGAAAGTAAATGTGGAAGATAGGTTGTTTATACTAAATAATCTAAATTGCAGCCTGATAAAATGTAATGATTTAATTTCAATAATAGAGATCTTGAGAGATATAAGTGGTATTTTATTGGTTTTCTTGAGGATGTCTGTCGTTCTTGTAAAGGTTTTGTAGATTCTTATATAACAATTTTGGATGTAGAGGGATTTGGTTTTTCTAATTTCGATCTCTAAATGACTAAAAGTCTTCTTAATATGGTATTACAATTTTTTCCAGAGAGATAAAATAAAGTTTTCATTATTAATATGTCTGGCTTTGTAATGGGATTTTATAAAATGTTAAAGCCTTTCTTGCCTACAAGAACTAATGATAAAGTATATTTTAAATTAATTTTAGCTCATATTTTTGGGAAAAGATAAATAAGAAATTTAAAAGACCTTAATTGAACATCTTGGATTTAGTATAAATTTTGAATGATAATATAACATTTTATAAAAAAGAATAAATAATTATATCTAAAAATAATAATTCTAATATTTTTAAATAAAATAATATCCATATTGTGATTATCTTTATCTCAAGTAAATATTTGTGCATACTTCTTAAAAATAGCTTAAATCTATCTATAAAGACAAGCTCCGTTTTTCTAATAATGAAAATCTTCTCTACTTTAATGATTTAAAAGAACTTTGTTTCTCAGACCAAATTTTTCATTTCTGTTTCTTAGTCTTAGTATTTACTACATTTTAGAATTAATATCTTCTTATTTATAAGGATATTTTAACCTGTTGTGTACTTAAATTTCAAAAGGTAATTTATAAATTGTTGAATCCAAAATATCATAACGTCTCTTTTCTTTTGCATATGAAGTTTTAGTTACTAAAGGATGACGAAATTCCTCTGTCTTTTTTTTTTATGATTCAGATTAAATTACTCTTTAATATCTGGGAGTATTAATTTAAAATTAAAATTCATCACAATTTTTTAAAATATTTTCTATTTAATCTTAAGCTGTGTAGATAATTTATTTTTTAAAATGAAATCTCCTTAAACAACTTGGGTTTTAATTGCCTAATTCATTTTCACTTAAGATTGGTAGATTCAAAAAATTTAATAGTTGAGGACAAAGTGATTTAATTTCAATAGTTGTTTTTCTTAATTAATCTCTTAATGCTTCACAACTAAATTTCTTTATAGGAGAATCTTCAGATTCATATACATCAAGTAATCCTCTTTCATGAAAATACAATTATTCTTCTACTTATCCTAAATAATAATAGTTTATTGCCATTCTTTCATAAATTTAAATTTCATGTTCTTTACATAACCATGAATATTATAATGCTTTTTTTAATAATTATAAAGCTTCCTTATTCATTTTAATTTCAGTTGCACAATTTGCTAATCCAATTAAAGATACTGTCTTTTCTGAATGATTTTTTGTTATAGTATTTAAAATTCTCTCAAATATTTAATTATATTTACATATTAATTATAGTAATAACAGGCATTATTATAATCTTTAATTTTGAGTAAAATATCTGCAGTCATGCAAATTATCATTTGAAATTGCTACAAATTACCATAATCAAGGATTAAACTTATTAAGATTTTAAATTCTAATAGTTATATTTGACAATAATTTACATTTCATATATAAATCAGTTTATCTCAATATTAGTTATTCAATTATCGGTTTTGAAAAGAGACTAGTGATTTATATATTTTGTGTGATCTGCTATATAAATTAGACACTATGATGTTATTATTTATTATTTTCAATTTCTTTCTTTTAAGTTAAATTAAGACGAGCATTATCAACTGAATGATGTTAGAACGAATAAGATCTAGTTTTATGCAAAGAACGATTAAAACTAGTATTTTTGGTTGTTAGAAATGAATCTGCATGCATTATTAAATTTAATATCACAAGATTTCATCTAATTTCATTGAAATTTCTTGAAATACCTGATCAACTGTTTTATCTGCCTTTATATGGATACATTGTGAAAGAGAATCAAAATATTCTAAAGATTAGTAAAAACTATACGTATAATTGGTCTTGTTGATTCATTATAAGTTTTCAATCTTTTAATCAATGTTTCATCATTATCATCTGATCTTCCACTTTCTTAAGCTCTAATTTTAATTCTATTTTTCAAGGTTTCTTCATCACATTCAAAATAAAAAAGCTTTTTAAATTCCACCTTATCCCCCATTAATTTAATCCAAACGTCGAAATTCTCCTGATTTCTAGGGAATCCATCAATTAAAAACATTTTATCTAAGCCTTAAGCTTACATGGCAGATTCTAGTAATTAAATAGTTATATGGCTCTAAAAAATTATGTATCATAAATTACTGGGACAATTTATCCACTTTTAATGATCTCTTCAATCAATTCAGCATTTTATGTTTTTTTTGATCTCTTAAAATATATATATAATGAATTACCTCCTCTCTCAACAAATCTCCTGCAGATAAATGAACAAAATGATACTTTTCTACCATTTTTGCACTCTAAGTACCTTTACCAGCTCCAGGTCCTATTTTTCAATGATTTATAAGATAGTACCTCCCAAAACAAAAAATACTTTTGGCTTTTTAACTTAATCCATAATAAATTATATATATTTTAATTTCACTAATACTTCCTATAGTATTTTTTGGATTTATGAGTTGATTTAGATCTTCTTCTATATTAATCGCTACTATCTGATTTATTTCTTTGTCTAGATCGAGATCTTTCTTTACTATCTTACATTTTAGTAGATTCTAATATATAAAATTGAAAACTACTTTCGTAATCATATTTATATGATTTAGGATGCCTTCTTTCAAATTAAAATCCACTATTATACTTATTATTTTTATATTTATCAGAATCTACAGATTCCTATCTTTTTCTTCTGTAATCTTAAGATTTTTATGAACTATCACTGCTGGATCCTAATATTATTTCATAATTTTACTTCTTTTATAAGATCCTCTATTTTTAGAATAATCATTATCTTCATAATATCTTCTATTAGTTCTAGGTCTTTCATATTTATAACTCTAATATTTTTGTTTTTATTTTGATTTATCATAATTATGATATTTTTCATATTTATTTTTATCATACCTATCAACAGGACTTCTTTAAGTATAATTATATTTATGATGATGATATTTATGTCTTTATTTAGTTGATAAATCTCGGCTTTTCTCTGATTCTGAACTATTCTATCTTTTTTGATGCTAGTTATTACTAGAATCAGAAGAACTGTTATCACTGCTATTTTTTTATCTATCACTTCTTCTACTTAATTAAGAAGGTTGAGGAATCAATTAAATCAATGGTAAATTTTATAATTTAGGAGTGTCATCTTCTTAAACACTGTTATATCTTTTTAAAGAATCCTATTAATAATTTCCATCTATTTGTGTTTAATCAGGTTAATGTCTTTTAAATCCCAAAATTGCATTTAATATCTTTTTGGTTAACAATATTAAATTCTTTTTTCTCAACATTTATTCTTATTCACTTAAATTCTTTTATATTTCCTTTCCTAAACAATATTATATATATAATTGTGTTTCATAATCTCTTAATAATGATGGATAACAGCGTTTTACAAACCAATTATCAAATTTTTATTCACGATACTTTAATATATTAAATTAATAAAAATATGGAGTAATGAGATCCCAATTTTTCATAAATGCCATATCATTAGTCATCATTGTATTTTAAAGATATTTAAATACATATCTACACATTTACATTGACATTTAGTCTTAAAATTATTCTAATTTTAATTGACAATCCTCTTATATCATATCAAAAAACATTTGTTTCGTTTATTTAATTTGACTTCTTAAACATAATATTAAAATAGTCATATTTTTTCTAGGATGTGAAGCCTCAAATAATAATACTTTTGTAGAAGATGAATCTTTTTCAATTCTTTATTTAACTTATTTGCATTGTTCTTTATATTGTGGAGAAATTAGAACAGTGAAATAAGTCATTTCCTTATCATTATTAGTTTCTTATTCTAAAAGAGCTTTTATTGCATTACTAGTATCTTAGATTTATTAAAATGTTCCAATCAAGCAAACTTCCTTTTCTCTATATTAAATATAAAAAAATGGATGATTAATATCCCTTTAAGTTTATTCTCCTTTAGCATTATAAACAGAATCTCTAGAAATTCTGATTTCCGCATGTTACTTTAAATGGTACATGTTTTATTAGACAGTTTTCGTTTCACTTCTGCTTATATACAATCTTTAAACACATAATGTTTTTAAAATTTTTGTTATTTCTTAGACAGTTAATTCTATATTTTATTTAGACCCTTTAATTTTTATAGGTGTAGCTCTATCCATTGGAAAAATCTCTTCACTATGAGCCAAAGATTTATTGTAAATAATGTTTACCTCTTACTTTTTATCTAAACTGTTACTATTTTGAAATATTATTAAATAATTACAATTTCATAATCAATCTTTTTAAATAAATAATTGGTACTTTTATTTATCCTTCTATTATTCCTAATTCTTTTTTAAGTTCTTTAATAATTTATTCAATCATTGTTAGAATGGTTCTGAAAATGTTAATTTATTATACAGATCCAATAACTGTCAAATTATTTTCTTTTTTAAAAAAATCAGCATATTATTAATCAATTTATTCAAAACTAGTTTTATTACCAATTTTATAAATTAAATGAGCATTTCTCTTGACTAATTTTTATTCAAGAATATTGATTTTAAAGCATTCTTTTTTAGTATCAATATTTTGAATATTTAATATTTGTATTTATTCAATTTATGTTTGCAATTCTTAATCATCATTATATTATTCTTCAAATTTTTTCTATGCAACATCAACAATAGATTGCATCTATTATAGTTTACCATTGTTTTGAGGTTATAAATCAATAGAAGATTTAACCAATTGATCTAAATTGTTTAATGAAGTACCAGTAGATTTGATATTTTTAGTAGGTATAGGTAGATCTGAAATATTATTATTATCTAATTCATCTTTTTTATTTAAATGAATATCTTCTTCTAATTTATTAATTTATTAGTATTGATTTTGTTTTTATTGTTATAACTATTCTCTGAGAGATTACTTTTCTAAATATTTAAATATTTTAAAACGATTATCATATTCACCATCAGAATCACTAGAGGATGAAGATGATGCATCAATCTTTTTCTTACTTTTTTTTTCATTATTTAATTATTTAGCTTTCTATAATAACAAGCCTTCAATTTTTTGTTTCTCTTTTTCGGATTCATCTAATATTCTTTTTTCATCTTAACATTCTTAACAATACCATGCATCTTTAGGTACTGATGATAAAGGAGGAATAAGACATAATAAATGAAATCCACAATTACATTTGTCACATAATAATAATTATTCATCATCTTATGGTGTTTTAGTTTAACATATTTTACATACCATATTTTCTAAATGTTCTTCCCATTCCTCTTAAGTTACATCAGTTGGTTTCAATCCTAAATATCCTTTACACTTATTTGCACCACACAAACATTTAGTTAATGGGGTGTGAAATACATCAAATTAATAATCAAATGTTAATTCTTCATCTTCATTTATATCTCGTATAGCAAATATACCAATGCATACTTCACCTAAAACATTCCATTTCTCAGTTATGCAATTTGGCTCACAAGAATGATTTATGAACCTCGCTAGATTTCCTTTTGATGTTGGATCGATTACTTCTTAATTGTTTAGTTTCATCAAATATGTGCATGTTGATTTCTAAAATAAACACACAAATCAAACCGAATATTCTTGCACTCTTCTTCTTCCAAATGCACTATTTATTTGAAATATCTCTCCAACATATTACATTATGAATTGTCCTTTCTAAATACGTTCACCAGCAAATAACCCCATTCCTTTCCCTCCACAACGCAATGGATAAACACATGCATCATCATGTTTCTAAAATCTACGATTTTTGCATTGTTCTGCACATGGACATAACTCTACATCACATTCTGTGCACGTAAAACGATTCAAGCATCTTTCACCACAATTATATGATAATTATGGACCTTATGGACGACTATTTTTTATTATTTTATGTACTTTTATATTTAATCTTCTGGACACATTATACAAGAACAAACTAAAGTCTCGTCTCGACTAACTCTATATTGCTTTCTTTCCAAATATTGATTCTTTTTTAATAATGTAAAGTATTTAAAACTGTCTTTCAATCCCTACAATCTTGCAGGATTTCCTTATAATTTAGAAACTATCTTGCATGATAATTATTGCTTATTACATTCCTGTTTTTGGAGGTTTCTTTAAGGATAAACTAATCATTTTTCTTTGTTTTATTGCTCTCATCCAATTACATTAATTTAAAATTATTATCATTATAATATATTAGTAATAACTTTTGATGGACAATTATGTTTGCATTCATCACAGCTCATCAATTTTATTGGAGTTTCTTTAATCAATAATTTCTTTTCATTTTCACTCAACTCTTTTTCTTTTTCCTCTTTCTACACTTTTTACTACAATAAATCTCAATTATTACTTTAAAAATAATCTATTGTTCTATTTCCTTTATTAATGCTTATTTTTCCATGGATTTATCCAATTATTTTTATTTTTCAAACTGTTCTTCCAATTATTTTTATTAAATCATAATGTAATACTCTTATTTCTTTCTATTTTCCTCCTCCTTTCTTTTTTACTCATTTAATTTAACTTGATATTAAATTTGTTATTTGAATTATTCCATTTATTATTTTTTGGCCATTTCAGTTTCTTTCATAATTTTTTCATTGCTTTTTTATAAATATTTTAATTGTTCTTATTCTATTTTATTAATGTCTTCCTATTATTTTTTTAACCTTTGTTTTTCTCCTAATGTCTATTACCAATAGTTTATCATTTATCGTTATTATTATGCTTTTATTTATTGATTTTGTATTTATTGATTTTCCAATTATGTCCAATATTAAGATTCTATTATATCAGATTTATTATTTTATAGCTTTTATTATATTTTTTCTTCTTCCTTAAAAGAGATTTAATTTTTTAGATCTCTTAAATAATATTATTGCAATTATTCTTTTTTTTCCTATTATTTTAACATTTTAACTTTATCATCTCTTTCTAACTATTTAAAAAAGTTAGCTACTTCAGTTTATTCATTTTATTATTCAGTTTTAGCTCTTAATTAATGCATTTGAATTAAATCACCATTAATTTTATGATAAGTAAAAAATTTTCTTCTATTTTCTTCAACTAACTAATCTCTATATTAGTTTTCTTAATCTATTGATTATTTGACATATTAGTACAATCTCTAAAAAATTAAACAAATAATTATTACTTTGTCTTCTGATCGTTCCTTATATTGTCTCTATTCTTTTTATTTCATAAGTGATCGATTTAAACAATTGTTACAAATTTTTTTAAGTTTTGGATTTGATGGAGGAGTCATTTACAATCCAGGACTAGTTTTAACATATTATTAAGATATTGTAGGAGTTAGACATTTCTTAGGAGTGTGTGGATTTGATTGTTTTATTGTTTCATATCTTTATCTTATTTAGCGAATGTCTTGCATAAACTGACAAATAAAATTTATTCCAAATAAAAATGATAATTCTTCTTATTAAATTATTTTTTTGCGTATATTTTATATTGTTATGTCAGTCAAACTAAATGCAATAGAAAAAGGTTTTCTTTTATTCTAAATACAATCTGACTCAACTCCTAAGTCTTATCCAAATATATTAGAACTTAAGAATTTTTATCTGACTTATATACCAGAATCAAAAATGGGTATTACAACTACTCTAGTTAATAAAAAATAGAATTCTGAAATTATTTGTTTACACAATGTGGATCAATTAGTTCATAAGAAACATTGAAACAGGAGTAGTTGATTAAATATGTAAAACATTTCTCAATAAATAAGTAGCCTAAAAGTCAATGGTTAGTCATAGGTAATATCATTCTATAAGAAGATAAAAAGATTTTCAATTATTTACAGTGGGCATCTCAAATCATATTCCTAATTGATAGTTCATTTTAGTTGATATTATTTAATAGGATTTTAATAACAATCAAATCTAATGTTGATATTATTTTATAGGCTTTTAATAACAATTAAATCTAAAGCTTTTTATTAAAATTTAAAAACTTTAATTATGATTCACAACTTATTTTATTTATACTTCAAAATTTTTTTAATAATATTATTCATAATTATTTTTAGTATTATTGTTTATTTAAAATTTAATTCGAAAATATTATTATACACCAAGATGTTGATCTACTTGTATGTTCTAAACATAAAGATATCATAAGGTATTTATAATAAATAATTGTAATGATAATAGTAATTAATAAATTTTTTCAAGTTAATTTTATTTTTATTATGAAAATTAACGCTTGATCTCGGGTTATATAATCAAACATTGAGTTTTAATATCAAAAATTTTTTGACTTCTTGTCCTAATGTTTGCAATATATTGTTAGAGACATCAATAAATTTTATCGAGAATGAAATTTTACTATCTCTAGATTTATAGAATTGTTATAAACTATTCTCAAAAAAAGATCCTTAGATATTTACAAATATAATGGACTCTGAATTTCTCTATATTTATCATTTTCTAATTTAATTATATCGTAATAAAACTTACAATAAACAATAATATCTATCTTACTGATTAAGCTTTAATGATAAGGGAATTATTTAAATGAAAATTGTTATTTTAAAAATATAAGATTTCTATATATTATTATAAGTTTTGGGTTAAGGTAGCTCTGTAAGCATAGATATATTAAATTAGAAGGTAATAACTTGTATAATCTTTAAAGAAGAAATGTTAAATGGATTTCTCTATTCTAAATTTCAAGGAAATATCATTAAAATAAATACGATTATTATCATAAATATCATAGTAATCCATATTTAATTTTGAAATCTTTTAATTTAACGATAATTCAATTATTTCTTATAAAAAGACTTTTTTGCTAACTACTTTAACTGTAGATTTTTTCTATGAGAAAAACGAAAGTATAAAGGTTCTTTTGTTACCAACATCATTGTANTAAATATGTAAAACATTTCTCAATAAATAAGTAGCCTAAAAGTCAATGGTTAGTCATAGGTAATATCATTCTATAAGAAGATAAAAAGATTTTCAATTATTTACAGTGGGCATCTCAAATCATATTCCTAATTGATAGTTCATTTTAGTTGATATTATTTAATAGGATTTTAATAACAATCAAATCTAATGTTGATATTATTTTATAGGCTTTTAATAACAATTAAATCTAAAGCTTTTTATTAAAATTTAAAAACTTTAATTATGATTCACAACTTATTTTATTTATACTTCAAAATTTTTTTAATAATATTATTCATAATTATTTTTAGTATTATTGTTTATTTAAAATTTAATTCGAAAATATTATTATACACCAAGATGTTGATCTACTTGTATGTTCTAAACATAAAGATATCATAAGGTATTTATAATAAATAATTGTAATGATAATAGTAATTAATAAATTTTTTCAAGTTAATTTTATTTTTATTATGAAAATTAACGCTTGATCTCGGGTTATATAATCAAACATTGAGTTTTAATATCAAAAATTTTTTGACTTCTTGTCCTAATGTTTGCAATATATTGTTAGAGACATCAATAAATTTTATCGAGAATGAAATTTTACTATCTCTAGATTTATAGAATTGTTATAAACTATTCTCAAAAAAAGATCCTTAGATATTTACAAATATAATGGACTCTGAATTTCTCTATATTTATCATTTTCTAATTTAATTATATCGTAATAAAACTTACAATAAACAATAATATCTATCTTACTGATTAAGCTTTAATGATAAGGGAATTATTTAAATGAAAATTGTTATTTTAAAAATATAAGATTTCTATATATTATTATAAGTTTTGGGTTAAGGTAGCTCTGTAAGCATAGATATATTAAATTAGAAGGTAATAACTTGTATAATCTTTAAAGAAGAAATGTTAAATGGATTTCTCTATTCTAAATTTCAAGGAAATATCATTAAAATAAATACGATTATTATCATAAATATCATAGTAATCCATATTTAATTTTGAAATCTTTTAATTTAACGATAATTCAATTATTTCTTATAAAAAGACTTTTTTGCTAACTACTTTAACTGTAGATTTTTTCTATGAGAAAAACGAAAGTATAAAGGTTCTTTTGTTACCAACATCATTGTATCATAAAAATATGAGATGCAAAAACAATAACAAAAAAACAATATAACTGAAGATTGAATAATTAAATCATTATATATTATTTTAATCAAATGATCTATCAGTGGGTCTTGAAAATCTGGTTGCAAAAATTGAAGAATTAGATTTCTTCATTTTTGATAAGGGCGATGATACACTGCCTGTATTTATATTTGATTAATCTGTTAAATTTTATTTTTGAATCCTTTTTAACAAAGATCCTAACATTTATGATCTGGTAAGTTTCATTGATCTAACATTATATGAATCGCTATCTTAAGAATCAATTTATTTTTTTGATTCTTATCTTAAACTATCAACAATGCTATCAACCTAAGCTTTTTATAATTTTGAAACTCTTTTTGCACCATAAGAATTTTTAACAAATAGAGAAGGTTCTATACAATGGTTAGGACTTAATTAGAATGTTTATGCTTTTTATAAAGTATACTTTCTAGGTGATGATTATGGACTAATTCCCAACTCCTACTTTAATTATTATTTTAATTATTGTATCTAAATCTTAAGTTGTTATTACCTTTTAAATTTTTTAAGAATAATCTTTTGGTATATGATATTTCTGATTCAGGTAGTCAACGTATCTTTCGGAATAAGTTAATTCATTCTAGATTTCTTATATTTATTTTTAATCAATTCTGATTAATTTTTCATCTTATTCATTTTTATTAAGTATGCTTTAAAGCTACTAATCAATTGCCGGATTCGTTACATTTAAGTACTATCCTTCTATAAACAGATATAAAACTTTATCCAAATATCCATCCTCTCTAGATTTAATTTTTTCTAAATGCAAGACGTAAAACATCATGTTTATGAGGTCCAACTTTTGCCATCGAAGCATCAGTTTTGCAATTTATCCTTGTTAAGAATTTCTAACTTATATATTATTATTATACAATTGATTTTATTCTCTTGCATCCACTGTCTCTAAGCTTTTGATGAGCTTGAATAAGATTGAAATTAATATAGTTATGATCATTTCCTAAAAATCTTCTGCATGGAGGCTCTATAGTGTTTTTATCTAACATTAAACAATTATTTGATAATAACAAATTTTAATATAAACACCTTTCAAAATATGAACTGAATTTTTCAAATCAATTATAAAAATGATAACCTTTACATTCAAAGATATAATGAAATATTTTAAGTTCCATTTATTTAATATTATTCTTTAAATATAAAAAAAATTATAGAGTATAAATTTTTCCGAATACAAAGTTATTACATTGTAATATAAATTTGAACTATTACAAAATACCTTTAATTAAAATATTTATTAATAATAATAAGTATTCAGAAAAGGAAGAATAAAAAATTAATAAAAACTACAAACAAATTTTTATTAACAACAAGAATATGCAAATTCACACTCCATATGTTTTAAGTCTCTTGGAATTAACTTATAGGGTTGTATTTTCTACAACATCTTCTACTTCTAATTAAACTTTTTATTTTTTTTCTTATTATTCTTCTTCTTATTATTTTTTTTAAAAGTCTTTTGGATCTATTCCTTTGAGAATTAATTTCTTATTTCTTTTTGTACTCTTTCTAATTTAAGCTAATAATTTTTCAGCTTTATTTTTCTTAATTTTAATTTAACCATCTCTATAAGGAGCTAATTTCTTAATTGAAACATATTAATTCAATAATTTATCATCAGCATAAAGTAAATCGTCATTTGTTAAACCAAAATCTTGTTTATCAACATCAATATATTAAAATTTAGTTTTGATTCCACCAGCTATAACATCTTCAAAGTCTAAACTATAATATTCATCAATAATGTTTTTCAAATTAGAAGGAAGCTTTTCTTTTAATTATTCAGGATTTTCATCCAGTAATTTATTAATATCAACAATTTAAGCTTCTACTAATGTATATCTTTATTAATTTTTATCTTTTTCAAAACAATCAACACATAAATAATCTTTTTTGCTTTAATAATAATCATTTTCTTCAGTCATTTTAATTTAACATGCTCTACAATATTTAAATTAATTTATTAATGATTAAGCATCTTCTGTTTTTGGTGGTTTACAACTTTTAGGTACTAAAGCCTTTTTTAATTTATGTTAGGAATGTTATTGTATACAATTTTCACAAAGTGTATAATCTTCACAAACTTAACAATCCCATCTAAAATTATTTGGCTAAATAGTTTATTTACAAACATCACAAAACCACCAGATTGTAACATCTTCATCTTATAAAGCATCCATTTCCCTAAAAATATAAATAATTTAAATTACTCTTAATTTAAATTTTTTTTCATAATAATTGGAATTGTTGGTTTAATCTTTATAACATTATCTACATCTAAATTTTATTCTTTTTTATCACCTTATTCATCTTATTCTTATTCTTCTTCATTTTACTCTAATTCTTCAGGAGAATCTTCTTCATTTTCAAAATATTCTTCATCAAAAATCTTTTCCATTTTTTTATCAAATTCTTCTGGTTAAAAATCTTTTTTATCAATTTCTTCTAATAATAATTTAGCATCTTTAATTCCACCTATTTATTATATTTTTTAAAGTTTTGATATAATCTCATTCTTTTTTGCTGTTTTCAATTACTTTAATTCTCTTTCTAATTATTCTTTTTATTCCTTTTCTCTTTAAGCTTTTGCTTATCTCTGTCTCTATCTTGCTGTTTCAGGTTCTAATCTTAATGTATCTTTAAGATCTCTTTCATAAGTTATTAGTTAATTTCCTCCTTCTTCTTCAAATCTAAAATTATATTTTTCTTCAAATTCATCCATTCTTTCTTCATCTTCAGAAGAATCAATTATTTCATTCATATCATCTTTATCAATCCAACCTTTTGTTAAAATATATTTTCTTAAAAATTTATCTTTTTCATCCAAATCTTATTCATTTCCCCAATACCTTTATAATATATCTTATTCTTCTGGTTATTATTTTTTTAATAATTTTTCAAACTCTTTATTTTCATCTTCTATTTCTCTTGCAGTTTTTTATTTTACTTTAAGTAATTCCTTTTATTATTTACTAGATTTCTTAGCTGCATCTATAAAAGCATTTTTTAATTTAATTTATTCTTCATTAGGAGTCATACCTATTTTTGGTTCATATTCTTCTTCTATTTCCTCTTATTCATCTTCAATTCCTTATCCTTAAAGATCTGCATATGTAATCTTCTTTTGATTTTAATTAAATTATTCTGGTTCATCAAAATCCTCTTCTTAAAATATTTCCTTATTTTTATAAATATCTGGATGTTTGTATCTTATTTTTGCAAGAGTTTCAATAAATTTTTAAGTAACTTTATCATTAATTAAATCTCCATTCTCATCTTCTGGAATTTAATCCTCGCTGCTTTCCTCTTAATCTAGAATCTCTCCTTTCTTATCTAATAGTTCCCGTTCCTTTTTTTATTGATACTTTTCTGCAAATTTCTTATTTATTTTTAATTTAAGCTTTGGCTGTTCTTGACCTTCAAATAATTTCATTAAATTTAATAAAAAATTATTATATAAAAATATTTCACATATATATTTTTTTATTTTTATTCAAATTTTATCATATATATTTATTACATAAATTTTATTATTTATAATACTTGCCGTCAATATGGTAACAAAGTTAACACTTTAAATAATTAATCATATTTTATAGATTAGTCTGACCATTTTAAAACATTATTTATCTAATTATCATCCAACAATTAATTCAATACTAACTTTACTACAGATATTTCAATTAAGGCTGTTTCTTGATCTGAAAAAAACTTTAAAACTTCCAATAATTTATCAAAATTAGGATAAATTTATTTAAATGCTAAATATACACTAAAATAAGAAGCATCCAAATCTAATTAATATTTATCTTTTTTTTATCTCTCTTAACGTAAATAAACTTCTTTTAAAATGTTTTCCAGATTTACATCATCAATAGTAAATCCTAAAGAAAATAAATAAGATTTTAATTTATCAGATAACATATAGCAAGTAGTCCAGACTGAATTATTTTAATTACTATCTCCTTATTAAAATAAAATATAATTAGTTGAACATAATTAAAAAAACTCAGGATCTTTTTCTTTTAATAAATTTTTAAATTATTAAGCATCATACTAATCACATTATATTTAATGATTTTTATTATTATCAATTACAGTTTCAATTTTAATTTCTGATAATCTTTTTTAATTTGGTTCTTAAATTAATTTAGAATATTTAAAAAGATATTAAGAAATAGTAAGTAAATTTTTTTAATGTTACCTAAAAGTTAATTCGTAACCAAAACATTGTTTAGCTTTAAAATTTCTATCAGTTGAACTTATTTAAAAAGGTTTAGTAGTTAAATTTATTTATTATTATTATTATTAATTTTAGTTGTCAGCCTCTTTAATTTAAATTGAATTTTTCAACTTATCTTAAATAGATTAATAATGATACGTTTCTTTATTATTATTTTATTAATTTTTAAATGGTTAATTACTCTATGAGTTTTATGATGATTTTTATTTATTAGTAAAATAATCTTCAATATTGATCATATTTTTTTCTTAAGTAGTTAATTTGTCAACCTCATCTTATAGTTTGTTTTTTTAAGCAGGACTCTAATTATCATTTTTTTATTCACTAACAATTTTACTACCTGTTAAATAAGGAAGTATCTTACTATTTTATGGTTAATTTTCTTAAGGTGTGTTATCAAAGACATTATTTATTACTTCTTTAGCTTTCTAATTTACTTAATTTGAGTTTGTCTCAATAACTTATTTTGGAATTTATTTTGTTGTACATTCATACAAATCTTATAATAAATTATCTAAATCCTCTTCCTCTTTATCATTCACCAACGATTTTTATATAGAAGAATCCTTTCTTGCATTTTAATAAATATCATCAAAATGATATTATTAGATATTGTCTTTAACAATTTCTATAGTTTCATTATGAATTGATTGTAAAAGTGATTATTATTAAATTAAAGATTATTCATTTTAACCTCCGCCAAAATGTTATAATTATGGTGCATCGAATAATTCTGATTAATAAAGTCCAGATTAATCATTTACTTTTTATCGATGACTTAAAAAATTATCCAAAATATTGCTAATATTATTTGTATTTGAATTATTTTATCGAGATTATTTTTTTATATGTTCTGATTTTATTGACATCTTTTTCATTTATGGTATATCTTCACTATCATTTAATTAAGAATTTATTTAAAATAACTCTTCATGATGAAGACTTGATTTTTTTGTACTTTTATCCAATTATTATTATTAAAACACTTGACTGATAGGTAGTTATGGAATAAAGACAGGACTTTATTATGTTATATTTGTTAAATTTAACTCATCTATATTTTATTCTTCATATTTTGTTTGCTATTATTATATTTATTTTTATTGATTTTAATTCTAATTTTAAGACTGCTTATATTTTGGAGATACTGGAACAACATCTTATTATTTATTCAACAATTATTAATATTATTATGGTTATTATTTCAATTAAACTTAATACTAATCAGGCATAGGCTAACTAAATGAAAATCTTTTATTTTATTCTTAATAATAAGCATCTAATTAATTTTAATATTCATCTTCAGAAATTTTCTAAAACTATTATGCAGATTCATTTTAATCATCTTAAATTGTATTTTTCTAATTTTCAGAAGGACCACTCTTTTTTGATAGACTTTCAAAACTAATTGCCATTATTTATTATAGTTTTGCTTTTTATTTAGTGGATTTTGGTTTTGTTTTATTTTTCGCTTCCATTTAAACAATTAAATATTAATATTAAATATATTATTAATATTTATTTTATATTATGGAATTTTCTTTACTTCAAATAATTTTCCAATTTAATTTACTATTTCTTGAATAATTTTGATCAATTTAAGATCAGCATTTAAAAATCTAATAAAAATTGTAAAAATTCTTTAATTTTAGATTAGTTGCTAATATATTATTGTAATTAAAAGAATTAAAATTTTTTAGTTTTATTTTAAAGAAATATAAACATTTTAAATTTATATTAATTATTTATTTACTCTTTACTCAACTTAAGATTCCAGTAAGTTAAATTTATATGGCCTAGTATTATTTAAGTGAAAATGTTAATATATGAAATATTAACAATTAATTTTCGGAGATTTATTGTACTTTTATCATAGGAAATTAAAAACTAATTCATTGATATTGTATTAATTAATTTTAATGGGGAATAATTGTTTACATAAATAAGAAAATTAGAAAGCATAAATTATTAAAATTAATGGATATCCCCGGTTGAATTATCCAAACAAGTTATTGTTAGAACCTAGCATTCAAAATTTATCATAAAATTTGGATACATTTGAGGAAGACTTTTTTAAAAGTGAATTTATTTTAGATTTCTAACCAGACATTAATAGAAATTAGAGCACAAGAAAAGTTAAGCTTGGATCAACTCTTGAAGAAATTAATCGATTAAATTTAATTCAATGTCCTTCTTTATGTCACATAGATGAAAAACATGATTTTAATTACGATAATAAATTAAAATTGATTCCTAATCTTCATAAGAATGATAAAAATGTTATTTTATAAGGGAAGAAATAGAAAAAATCAAAGAATAGAAATAAAAAGGTTACACTTTTAAAATTCGAATAACCCAAAAGTATTCTCAAGACTCATACAAAATAAAGATCATCCTATAGTAGTTGTTGTGATGATAAAAGCTAACATACAGTAACCTTCAGTCTTGCTTCTAGTAAGTCAAGAAATTCAAGATCTCTATCACCTATGATAATAGCTTTATCAATGAATAAGTAAACAATAGAGAGTATAAGCTTATCTTAATTGTAATAGTTTCCTTACTTGTGATATGAACTAAAAGTTTCTTAATTATTATATATCTTTATAAAATATATAACAAGAAGTAATAATGTTTTATTTATTATCATTAATATTAATTATTATAGTATTTTCTTAAAGAAATTAGAAATAAGAATAAAAATAAATTCATTAATAATTATTTTGTAATAATATTTTTTCATTTGAATTAAAAGTTTGATCTATCATCATCTAATGCAATTTTCTAAAATTTTTGACTATTATAATTTAAAGATAATAATAATATTTAATAATAATATTTAATAATAATATTTAATAATAATATTTAATAATAAATAATTAAAAATAAATAAAACTAGCTCTGAAAATAAAACAATAAACCTTTTTTCGTTAGTTTTAGGGTTTAAATGAAAATAATTTAAGAAATAAAAAATCTATGGATGATAATTTTTTATCAAATATTATTAAGAACTTATCAACAACATTTTTGTGATTATGTTTCTCCTCCAACTAATGTGATATTTTATTATATTTTATCTCGATCCTGAGAATTTTAATTTTACCCTCTTCTTATAAGAATTTATTGAACTAATTCAGTATACATTTCTTTGACTTATGCACCTGTTCTTGCAGAACATTCAAAATACTTAATTTAGTACTAAAATAAAAAAAAATAATACTTTTTATGCTAATTGTTAACCTTCAAAAGTGGTTACTTCTCTTTATGAAATATCACACTTATTTGCAACTAACACAATAGAGATTTATTCACAATCAATTTATTCTTTTAAATTATCAATCCAAGTTTAAACTTATTAAAATGAGTTTTTATCAACAACACTATAAACCAAAGAGACTCCTTAGGCATTTCTATAAAAAATAGGAGTAATTACTCTAAATCTTTCTTAACCTAAGCATTAAAGAATTTTAATTACCTGCTGTATCCCAAACTTAAACTATCACTTGATTATCTCCTTAAGTGAGAATTTTCTATCTATACTCAACTCCTAATGTTGCCTACATATTTTCAGAAAACTTTTCATCAACATAACGATTTAAAAGGGAAGACTTTCCAACAGCACCTTCACCTAACATAAGAATTTTGACCTTTTCTGTCATTTTATTTTTAAATTTATATAAATAATATCACTAAGCTAAAGTTTATAATTATTCTTTTATTTTACACAAATTGTTGTGAAAATTATTAACTTCATTTTAATTAAGCTAAAATGTCACATTTTCCTTTGTATTAGTTTAAGTATTTAGGGTTTCTAATTATAAGAATAAGACAGGCATATTAACCTATAAATTATTATTATAGAAATAACTTTTTATTAATTATGCGTCTGAATTTATACATCTACTCTCCAATCTATATCAATAAGTGAATCTGCTTAACAAATTTCTCTATTTGTAATTTTATCACATACTATAATGATTATATAAAATATCTTACATTCAGAAATTTAAAGTATAGAATCGGTAAGTAATCTTGCTAATTACTAATCAAAATTAGATGGATATATTTATAAAATTGCTTGTTCATTCCATTAAAGTAATTCTGCATTTTCTAAAAGTTTCACTAAACTTATAATAAGTGTATGTGCTTATTTTTCAGTCAATTATAAATCTTAAGGTAATGAAGCACTAACAGGTGTTTCCATAAATTCTTAAAATGAGTTTAGTTTGTTTCTAAATAAATAAGCATATTCAAATAGTTTTCTCACATATTTTTTAGATGGTAATTATGATAGAAGTCCAAGGATTTAAAAATTCATTATTTATTTAATAACCCATAAAATCTAGGATTTGTGATAAATATTTAAACAAATAAAAATATATTTATTTTCTTTGATCCTTCCCTGGTCAGATTGACCAAATGATGAGCGAGAATTAAATCCAATTGCGGAATCAAGTCTGGTCTCCAAACTCTTGTTACGCATGGACTTAAAACTATCTGACTATAACTATATATATATATTATATTTAATAATGTTTCTTAGACGCTCTTTCAATCTTAATATAGAATATAGTAGATGTGTAAAACTCTCTTTCTTGTTTTCTTTTAATATAATTGCCTAAACTAAATTTATGCTTCATATAATTATAATTATTCATTATCTCTTTTATTTTCAAATTCTATTTAAATTTAGTAATTTTTTTGTAATGAATAACATTCTAAGTAAATTTAATTCAGATTATTCAAAATTTTACCACCTATTCTGAAACCTTCAATTAAAACAAATCTAATTTTATTTGATATATAGTACTCAATTCAGATTCTTCTCTATTTTCAAACAAAATCAAATGGTCTTTTAAGTATTTTTAATCTTTTATTAGGATAGTCATATTCTCATACAAAATATTTTTTTTTTTAATAAGAAAAGGCGGAAGAATATTAACTTTTATTAGTTCCTTTTCTTCACTTGGGATCAATTAGTAAAACCTGATTTAATAAAGCTTTAATAAAGAACACTAAAAAATGACGCAATTGTCATTAATGATTAAATTTTATTACTTTGAATTTCTCGACAATTTTTTCTATCCAATTATGAAGTTGGATTATTAATTGAATTTCTTTTTTAATTAAAATATTTTGGAGGAATTTGGAGTAATCTAATAATTATTTTAGAAATTCAATGAACTTTAAATTTTCTTTTTCTTTATAAATATAAAACTTACCAGTTATCTTAAAATTATGAATGATTGTTAAGTAGAGGAATATTGAAGTGAGATTATTGAAATTCTAAGTCAAAGTTATTATAAAATTGCGCCTTACTTTTAGACATTAATTTAATTAATGGATATAACAGCAGAACTCAAGAGTCTAAAAAATGGAGATATTCTTTTAGCAGAAGGATTTTCATTATTTGAAGCCATGTCAGCTACAGAATTATTTGATAAAAAAATAGATGTAAAACTGGGTTTGGGTGATGCAGATACTCCATAAAAATTACTTGAATCAAATTAAATAAAAATAGGTTCAAAACTTAGTAATGAAGAAGTAAGCATATTAAAATCAATAATTATAGCTTGTAGGACTATTTGATTTGGTGATTCAGAAAATTACATGTTGGTTAAACGGAAATGCATTAGCATAGACCATTTATACATTAGTGTATTAATATGATGATTCATTGTGGGATAATCCATTTGTTAAAGCATTGTTTGATACATTAAATACTGTGGGGAGTCACATCTTTAAAATTATCAAGGATGCTCCATTTCTTAGAGAAGAAGATTATAATCCTTCTGTTTTTAGTTTCAGAAACTAAAGAATACTTACTATTTAGGAATTATTGACAACTAGATTAAATCCATTAGATACCGAATTAAGTAGTAAAATTAAGAAATCCAAATAATTAACTATAGCAGATGCTCTCTCTTCTAGAATCAAATTACTTAAAGGATTTTGCTTAATAGTATAATGTCTATAATAAACTTATACTACTGAATTATAAAAATAAATTCTAGATCATATTGAATTCATACGAAAAAGATTTGATGCTGTCATCTAAACTAAGGCTTTAGGAAAAGATATGTCAAATTATTAAAGTACAACTATACTTAAACATCTTAAATCTATGATAAGTATGAGAAAAATACCTCATATGGAAAATCCGTATGAATATTTTAATACTATGCTAAATTAATTAGAAGCAGTTCTTGATTTAAGTACAGAACGTAATTACTTTAGCATTTAATAAAAAATCTGTAATCTTATTCATGATTATCCTAAAAATATTTTAATTAGAGCTTATCTAGAGTAAAATCTATTTAAGTATGATTAATTCTTATATTTCCATTAAACTCCATGGATTAATATCATTATTGGAACTCTTAATAAAATGTTTTCTTAGAATTTTGATTAATTATATCAAAATGTATTCAAAGAATATCAAGACTGTCTTGTACCTGTTACTTATGAATACATAATTAAATAATTAAGATCGAAGTTTAGAAAAAGTAGAGATTTTCATAAAAATTATTCACATTTATCAATACTTGTTCATCATAGTAATTAAATTGATTAGGATATCTTCAAAAATAAAAACCCATTAATGATCTTCAGTTATGAAATAGCTGTTTAATCTATGATTTAATAATTATAATATGGTTTTGATTTAGAACTCTATTCAGATGTAGATTATGCTAGTATTTACTTTTATCTAGAGTATTTGACAACAATTCTTGATAGAAATAGAACTAATTATGTTAATTAATTGCCAAATTCATAACGAGAATAATTGTAGAATCAAAACAAAAAGAAACCTAAAGTATCACCTCTTATTGACCAAATGTACTTTGAAATTCAATATTGGAAAGGATTGAATTGTCTATTTAGAGTAAGATCTTATTATAATAACAGGGTTTATCAAGGTTATATTATACCTTAATGGAAAATGGATTCATTAAAAAGGTCCAAGATATGAATCATAGATATTCCAATAGAATGAAAATTTTTGATACTTGCTATTATATTAAAGCTATTAAATTTGATGAATATACTCAAAAAATGAATTCTTATGGTTCATTTCAAGATACACTTAAATTTGTCAGTTCATCCTTAAGTGAAGCTTAATAGCTTTTTGCTTAAGTCAAAGAAAACAAAATGCTGCCTTAACAAATTTAAGATCAATCTAAAGATTTGGTTATGGTATTTATCATTTTTTATTCATTTAATTAGATTTGTGTTGTGACATCAGTCAATGCTATGAAATTAATCTAAAATTAAAAATACTCAATTTCATTTAAGAAAACAACAATATCATTTGTACCATAAATAGAGTTAATTGCATTATAATAATGATTCAAAATAATTTTATTATATGATTATTAGTGATCTCATTCTTAATTACCATTTATTGTAAACATCCTAAACTATATACATATCCTGTTGTTTTAAGACTCTAGGTATTTATGGAATTCTCTTACATTTTGGACAATATTTTTATACATTTTTTGAATCTATCTATTTAGGTGCCTGAATTATCTAATTCTTTTACTAAACATTATTTTACTTTTTAGAAAAATAAAAATCTAAAAATTTCAATCCTAAATAAACAAATAACATTCCATGGAGATTCCATTTAGAATCTAATCTAATCAAATCTTATTTTATTAAATAATAAAAAATAGCATAACTTTGCTGATCATCACTTAATAAATATTAAAATTTTACTAAAATATCAATCAATTTATATCCTCTATAAAAATATTGTATTATATTCTTTCTTCTATCTTAATTTGGATTATTTGAATATTCATGTAGTCTTTATAAAATGTAAGGGATCCAAATTCTTAGCATCAAAGTTCCAATTCATTTAAACTTCTTATTTTATTATTATTCAGATAAGTAGAAACCATAAAATATTCAGCATAAGAGGCATTCTACTTTAAAGCATAAGGTAGATTAATACAAAATTCAATTAAATATGCGATTTCTTTTGTATATTGAAAATATTATATTAATCGATCTTATTGTGTAATTATTCCTATTGAATATTGTAAAGCATTTCTTAATGATCTATGAAGATTATTTGATGATTAAGTATTCAAAAAAATGAATTCTTCCAGCAAATTCAGTTCTGCTATCCATTAATTTATATATATTTATTAATGGAATAGAAACCTAAATTGACTTTTGGAGATATCAACTTAAAAAATTTAGAATAATTCAAAGTAATAACCCAGAAAACCTTACCAGTAACATATAGTGAAAACTTCTATTACAAAATTCTCTAATATACAGACTTTTCCACTATAGGTATTAAAATTAATGTAAACTTTAGGTTATTATAATGACATAGCAGTTGGAGCTATAACAGCAAGAATAGAGGATAAAGATGGAAAAAAGACAGCTTATATAATGACATTTGGTGTTTTAGATGCATATCGTCGTTTTGGATTTGGAACATAACTTTTGAATGAATTAACAAATCGAATAAGATCTCATCAAGAAATAAGAACAATATATTTGCATATGTGGGTTAGCAATGAAATTGGATTTTAATTTTATTGCAGACATGGATTTGAAAAAACAACTTACAAAAAAAATTATTATACAGATATTGATCCACCTCATTGTTATATTCTAACAAAACGTCTCTATCCAGATGTTGATCCTCCTATTCCTTACACAGAAGAGGATACAGAAAAAGAATAGGATATTGCAAAATAATGAAGTATACATTTAGTAATATTAATAAATAAAAAGAAAACTTATATATTCTTATTATATGTTTAATTATATCATCTATTTTTGCTATATATAAATCTGTTTATGAGAAGATATATCATAATTTCGAATACTTTGTGACTATCTCAAAATAAAACTAAATTATAATTTACTCCCTTAATATATTTATTTCATATATTGTGAATGGTTTAAGGTTTATTTTTATTTAAGCTAAGTAAATTTTGAAGCATCATTAATCCGAATAAATTAAATGCCTTGCATAATATTAGAAACAATTAAATAATTATTTTGTAAACACAACAATGGTTTAATAATTAAAATAAACCTATCCTAATTAATTTTTTATTTATTAATTAAACTTGAATGAAATAAAGTTTAATTAGATTTAATGGCTTAGTTAAATGTTTTCAATCACATTGAACAGTTAATTAATCTTTATTTTGCATTACTTATATTCATTTATAAATGTTAGCATAAATTGAATCTTTGCATAATTAAAATTAGTCTATGTTATCATTTAATGAAGTTGTGAAATGGGAATGGCTGCCATTTAACAACAACATTGTTCATAATGGGCAAACTCTTAGAATAGAAGCATCTAAAGTTATCAAATATTAAAACTCAAATCAAGGCTATGAGCTAGATTTAAAGTTATGGAAGCCCTTTCCATTCAGCACCAATATTGGATGGAATTGGCACAAATCCTGGAATATCCCAGAATTAGAGTGTTAATTGAAAGTATATAATAAGGTCATTAACTTTTAGATTGATAATGATTTGGACCATCATATACTGAATACACTAACAATAGTGGCAAATCTCTATATTGTGAAACATAATTATGATAAAATGGAAATGGAAAGCATAGGATGCAAAGGAAGTCCTGAAGGTGTCTTTAGAAATGGAATTTCAATATTAAGATAATTAAAGTTCAACACAACATCATATAAGAATGAAGTACTATTTATAAATAAATATTTAAGTATCAAAAGTTCCAAATAGTTGTGGTAATTAGTTAAATCAGTAGCAGCCAGTAGTCCGTTATCGATGCTAAATGTTCTCCTTATATATTTGTAGATTCTAGAAAACATGCTAGGTAACAAGCTCTCAATAATAATATTTAACTTATTATTGATCCCTTTTTACCTGAAAATTTAGATAAAGAATTTGTAAAAAAGGAGAGAAAAAATTAACCTAAAAGTTTATTAAAAGTTGATAATACAATCCAAGGCTTAATTAATTACTTCACAGCCCCTAATATAAGACATAAAATCAAACACCCGTTATTCTTAGCAATTAAATTTGATAAATGTGTAAAACTCTACCTAAAAAAATAATATTTTGCTAAAAATTCAAAAGATGTCATCTTAAAAGTTTAAAGTATTCTGATGAAATCAAGATAAGATACCGATAAAGGAATGGCTTTACTATTTTAAATTGATTAAACTAATGAACTTGAATTCAAAAAAGTAATTTTTTTTTAATTATAAAGGTTTATGAAATCACTTAAATCTTTGAAAACGATATATTTATGCTCTATACTAAGCAAGATTAGATTCCTGAAGGTTATACTCCAATCGAAGATATTTCAAGAATGAAGTATCATTATAAATAATTGTATCCGAATTTGATAAATCAAAAAAGTGGAGTGAGTTTTCAATCTGAAAATTAAGAAGAACAACCAATTTTAAAATAACCAAAATTAAATGAGAAGGATTATGAAAACTAAATAGATACTCATTTATAAATTAAATAGTGTTAATAATAAATATAGTAATAAGAGGACTATAATTATAATCAAAATTTTAATTACAATAACGAGTTTTGGTCTTATTATAATTAATAATAATAATAATAGCAACAACAACAATAACTATAAATTTAATAATAATAGTAATGGTTCAACAATATGTAGCAACAGCTATACCAACAACATCAATATTACATGATGCAACAATAGTAATATTAATACAATAGATTCTATTGATTTATAAGTATTAATAATAATTTTAAAATACTCAAACGATTATTTATTTATTATTTTTCTTTTTATTCATTCATTAATTTATTTATGAATATTATTATAAAAATAAGATTATCTTAATTTTAACTGAGATGTCATTTTCCAAATATTTTATCTTAAAAAGAAAATCTTTTTAAAGCTTCCATTAAAATGTATCGTAAAGTATCAAAGAGGGTTGAAAAAAATATTTTGTTAAATAAATTTATGAATATTTAAATTTAATTAATACATGGTAAATATTAAGAAAAAAAACCTGAGAGCTCGACAAGGAACATAAAGATGGAGAAAGAACATCATTGTTGAGATGGGTGAATTCGAGAATATAGATTTTACATAAAATGATGCTAAGCCTGTTGATTTTTAGGTTGATGCTTAACCAATAAATATATATGAAAATAAAGATAGATTTAAAAAGAAACCTAATGATCCAAATAAATAATCAAAACAAGAAAAAATAAAAATCTAAAATATGGCATAATAATAGAGATAGCAATGTTAATCATAAAAATTGAATGAGAATAAAGATTTATGGGCAGAAGAAGGAGGATAAAAAAAAATATAAGGAACGGATGTAAAAGCAGTAGTGACCCCTCATCCAGGATAATCATATAATCCTTAATTAAAAGATTATAATGAATTGTTAGATTAAGTAGTAAAAAAAGAAATTAGATCACATTAGAGATTATAAAATTAAGAAACCGAAGCAGAGAAAGCATAAAAATTGATAAAAAGGTAAAAAATGAAATTAATTAAATTAGAGAGAAAGAAAAAAAGAAAAAAAGAAAAATGAGTATGATCTAAAAAATTCATGGAAAAGAAGTGGTTGATAGATTAATAGAAAAAAAGAAAAATCACGAACTTCTATTAGTAAAAAAAATAAAGAAAGAACTAAATGCGTAAGAAAAGATGAGACTAGAAAAAAGAAAATAATAGAGAAAAGAGAAAAAGTTATTGGAAAGAGCAAGAAAATTATAGGGTAGAAACTTGGTACCAATAAAAGTAGGAAATAAAAAGTAAGAATTAAAACTAATCTTAGAGTGGAAGTGACATAAGATGAATTTGTATTAGATGATTAATTAAAGAGTCATTTGAGACATGTAACTTAGGGAGATTTATTAGTGAAGAGTGAATTTGATGGTTTTGTTAGAAGAGGATTGATTGAACCAAAATCAAAATCAAACAAATTATCAAAGGCAAAAGTTCCATTATTTAAAATTAAAGAAAAATGATTGTTAAATATTAATTTATATTTCAAACTATGTAACAACATTATCTTAATCATGCTAATCCTACAAATGGTGGTGTAGTTCCAAATCCATCTACAGGAACAAGAAGTTAAAGTAATTTAGATGAAGATTGGCTATTAATTGCTGGTATAGTACTAGCATTTTCTTAATTGGGTTTTGGATTTTTAGAGGCTGGATCTGTTAGATATAAGAATGCTTAATCAATAGTTATAAAGGTATTTCTTGGGTTATGTTTAACAGTGTTAATTTATTGGTTGGTAATATGATTTGTAATAATAAAAAATAGTTCGGTTATGGATTTTCATATGGTGATGATTTTGGAACATATTTTATGGGAGGTACAAAACTTGGAGCATATAATTGGTCAGCAACAGAGACATAAAATGATTATTCAAATTTTGGTAGTTAAATTTAATATTATTAATAGTGTTTAGAGCAACTTTATCTTGTATAGGTGTATCAATAGTATCTGGAGGAGCAGCAGAGAGATTAACATTCTTAGCCTGGGGTGTTTTGGCTTTATTTTATTCAGGATTTGTATCACCGGCAATAGTTCATTGGACAAATAAAGATGGATGGTTAACAAAGTTAGGATATAAAGATTTTGGAGGAGCAGGATTTATATTTTATTCAGCTGGTGTTGCAGGTTTAATAGTTACTATAGTATCAAAACCAAGAAAATATAGATTTGAATAAAATTCTAGTTTAAATTTTTAGGCATTTAGTTCAATATATGTGGCTTTTGGCACAATAATTCTCTTTGCAACATGGATGTTTATTAATGGTGGATAAATCTAATCGGGTTAATCTACTCCATACATTCAAGGATTAGTGGCTGTTAATACTTTGGTAGCTGGAGCTGTAGGTGGATTTTGGAGTTTTATAACTAGATATTTTACAAAAGAAACAACAAGTTTATTCTCAATATCTAGAGGTATATTGGCTGGATTAGTAGTCAGTTCTGCTGCACCTCATGAATCATAAATTTGGGCTACTTCTATTATTGCCTCTATTGCTGGAATTATTTATACATTATCAGCTACAGCCTTACCAAAAGTTAAATTAGATGATCCAGTATAAATTGTTCCAATTTTCTTGGTATTTAATTCATTTATTTTAGCATGGTGGATTCATAGGAATCTTATTTACTGGTCTATTAGATATTAATGGAGGCTTATTCTATGGAAAAGGAATGAAATTACTTGGCTGTCAATTATTAGGTTTATTAATTATAACAGTTTGGGTTGCCTTCTTTGTTTTCTTTATCCTTATTGTTTTAAAAGGTTTTGGTGTTTTGAGAATTGATTCCGATACAGAAGTAGCAGGAATTGATAAAGAAAAATGTAATTTATCATTTTATTTTAGGTAATTATGAAGCCATATCATTTACTAATGAAGATCACTAGCAAGTGAACATTATAAAAACAGTTTCTTATTGATACATATATATATAAATATTAATATTTTTAATGTATTAATAATAATTTGCTAAACCAACTAAGCAGATTAAGAGCAAGGCTTTTAAAGATAGACTTAAAGGCCATAAGGATGCAATCATCACATTGATTAGTCCCTATGGAATTAATGGCAATTACCTATATTCTGCTTCTAGAGATGGAAATGTCAAAAGTATTCATATAACTACTTAGGCTGGGATCTATTAAATAGGCAAATCGCATCCAAATTTTTGATTTCCAAAATCTCAGATGATACTACAGTCTAAGATTAAGATGAAAATTAGTAAACAACGAAGGGAAATATCATATGCGCTGCAACATTTTCTGAATCTAACATTTATGTTGGATATGATGATGGCTTCATTAAATCCAATAATATTAAAACTGGAGAATCTGTTTATTCGTATCAAGGACATAAAGCTTAAGTCACATCTATACATTTTTTAAATATTAGATAACTTGCATCTAGTTCTCTTGATGGTACTGTTAGACTATGGGATACAACAAGCAATGAATGTGAGGTTATCTTTAATATCGGATATCCAATCAATTCTATGAATGTTATTTTTGATAAAGAAATCAATCTATTATATGGCAAAAATACTATCGTCTAAGTTGATCCATACAAATAATCTATTCTTAGGAGTGTTCAATTCCCTAATTTTACTATCATGTCATACCTTGTACATAAAAACTTATTGATTCTTGGAACTATCGATAATTTTATACATCTTTATGAACTCTAATCATTAGATTAGCCTAATCCTTAACCTATAAAGGTAATTGTTGGATTACATGGATGGGCTTTATGTATGTTGGTTCATGATCCTTATTTATACATTGGAACTGATGATAAAAAAATCAAAGTGTATGAAATGAAAAATTGGGAATTAAAAGAAGATTTCTCAGGACACATTGATGGAGTAACTACTCTCGCCCTTGCTAATGGTCTATTATATTCTGGCTCATATGATCATCTAATCAGATCTTGGGATTTAGAAGAAATGTATTAAAGAATCAGAGAAAGAGCCATCATGGAAAAAGAAGATTTAAATGTAAATTTTCCTTTCTATATTCATAGAGTAGAAGATATGATGTATATTTAAAGAGTTTACCCAAAAAAAAAAAGGCACCACCTAAAAAAAAAAAGTGATTTCATGTTTATTTCATTTCTTAAATTATTTTTAATATTTTTATAATAATTCATAATTATAACTCATTTCAAATTTTAATATTATATTTATTTAAGTTCAAAAATTAAAATGATGAGGTTATTACTATTTTGTTTATCTTTATGCAAAAATCTTATTGAGTCTTACTTCTTTTCTTTAAAGAAGATCTCCATCTAATAAATATTAGCTGTCTTTATGTTCTCTTGTTTGTAATTTATTTTAATAAATTTATTTCTCTAAATAATTTTGGTAAATTAATTTAAATTTTGTATATGATTATAAAATATGTGAAAAAAAGATAAAAAATTAAAATTTATTAGATTTTTTAACTTAAATCCAATATCGAAAATTCAATATAAAATGGAAAATTTGTTGTTATATATTCTTTGAGAATATAATTTTTCAAAATAAAAACTAAGACTATTAATGATAATCTCATAAAATAGGATTAAATAATTAAAAATAATAGGATAAATTAAATTGATTCATAATTATAGGTAAGAAGACTACAATTATATATAAAAATAAATAAAAAGTAAAAATAAATGTTTCAGATAAATTATGAAGAAATGCTTGTAAAAATTAAATCTACAATTTAGATTCTTCATTAGGTTTAAAAATATTCTTTTTTCTTGAGAGCATAATAATTAAATTTAAATAATGAAAATTTTCAATTCATTATTTTATTATAATAATAATGGGATGCCATATTTAGAAACACTAATATTAAAAAGTAGATATCGTAATTTCATCCCCACCTCCTACAGTTCCATCTTCTCATGAAATAATTTTGATTCCATATGTTCTTAATGATAAGCATCCAGCATCGAGGATGCCTATTTAAACCTTTTGGAATAGCGAAGGTCAAAGAACAAAAGAATAGTCATCTAAAATAACTAAATCTCTTTCACCTGATATTAAGTTTATACAAAAATAAAAATGATGATCTAAATATTTTTATAGATGTAAAATATATTTAAGTTTAAGGTTTAATTAAATTTATTAATCTTTGATATCAATAAAGATAAGTTAAGATTTATTCAACATTAACATATTTTTTAAAATTTATTTTTATAAAATATATATTTTCATTCTTTTTATTTTTTACTTTTCTAACCAAAATTAGTGATTAAAAAGAAAGCATATATTGCATATAACAAAATATGAGGGATAAATCTGATATTGCTATAAAATTTAAGAATGGGATCGACACTCAACAATAAAAATGTAATTCCAAAAACATTGAAAATAGTGTTGGCTAAATACCATCTAATAATTTTAGCTAAAGGGTTAGTTTCAAATATTTTCAAATATTTGGTATTACAAGATACTCTAAAGATTGCTTTATTAACATTATTTAAAATTGCCCATTAAAAGAATGAAAAGTAATAACCAATATAAAATCCATGCCATAAAGATGATACAACATATGTCATTTAATAAGCAAGATTTTATTTAGCTGGACTCTTCTTCATTTCTTCTTCAGTATAAATACGAGTATAAACATATCTTCTTAACCATGTTTAAATAGAGATATTCCATTTTTCTACTTTATCTTTCATATTATATGTTAAATCCCAATCTACATCAACAGCTTTGATTTTTTAAAATAATCCATTTCCTTAATATGTAATACCACATGAAGCTATACTCATTTCTGCTAATTACCAACCTCCATAATATTTAGTTCTTTAGATTGCTACCATAATGTTAAACCAAAGAGTTTGATATAAAATATTATATGTTCCAAATTCATCAGAGGCAACAAAATTTAAAGGGAAATATTTTTCAGTAAATAAAAAGATACCCATACAAATTAATGCATTTTTTAGTAAACGTAATGTTTCTTTGATTGTTGATGGAATATTTTTATATTCATTTTCTTCATTAATAAAAGTATTAAAATCATAATAATCAAAGCATGGTCCCAATACACTACCAGCAAAAAAGAAAATAAATGAAAAATATTCTAAAAATGATGGTAATTTAGCAATCTTTCTAATTTCCTATTCTTTACTTAGTTATTTTTTCATTCCATCACTAACACAAAATGCAAAAGCTGTCCATTTAGGAGTATCCATCATTAATATTGTAGTTACATCCATCTTCCAACCTCCATAATCAGTATATTATCTATATATATGATGAGCTGCCACAAAGATCATTGATTCCACAAATACAGGCCAAGGACTTTTCTTTCCCAAAACCTTCACCATTATATATACTACAATTGTCTAAAACAAAACGTTGATAATTTAACATCTATAAATATAGTAAGTAATTAAAACACCAAATACTGATCCAAATATTAATCTAGCTTACCTTCCTAAATCATCAATTCAATTTATTACCTCTTATGGATAATTTAAAAAAGAATCCAAATAATGTACATAGGATTAATGCAATGAACATTTTTAATTAATCATCTGGGATCCCTGTTTTAGAACTCAATTCAATTACTTTTGTATCAATCAAATCCATAATTAAATTAAATTAAATTTCTTCAGATATTTAAATTGATTTACCTAAGAAAAGACAATTATATGAAGCTTTTTTAAATTTTAATAGATCATTTACTTAAATTTTTATTCCTTTCAAATCAAGAGTTTAAGTGTGCAATTATATTTTAGTGAAGTAGTAACACATGAAGGAAGAAATTTAGATATTAAATTTAAGAAGTAAACTAAAATAGAGTGATAATTAAATTACTTATAATTTGATAGAAGATGTGGAAATAATAAATTATTAAGATATAAAATTTTTGGTCTCAATTCCATAATTATTGAATACTTAAAAGTATTCTCAGTTAGATTAATCCAATCTAAAAATTTACCAACTTAAAATCAAATATTTTATTGATAGATTATATTTTTAGATACTTTAGAATTAAATATGATCGATTATTTACAGGCATATAGTATTTAAAAGCAATTTGCCAAATTTATTGAATTAATTAATTTTTTTGAAATTGAATCTGAATCAATAAATAAGAAGAATTAGTTCTTTAATAACCTAGATGAATAAATAGATTAAATCATCAAGAAGTTTGATAAGATCAATAATTCTAATAAGACATAAAAATATTATAAAATTAAACAAATATTATTAATATATAAAATAATCAATTAAATGATATTATTTAAAAATGGAGACAAATTCGAAGGTATCAGAGATTAAAATAGTAATAAATTAAATGGAAGTGGAACTATAAAGTTCAATGATAGTAACTCATTTTATAAAGGAAAATTTTTTAATGGAAAATTTCATGGGGAAGGTCAATTAAGTATAAATAAAGTCTCTTTGATTGGTAATTGGATAAATGGATAACCTGATTTAAAAAGTGAATGGAAAATTGAAGGACCAAATTATTAATACAAGGGATCAATTAATGAAGAATTCAAAAAAGATGGATATGGCACTTTGATATTTGATGGAAATAGTTTTTATAAAGGAGAATTTATTGTTGATAAGTATTAAGGATAAGGACATTTAAAAACTAATTAACTAGAATATAAAGGGGAATTTTACAATAGTAAATTTAATGGTAAAGGTCAATTAATTTGGTAGAATTCAAAGTATGAAGGAAATTTTGAAATGGGATAATTTAATGGAAAAGGAAAATTAGAAAATATTGAAGGAACATATATTGGAGAATTTTAGAATAATTAAAAATATGGGGAAGGAGTTCTTTAATATAAAAATGGTGATTCTTATGAAGGTTAATGGTTAGAAGATGAACCTGAAGGAAAAGGGAAATTAATTTAATGGAATAAGAAATTTGGTTGTTAATTAATATATAATGGATTTTTTGAGAAAGGATGTCCAGAAGGAAAAGGAGAATTATAAATAATAACAGAAGGATAAGACATGAAAAAATATTAAGGTAGTTTTAATGAAGGTTTATTCAATGGGGAGGGAGTAATTAGTTTAGATTCAAATGTAAAGGTTGAAGGATAATTTTTTGATAATCATATTAGTGGGGAATGCAATATATATTTTTAAAAAGAAAATTAAAAGCTTGAATGTTAAATGAAGAGAAATTAAAAAGAAGGTGTTTGTTCAATGAAAATAAAAGATATTTGTTATTAAGGAAATTTTAAAAGTAACATAGAAAAAGTAGATAGCATAAAATTTTATAGTAATTATTGAATACTTTTTATTTTGTCAATATGTTGTAGAATTGATAATTCGTAATAAAATATAGATAGATTATAATTAATAATAAAATCAAATATGGAAATATTATTTATTTAACATAAATCATTTTTTGGCAGTTTATAACAACATGTTAGCAAATTCATCATATTATATGATGCCATCTCCATTTTTATCACATTATGAAATAATTTGCGCCCATGCAGAATTATCAATATCTATACCACACATAATATCTTATAGTTCCTATTTTGTAATTTAACCATTTCCATCCTATATATAATAATTTGAATTGCATACCTTATCGAACATTTTAAATGCCTAATCTATTTTAGTTTTTGATAGGAGTGTATTTTATTTAGATGAAGCTACTAAAAATTCTGTATAACTTATTTTTCCAGAATTATTTTAATCAATTTAAGTGAAAATATCATCAACTAAATGCTTAGCTTTTAATTCATCATTAAATACTTGGGTATAAGCTAATTATAATAATAATAATTACCTTAGATTAATTCTTCTTTAGAAAGTTATCCATCTTTATTTTTATCCATACTTTAAAATGTTTAATTTAGTTGATCTTTTTCTTCATTAGTCATCATTTCTCCAGCTATCAATTACATAATAGCTGCTCTCATATTACTTTCATTCTAATATTTAATAGAATATTTTACATGAAATTTTCCTAAATCATTCATTACTTCTAAACTTATTTTATCTTCTTTTGCTTTTTCTTTAATCCAAGGATCATTTAAAATCTCACTTGCTGATGGTCTTTTCTTTGGATCTAATTAAAGCATAGACTTAATTAATGCTTAAGCTTCAAAAGATAAACCTTAAAATTCTTTTGAATTGAAATTATATTTTCCTGATTTGATATTATTGAATAATTGCTATAAACTTTAGACTTTAACATCAAAAGGAAATTTTCCAGTAAGAATTTGATATAAAATAACACCACATGACCAGATATCACATTTTTCTGTATAATTTTTATCAATAACTTCAGGTGCAATATAAAGTGGCTATTTAATAAATAAGAAATACTGTTCCAATAACTTAAGTTTAAGATTCTCCACTTAATTATTTTTTGGCAGTACCAAAATCAATAACTTTAATAGGTGATTTAGGATCTGGTGATGCCAACATAATATTTGATGGTTTCATATCTCTACATAACATAAATTTAAATAATACCTATGTATAATATTTTATGCATGACAATAAGATAAAGCTGACAATACTTATTTCATGTATTCAGCTGCTGTTCTCTCATTAAATGTTGATAATTTAGTTAATTTATCAAGTAATTCACCTCCATTTAAGTATTCGGTAACCAAATAGTAATTTTGACTATCCTGATACAATTCAAATAATTTGACAATGTTATTATGATCCATGTCTTTAAGTAAGGCTACTTCACTAAACATTGCATCTTCTTATTCTTTTAGTATTTTTTTCTTTTGTATTTATTTCATAGCTCTTTATTAACCAGTTTTCTTATGTTGAACAAGTCTCACTTATCCATATGAACCTGACTGATAAATTTAATTTTAATACCTTCACCTAATATTTTATTTATGATATAAGTATCAGTTATATCGCCTTGCTTTAGATTAACAAAAATGTTAGGTCCAACCTCGAATTTATTCGTAGCCAATTCTAAAGATTAGAATTAATTATTTACGTTTTTGTTCTTTAGACATCCCAGTTTGTTTATCTCCTGATTTACCACCACATGCTCCCATTATTAAATAAATTTATTGATATCAAATCTAATAAAATTTAAAGTGTCTTATTTAATATGTTATTTATTTCTTATTATTATGCATAAAAATTATTTACCTGAAATTCAATAGTCTCAATAACCCCATCATTTTGAAACTAAAGCTAAATCTAAAATGCATTCACCTAGTTCTTCCATTGAATGGGATCAATTAATTAATACTTCCATACCAAATTCATTCAAACAATAATTAAATCCTAAAGGTTAAACAGTTATCAATTTAACTAAATTGGGACCTTGTTCTGATATATCATATCTTAGATCCACTAAAAGAAACTTTGCTAAACTTGGAACTAGCATTTATAAAGATCCTGAACTCTAATAAACTGTATATTTTATTGAATAAATTAGAAATATGACAAAAATTTGTAATCATTTTATAGCACTCTCTATAAAAAAACTAATAATCGTATTCCTTTTAATACCAATTTAGAAAAAGAAAGGTTTTAAGGTCATTTATTAGATTTTACAGAACTTTTTCAAGATAACAGTAGAGCAACAAATCTATAAAAATACTTTGGGGAAATTTTAAAATTAGAAATGTAATAATCAATTCAAGAAAAAGAGATGATTCCACCAAATAGACAATAAGCTATTGATTTGAGAGATTGGTTATTTATGATGATTGCATATACAAAATAAGAATGTTCAAATATGAATACAAGAGAATTAGCAGAAAGAATATAACTTATTTATGCTTCTTGTCTTAAAGAATTAATAAAGTATATAATAATAATTAAATAGATAAGTGAGTATTGAATGTACAGAAAGAGGAGATTTGCTTTAAACTGTTTGGGATTTTTATGTAGAATTGATTGGATAAATTATTAAATGTTATTCAGAACAATAGAGGGAATCAGAAAAATCTTATTTAGAATAAATGTAAAGAATATAGAATTTTCATGATTCTCAAATGGAAATTGCAAAACTCAGATATTAAGACTATTAGAATCAAATTCTTAAAATCAAAAATGAAACTTCGGATTCTATTGATGAATTAAATATGAATAAAGCTAAAATGTTATTATTAACATCAGAAATGAGGTAATTAATAGAAACTAATGAAATTTAAAAAAATGAAATTGACTCTTTGCTTTTATAAATTATGTTATTAAAAACTTAAGAAAACAATGAAAATAAAAGATTAGAAGATTAAAAAATTGATGTTTAATTAGCCAAAGGAAAAAGCATTGTCTCACATTTATTAAATTTTAGGGCTACTGCTGCTGAATATAAATTCAATAAAAATAAAGTTAAAAATACTAACTTTGAAAAATTCGAATAATTAAGAGAATAAGAATAATAACTTAAAATTGATTTAATTCATCAATAAATTTTAGAACCTGAAATTGAATATTTAGATTAAGAGATATAAGTTTAATTAGATTTAAAATAAAAAGAAGTTTAAACAGATTTAGATTCACTATAATTAAATGATTAAATCTCATAATTGGAATAATTATAAGGTTAAATTCTATAGATGTAATAATAAGAATAAACTAAAGATCAATTAATTATTAATCAGTAAATTGAATTGCAGTAATAAAATTTAAAATCAATAGAAGAGCAATAGGTTTTAGAATAAAGATTGAAAGAAGCTATCTCACTTATTCAAGAATCAGAATTAGATTATAAAGACTCTATATGTGAGACTCTTAATTTATAAATTTAACAATCATAATAACTCTCATAAAAATTGATTAGATTAGAAAAAGAAGATACTCTGTAAAAGATTGATTTAATGGAAAAAGAATAAGTAAATTAAGAATTAGAATCTAAATTGACTTAAGCAGTTTAGGATTTTATTGAGATAATAAAGAAAAAAAAATAACAAATTAAAAAATTGATGAAATAAAAAAGTAATTTATAAGATACATTAATATAAATATCTTCAAGTTATAACATAGAAATTAAGTAACCAGAAATCTTAGAAGAAGATATAGAGTCATCATAAATTAGAAGTATTGATTAATTATCTGACATGAATAAAGATCAAGAACAAATAAAAAATACATAATAAGATGAAGAATATATTGATGAACAAGATGAATTAGATTATTAATTAACAGACAGAAGTAAAATTATAAATTAAGAGGATGGATCAAAAGTTAAAAAATAACTCAAAAAAATCATACAAATTAATGAAAAAATTGATTCATAATATTTATTATAAGAAAATAATAAATAAGTTAATGAACTTCAAGATGATTTTGAAAAAAATTTATAAGAACTAGTATAAAATTCAGAGTAAACACAAAATTCATAAAGTTTTAATTAATTTGTAGAAAATTAAACACCAACACTTAAATAAAATTAAAATTAAAATAATGATTAAAGTATTTCAAAAAGAAAAGGAAGTTAACTTAGTTAATAAAACCTTTAAAAGCCAAAATAATAGGCTACTGTACAAAGATAGAAAAAAATATCTTAACAAATTGAATTTAATAAAGAAGATAATAATTAAATAGTTATTGAATAATAGTAAGGTTAAAAAAATCAAAATTAATAAATTATGAAAAAATAAATAGATAAATAATCCTCTGAATCATAAATATTAGATGGTTCCTAATAAAATTAGTAGTCAGTTTAATAAAGAAAGTAATAATTAGTAACAGAAAATGAACTTTTTTTAAATTTAAAAAATAAAAAATCATCAAAAACTCAAAAACATTCTATTTTAGAATCTAAATAAAATTCTAATATCAAATCAGCCTAAGAATTTGAAGAAATTAATAGTTCAAGTAACTAATATTCATATTAGAGATCTTCTTAATAATATGATATCAAATAAAAAGGATAGAAGTAAAGTTTGTTTGAAAAAAATACTAATAAAACTTAAAATGATGAATCATTATCTGATGATTTTGATATTGAATCTTCTCCTTTAATCTTTAATAATATATAAGGTGAAAGAGTAAAATAAGTGATTATGCAATATAAGGATCAGAAACAAAAAATTAGAAGTAGACATAATCCAATTTAACTTGAATAGAAAAATTAAAAAAGATTTAGAAGAGTTTATAGTTAGAATACAGATATTGCTAATGGATTATTAGCTGATGTGAAAATAAAGAAGAAGCCTAATAAGAAAATATAATTTTCAATTTTGTAATTATAAAAATTAGTTACTCAAATTCTAAGTGATATTTGCAAATAAGCTGAAGGTTATAAAATACCATTTCATGTTAGTATTTATGATTATTATAAAAATAAATATGGATTTAAATAAGTAGCTGAAAAAAAGATTCGTTAGGTTTACTAATTTATTTATTATGAAAAAGAAAATCATATAAAGGCTAAATTATTGGCTTAATTTTGTTACATGATTGGAGAAATGGATGAGATAGGATAAAAACTATTAACAGAAAGTTATTAATATTTTTCATCTAAAAATGATCTTAATTATGGTAAGGTTGATTTAATGTTAACATATGAATAAGTCAATGAATTTCTCTCTGAAAAATCATCAAGGTGGTTGCATCAACAATAAATTTAATCTCTATTGTTATCATATAGAAACTAGTAATCAAATAATTAAAGATATTTTATTAATCATGATAGTTTGCTTATTAAAATTTTAGAATTGTACTCAAATAATAAAAAAGATTAACAAAGTATTTTAGAATCTTTGTTTAAAGCAGCAGATTTAGATGGAAATAAATTAATCGAATTTTCAGAAGTACATTTTCTGCTTTATGATTTTAGTTTAAAACTTTATATAGAGCTATTCATTAAGAGAAATTATGTAAATCTTAATTACTTTAAATTTTTACCAATAATGCTGATTTTCAAGATGAAAATGGTGATAAAATGTTAACTCTTCCAAGATTTACTGAAATGTCCATTGAATTAGGAATATTTTAAAAAGAACTTGTTTTAAAGTATGGTGAAGGTAGTGAAGCATTGAAGAATTATTGGGAAAGAGATTCAACAATAATTAAATATAGGTAAATGCATAGATTTAAATAATTAGATTTTTGAGAGCTAAGAAATACTAAAAGGTAAGGCATACATTTTCAGAGCTTGAAAATTAGATAAAATCATAAGAAAAAGATAAATAACTTATTTTATGGGTAAGTTATAAATTGTTAAACGAAGAATCTTAAAGAGTTTTACTAAAGTATTCATATTCAATTCACTATATAGTTATGAAACTAGATAATGTATGCTACAATTATTACCTGAACTTTACATAATAGAATAACACAATAAAGATATTGAATAGTTAGAGTGATTTATTGATAAGGTTCACTGCTTATTTAGTTATTTCTACCATGTAAATAAAATTAATAAATCAATTTTTTTATTTAATATAAAATATTTTATCATTTTAACTATGCCTCTATGTTTTTAATAGATTAATTATAGTTGGCTATTGACTGAAATTTAAGCTGCTGTTTTCTTTTTACTATTACTCATTTTCCCCAATAAAATTCGACTATTAATTTAATTCAAAATTAATTTTAAAGTTATCACTCATTTCAAATAATAAATCTAAACGTTTATCATCATTTTGATTGGTTGGGCATAAAACTGTTTGTGCCAAAATAATACAATCATTCTGATTTGGAATATATGTAAAATCTACATTTACCAATGTCTATCTCATCGCTTTTATAATTTCAAATAATCTTAATATAATATTTATGTTTTACCCATATATCGGCTTCCAGTTCTGTTTATCGATAAATTGTAAATAGAATTATTTATTCCTATAATCTATGTTCGGGTGATGTATATCAGATATGCTAAATATGCTAGGGGGTGAATAAGGATAATTTATTCTAAAATCAAGATTAAACTATATTTAGGGAAATTAAATACAGAAAAATTTTTATTTTAATAAGGACCGATTTTCGGTGTCATAATTATTTATAATAAATCGCTAACCATTTTCATTGTTATCTCACAAGTATCATCTTGTAATTCTTTTAGTTATTCATCTTGCAAATCAATTTGCAATCTTCTTAATGACTACAATTCCTCGCTATTTCTATAAAATTATTGCTTATAAAACAACATAATTTATTTTTTATTATTTACATATTACAAAATAGAATTTTTAATTTTTTACAAATTTTGAGCAATTTTTGTTTTAATGTAATACAATCAAATTTTATTAGTTTAATTAAAATCTAAACAAGTATTTTGAAAAAATATCAAGATATTAACAAAAGGTAACTTTGCTCTAAACGTAACCTCATGTAATCAGATATTTAAATTAATATTAAAAAAAAAGGAAGAGTACAATTAAATAAAAATATTTCAGTACTTAATTATTGGAATATTAAATATATCAATTTGAAGTTTAGGATTGTAAAAAATTAATATTGAAATTAAACTTTGCTGTTTAGTATAATTATTTTATAGTGAAATAAAGTGGCAGTATTTAAAATTAGAGAAACAAGGAAAAGAATATAAAAAAAAGAAATGTTTGACCTTTAAACTATAGTTGATGCATATAAAGCTTAATAAATCTAAATTCCATACAGAAAAATCCTTTTTATAATAAAAATGAATAATTAAAAATAAATAGCTGAGAGAGTGATTTCTAAAATAAATTTAGATTGAAAGGGAAACTGTATAGAAACTTGCCTGAAAAGTAGAATAAAATAATTAAGCAAATATATTTAATTTACTTAAATAGTAAACGAAAAATTGTAATTAAATTGATGTATTAATAAATTTTAGGAAGTAGTAGAAATGAAAAAAGAAGTAGAGGTTATTAATCAGATATTAGAAGAAGAAATAAATAAAAGAAAATGAGGAAGATATTATTTATTTATTTGTCGATTATATAATTTAAATCTATTCATTTTTATTATTGTTATTCTTTATTAGATTTCCAAGCAGCAATGTCAATAATTTTAGGTTTTTCCCATAAGAATTCATGTTCAGATCTTCCGAAATGACCTCCTGAAGCAGTTTTAGCATAGATAGGTCTTCTCAATTTAAGTTCTCTGATAATAACTCCAGGTCTAAGATCAAAATTTTCTTAGACAATTTCAGATAGATCATCATCATCATATCCTTCGACATGTGTTCCATATGAATTAACAGAGATAGATAATGGTTCACTTATACCAATACCATAAGCAACTTAGATCATAACTCTTTTGCATAATTTGGATGCAACAAGAGATTTAGCAACCCATCTAGCAGCATAAGCAGCACTTCTATCAACTTTAGTAGGATCTTTTCCTGAGAATGCACCACCACCATGGCCACCCCATCCACCATAAGTATCAACAATAATTTTACGACCAGTTAATCCTGCATCTCCATATGGTCCACCTACAGTAAATGCTTTAGATGGATTTAAATGATATTGAGTATGCTCATCAACATATTATTATGGTAATACTTGTCTATTTATAATATAATTATTATATACTTTAAAACATGTTGATGTAATTCAGCTTATATTTCAATATGTGTAATTTTCTCATCATGTTATTAAGAAATTAATACATTATGGATTCTTACTGGGAAGAATGTTGCACCATCTCTTTTATATTCAACAGTAACTTAAACTTTTGCATCTGGTCTCATCCATGGACATATTTCCTTTACTCTACATTCTTAAAGTCTTTCAATTAGTTTATTGCATAAATGGTGAGTTAAAGGCATTAATTCAGGAGTTTCATCTGATGCATAACCAATCATCAATCCTTAATCTCCAGCTCCAATTTCATCTTCATGCTTTGCTCCTACAACAGCTTAATTTATTTCTCTTGATTACTAATCCAAAGATACTATTATTGAAGCATTCTTGTAGTCCAATCCCTTATCTATATATACTATCATCAATTTGATTACTTATGTTATCATAACCGACATTCTTAATTGCTTCTCTCACTATTGTCTCATAAGGTACTTAAGCATTTGTTGTTATTTCACCAAATACCATAACAAGAGAGTTTTTGCATGCTGATTCACATGCTACCTTAGAATTTGGATCTTGTTCTAAACATGCATCAAGAATGCTGTCACTTATAAAGTCACATAACTTATCAGGATGACCAGCACTAACACTTTCCGATGTAAACAAGAAGTGTCCTTTTGGTAATTGGAACTTTGTTTTATGAGTTGAGAGCAAATGATGCTATTCATCTAATCTATAATGAGTGGCCATTTCTAGCTACAGAATTAAAAATTAATTTTATTTACATTATATAAATTTATGTGCATATATAAATCACAACTTATAAATCTTACCACGTTCATCCAGAATATTTTTCAATTCATTTAATTTGCGTTAAGATTCTATTTCAAATTGTATTGTCTTTTTTTAATATTCTCCTTACTATTCCTATGGTATCAAATATTGCTTTGATGGTTCAGAATTATTATATATAGGTAATGCATAAAACACTTTATTCTCTATCTTCCTTTTCTTTTTCTCCTCAAAGTAATTATCAAGCTCTAATCAATTTCCTTTATTCATACCTAATTCACATTACTTAAAACAAGTTTCCACTGTTTTTGAAAATATGTCTTTAACACAGTTGTATTAGCATTAATGAAATTAGCCGAATGCACGAATCTTTAATTTTTTACTCATTGTTTTGTAATCATGAACACATTTAAGAATTTTTAAATCTTAAGTATCGACATTCTAACCAAACATTAATTTTATTATATCAATTAAATTTATACAATTTTCATTCTCTCTATCTACTTAATTTTTCTAATTTTCCATTATCATTTCTTTAAATTTAATAAAATTGTGCTTCTAGATTCAGATTCGATAATAGATTCAGATTTTTTAATTTTAGAAAAAAATATATTTATCAAATTAACAACTATTAACATTCAGTCTCTATTATAAAAAATAATTGTCAATAATTTATCTTTGGCAAATAGGATATCTACTCCTTAGACAAAGATGTTAATTTATTCAATTCTGCCTATATATTAATTTCATTATCTGATTTGCTTATCTTTCTTCTAAACTATTCAATTATATATTAATTCTTTGCATCAATAGTTTTATAATCCTGATGTGATAATTATAATAGTTTCTAAAATATATTCCAAACCAACTATTACTCTTTCTTTATCTCATATTATTAATCATTAATTATTGATCTTAAATCTTACAACTCACTTTTCAGATCATCTTTCTCCTACTTGATATATTCCATCAAAACTATAACCTTTAAACTTATCATTTCAAGTAATTCATTAACTGATGGTCTTTTATCCTCTTCCTTCTAAAGACACAATTCAACAATATTCATCAACTCATTCTTATATATACCTTAATTGATTGACTCATATTCTAATTATACTATCTTCCTTTCTAGCATCAACGGATTTGCTGATTAAAATGCAGGATTTTATTAAAGCACCTCATATAAGATACATCCCAAATCCCAAACATCTACTTTCTCAGAATATGCCTTAGAGAAGCTAAATATCTCAATAGACGAAATGTATATATTTAAAACTCCAATATTGCTTTGGGATAATCTTTTTGATTAATATCAATGAACTTTAATTATTTAACCCTATGAGGATGACACATAAATACAAGGTTAATTATTTTTTCTAATTTTAAATTAGAAAATACATAATCCTTTCTAAATAATTTTCGATGTTAATTCATCATCAAGAGTCAACTAACCAAAAATATTTATAACTGTAGTAACAATCATGTANGTTTTTGAAAATATGTCTTTAACACAGTTGTATTAGCATTAATGAAATTAGCCGAATGCACGAATCTTTAATTTTTTACTCATTGTTTTGTAATCATGAACACATTTAAGAATTTTTAAATCTTAAGTATCGACATTCTAACCAAACATTAATTTTATTATATCAATTAAATTTATACAATTTTCATTCTCTCTATCTACTTAATTTTTCTAATTTTCCATTATCATTTCTTTAAATTTAATAAAATTGTGCTTCTAGATTCAGATTCGATAATAGATTCAGATTTTTTAATTTTAGAAAAAAATATATTTATCAAATTAACAACTATTAACATTCAGTCTCTATTATAAAAAATAATTGTCAATAATTTATCTTTGGCAAATAGGATATCTACTCCTTAGACAAAGATGTTAATTTATTCAATTCTGCCTATATATTAATTTCATTATCTGATTTGCTTATCTTTCTTCTAAACTATTCAATTATATATTAATTCTTTGCATCAATAGTTTTATAATCCTGATGTGATAATTATAATAGTTTCTAAAATATATTCCAAACCAACTATTACTCTTTCTTTATCTCATATTATTAATCATTAATTATTGATCTTAAATCTTACAACTCACTTTTCAGATCATCTTTCTCCTACTTGATATATTCCATCAAAACTATAACCTTTAAACTTATCATTTCAAGTAATTCATTAACTGATGGTCTTTTATCCTCTTCCTTCTAAAGACACAATTCAACAATATTCATCAACTCATTCTTATATATACCTTAATTGATTGACTCATATTCTAATTATACTATCTTCCTTTCTAGCATCAACGGATTTGCTGATTAAAATGCAGGATTTTATTAAAGCACCTCATATAAGATACATCCCAAATCCCAAACATCTACTTTCTCAGAATATGCCTTAGAGAAGCTAAATATCTCAATAGACGAAATGTATATATTTAAAACTCCAATATTGCTTTGGGATAATCTTTTTGATTAATATCAATGAACTTTAATTATTTAACCCTATGAGGATGACACATAAATACAAGGTTAATTATTTTTTCTAATTTTAAATTAGAAAATACATAATCCTTTCTAAATAATTTTCGATGTTAATTCATCATCAAGAGTCAACTAACCAAAAATATTTATAACTGTAGTAACAATCATGTATTCTTGATTATCTAAATTTTATAGAAAAATTTCCACAATTCCATATAACTTATAAAATTTTAATAATTTCTTACTTTGAGATCAGAATAATTCTTACTCTCAGAGGAAATTCTCATTAATAAATTTAAGAGAGGTATCTTAATTTCTAATTTATCATTGTCCTTCTTTTCTATTTCTTATATTACTGTTGCCATTCCAGTAAGCTTGCGAAAGTTTTCACTAAATTGATAAAAATCTAAGAGTTTTGTAATTGGAAGTCTATTTCTTTAACTCTAAATCACTGTTTTCAAGCAATACTAGCATCTTACCAACATAATAAAGGGATGAAACTTCAGATTAAATTAATTATCCATCTATTTCCATACCTAATTTTATGTAATCCAAAAGACTTAATTTTAAATCTTTATTTGAAGATGTCATAAGATCTAAAAGGGAATGTACGTATTTAGAATTAAAGTTTTGAAGTAGCTATTATAGATTTATAAAAAAAAAAATACCTCGTTGTTGGAATAAATCAATCGTTTCTAAATACTTAAGTTTTCTATTTGCATCATGGCAAAAGATTGTGAAGTTTATTTTTGATGATTTACATTAAATTTAGCAAAACTATAAATTCTTAATTTTAAACATTTAGAGGAACATCTTAAGATCTTGTAAATAATCTGAGAATTTAGAATAATTTAAATTTAAATTCTTTGTTTTCTTATTCAACAATGATCATCTATAATGCATTCAAGATTGTTGTAAATAATTTCAGATATTCTTTTTGAAACGATTGTCATTTTTCATTCCCTTAAAGAAACTTATTTACAGAAATATAGCAGCTTTATTATGTGATTGTAGATTATACTTTGAAAATCCTTTATATTCAATTGATCAATGATGCTATTCATCATTTTAAATTATTAAATGTTTTATAAAAATAAAATTAACGATGTTATTAAAAGAGAGAGGCTATTATTGGAGCAATGGCTCTTTTTATTATGGATAATGGTTGGATAATAAAATAAATGGAGTTGGGTTATTCATTAATAATGATTATATTATAGTTGGTCAATTTAGCAATGGACTTTTGTAAGGATATTGCTAACTTATTTATTCTAATAAGTTTAAGTATTGCAAATATGAGAATGGTTAACAAATAGGATTAATAAAGTATGAATACTTTAATGGAGAAACAATTGTGGACAATACTTAGAAATAGGATTAAGAAGAATTAGACATTATAAATAAATTAAATAGTTCCTACTTTGTAATGATATTAAATAAACTAGTTAATATTGTTAAAAACATAACTCAAGAATTGGAAATTAATCGATGAAACACAACTTTTCTTTAGCACTCTTATAAATTAAAATGAAAATAGAAGAATTGGAGTATTATATGATATCAAATAAAATAAATTTGAATTTGGTTACTTTCTCAACTAAGAATTAGATGGTAAGGGAGGCATCATTTTTGAGTCAGGAGACAAATATATCGGAGATTTCAAAAATGGATAATTAAATGGAATTGGAATTTTCTTTAATAAATCTGAAAATCAATACACTTAGAGTCGATTCAATAATAACGAGATAGTTGAAATTATTAAATAGTCAAAGGATCCAATTTCATTAAGAAATTAATGGCATTAAATTGCTTTACCAGAATTGATATGCAAAAATCAATTCACCCCAATAAAGTAAACTAATTACTACTCGACGAAAAATTTCAGTAGTAAATTATCAAAATCCATCAGTCCCATGAGACCTACAATATCAGTTAAAAAATAAGCTATGTATTCTTAGATTAAAAATTATCCAAATATGGAATACAAGTTTGGTTCAATACAAAGTCATTTTGGAAAAGATGATTTGAACATAATAAAGCCGTATAGGAGCAAATAAATAAATAGTTATATAAAGTAGAGTATGAGGGTTGACGATTAAAGTATTAGATAATTACATTAATAACTATTTGATGATGAGTAAAATAAATTTAAGTTATTTCATAATTGATTGTTTTTTTGTATATAAATAATTTATATAAATATCTTAAACAAAAATGTCAGGTTTATAAAAGTAGGTATCTGGTAGTGAATCAAAGACTTTAATGTCTAGGAAATCATTTTGTGGGTCGAATTCAAACATGAATTAACTCTTTAGACCAGAATTTGGGTCAACACAGAGTTTAGCAAATCATGAAAAATTGTGGCATTTGATGTAAAATTACTTACCTTCTGATAAGAAAAGGTATATGATAAAATAAAAATATAAGTATATAGGAGTAAATAGTGAATCATGTGGAATTTTCTTTAGCTAGAACCCGATTTGATTTTCATTAAGTTCATTGTTATTAGGCTGTATCTCACTCAATAAGAGATAGATTGATAGAAAGTTTCAATGACACTTAATTGTATTTTCATGAGTAGGATTGTAAAAGAGTGTATTATTTATCGATTGAATTTCTAATTGGAAGATGCCTATAAAATGCAGTAGGAAATCTTGGACTATAAGATTCTTATACTGAGGCAGTATAAGAGTTGGGTTATAAATTGGAAGACTTATATGATGAGGAAGTAGATCCAGCATTAGGGAATGGTGGATTGGGGTAATTAATAAATAAATTTGAAGTCGTTTAGCAGCATGTTTTTTGGATTCTTTGGCAACATTGAATTATCCAGCATTTGGTTATGGAATTAGATATAGTTATGGAATATTTAAATAATTGATTTAAAATGGATAATAAGTGGAAGCACCAGATTATTGGTTGGAGAAAGGTAATCCTTGGGAAATAGAAAGATTGGATGTTTAATATCCAGTTAAATTTTATGGAAAAGTAGTAAAAAGACATGAGAATGGTTAAGAGAAATCTTTATGGGAGGCAGGAGTATAATAATCAAATAAATATAATAGGAAACTATAGTAGCTAGAGCTTATGATACTCCAATTCCTGGATATATGACATTTAATACTATAGCATTAAGATTATGGAGATCTGTACCAGCAAATGAATTTGATTTTACTAGTTTTAATGAAGGAGATTATTTCAAATCATTGGAAGCAAGAGAAAAAGCAGAATATATAACATCAGTTTTATATCCAAATGATAATTCATATGCTGGAAAAGAATTAAGACTTAAATAAGAATATTTATTAGTGAGTGCAACACTTCAAGATATTTTGAGAAGATTTAAAAAAGTAAGAAGAGATTGGTCAACATTACCAGAAAAGGTAGCCATATAATTAAATGATACTCATCCTTCTTTAGCTATTGTAGAATTATTAAGAATTTTGATTGATCAAGAAGGAATGACTCATGCAAATGCTTGGGAAATCGTATCAAAGACATTTGGTTACACTAATCATACAGTTTTACCTGAAGCATTAGAGAAATGGGGTGTTGATTTGTTGGGTAGTTTGTTACCTAGACATCTTGAGATTATATATTATGTGAACATGATCTTTCTGAATAAAGTAAGTGCAAAATTCCCAGGAGATGCACATAAGTTATCAATGCTTTCCCTAATAGAAGAAGGTCCAATAAAAAAGATAAGAATGGCCAATCTTTCTATAATAGGATCTCATATGGTGAATGGTGTTGCAAGGATTCATTCAGATTTATTGAAAAGTGATTTATTTAAAGATCATTATGAAATGAGACCTAAGAAATTCATTAATATAACAAATGGTGTAGCTCCTAGAAGATGGCTTAGATCATGTAATTAATAATTAGCTAAATTGTATGACGAATGGTTAGGTACAGATGAATGGGTTCTTAATATGGATTTATTAAAAAATTTAGAAGATAAATGCGAAGATTAATTAGCTTTAATATAATTTATGAAAGTTAAGAGGAATAATAAATTAAGACTAATAAAATGGGTTAGATAATATTGTAATGTTGAAGTTAATGCTGATACATTATTTGATATATAAGTTAAAAGAATCCATGAATATAAAAGATAATTCATGAACATATTATATGTTATATATAGATATCTTTTATTAAAAGATACTCCTACTGAAGGTAGAAGAAAGTTTGCTCCTCGAACTGTATTTTTTGGAGGAAAAGCAGCTCCTGGTTATTTGAATGCAAAACGAATTATAAAACTTATAAATTCAGTTGCTGAAGTTATAAATCATGATTTAGATACTAATCACTACTTAAAAGTAGTATTTTTACCAAATTATAATGTATCATCAGCTGAAATTATAATTCCAGCATCTGATATTTCATAACACATATCTACTGCAGGTACGGAAGCTTCTGGAACATCCAACATGAAATTCGTTATGAATGGTGGAATTATTCTAGGTACATGGGATGGAGCAAATATCGAAATTGCTGAAGAAGTTGGACTTGATAATATTTTTATTTTCGGAGCTAGAGTTGAAGAAGTTGGAAAATTAATAGATAATATGAAAAATTCGGATCCTTTTCAATATATATAAAAACCATTATGGAATGTTATCTAAACTATTAGATCTGGTATATTTGGACATGATCATCATGGATTATTAGATTCTATTACTAATAGAAATGATTTCTATTTAGTTGCACATGATTTCTATCATTATGCATAAGCACAAATAAAAGTAATTTATTAATTCTATTTTTTCAGATTGATCAATTATATTAAGATAAAATCTCATGGGCTAAAAAAGCCTTCTGTAATTCTATAAGATCTGGTAAATTTAGTAGTGATAGAACTATTCATGAATATGCATAAAAAATTTGGTATTCTCATTTATTTTAACATTTAGGAATATTAAACCTATTGTTGTACCATAACCTACAGCTAATAAATAGGATAGATTTAAAATCTAAAAATGAATAATTTTTATTAAAAACATACAATATTATTATGATCAATGAATTCTTATACATTACATATCAATGGTGTGGAAATCAACATTCAATTATTTAAGGATATGTCTTATGTGATGATTACATATCTGAATGCAAAAATTATACTTAATAATTTAATGGTCCTGCAACATTCTCAGATGAAAACTTTAAAATAATGGCAGCAAAATTAGAAAATTATGTATTAATAATCATTTTTTCTAAAACCTTTTTGATTGATCCATCTAAATGCTCCTTTTTAATATCAACTAACAATTAAACTCTACCCTACTACCCTAAGTAAATGAGCTATAGATTAGATCCATTAGAAAATTATAAAATCACTCTTTTTAATTTTTAAAACAAATACAATTTAAGAGAATAAATTTATCTTAATACTTTTGAAAGATAAGTCACAACTGGATCACTTATACCAATACTCATTTGCCCAAAATAATTATTATCAAATATTTGGGAATACTTTATTGAATAGAATTGTTATGTTGACACACTGGAAGAATTATAAGAAGCGTTAATGATGTCATAAAGATAAGTCTAACTTGGAAACGCTATTATAGCAAATACTTTGATAAATGGATGTGCCCTTTTTTAAAAATACATTTAAATTAAACCTAAGTTTTCTAGAAAAGAAATAGAATCTGATATCATGAATTTAACATTTAGTGATTTAGAACATTCAATTTCATAATTTAAAGGTATGCCCATAATTATTAGTTAAAATGGTAGATTTGTATAATAATTAATGATTTTAGTTAAAAATATGATATCATAATTTTTTATTTTTATTGAAGAAACAATAGATTTATTATTAGAAAATGATTTCGATTCTTAAGAATTAAATTATGTACTTGAAGGTTAAATTGAAAATTAAGTAGGTAAATTTACAATTCAAATGCATGAATTTGCATTAATAGAATAAGCAGATTTTATTATTCTGTTTGAAAAAATAAAAGAAACAATTTTCGATATTCATAAGGATATAGAGTTATTTATAATTACAACATCAAAATTTGTAAATGATTAGATGCAAAAAGTTAATTAAATATTTTAAGATTATCCTGCTTTAGCCAACGTTAGGACATTTTAAGCAATTTAAACAGATGCATCATAACACATTGTGAAAGAACTTTAAAATTATTATTTAATTGAAAAATCAAATTTTTGGAGACCAGAGTTCAACAATCCTTTTGAATTCACAAAAAAAATTTTGATATCCTATTTAGAATATAAAGAAGAAAAAATGAATAATCCAGCAAAAACAACAGATTTTTTTACTTCTTTAATCAGAATGGGATTGGATCCAAAAATGCCAATATAAACAATACAAATTATAGTCAATAAAAATGATCGAGATTTTGTGAAAGATAAAGATTCACTTTTAATTGAAAAGATCAATATAATAACAAGGGGAAAGCGTTCTGCATTCAAAATATATTTAGAAAGTAAAGAATAAATAGTATTGTATATGATAAAACATTAAGTAATAATTGTTTCATTTGATTATTTTAATTAAGGTTTATGGACAGAGATTGAGAAATTTTAAAATTTAAATATGAAATTATCTTAAGGAGTATAATATATTTTAGAAACAAATATAGAATATGTAAAAAATATAAAATTATATGAATAAGAAATATGTGGATATTAAATTGATTAAAATGGATAATCAAATTTATTAATGAATTTTTCAATGAATATGGATGAATAATTAAAAATAATAAAGAAATAATTTTGTAATAAAATAGATAAAGCATAAAAAGGAGGCGCTCCTTAACCTACTGATCCAACAATTTTAGCAGCAGGAGCAATAGGATCAGGAATAGGTATATTTATAGTTGATTGTCTTGATGATAATATATCATGGTAAAAAAAATTATAAAGAGCAGGTTATGGAACAGCTGAAACAACAGCTTTTGCAGCTCTTTCAATGAATTTACCATTTGTTGGTTTTTTAGTAGGATAAACATTTCTATTTTATTCTGTTCATAAAGTATTTTCAAATAAAGTGTTAAGTATGTAAAATAAATTAAAAAACATGGGCCATTTAGGAGTAAAAACATCAATGGGAATAGGATCAGCTGTTGCTGGATAAATATTAATACCTGTTCCTGTATTAGGAGCACTTATAGGTAGTGTTGTAGGTGGAGTTGGTGTAGGATTATATCATAAATTTATAGTACCTTCAACTAGAAATTCATTATTAGGTATTATCAATAGATTAGAATAATTTATTTAACCTACTGGATAATTAAAATATGAAAAATAAGTTATTAAAATGATGAAAATTAATCCTACACATTTTTTTGAAAATCAACCACAAACTCTTGATTGTTCTGATTGGTTAACTCTTATTTCAATTAATTTAGTTAATGAAGTAGCTTATTTGTATGAAATGTAATGGGATGAATAAAGAAAAAAACTATTAGAAAAAGAAGATAATGCCTAAAAAATAGAATAAATTATTAATTTAGAAAATGAGGAGGATAAATTAGTAGAAAAACTATGCAAATGGGAAATTTGTAGACATTATATTTATAAAGAAAATATTTCAACTTTTAAATATGCAAAATAAGTTGGTATATTTGTAGCAGGCATGATTTCAAACTTTAAAATCTGATTATTTTGATAAAAAAAAATTCATTAATTTATTAAAAATTTATTTTATGATGATTATCACAAATGGTGACAATTCTTCATGGACTTTAGTCATAGTTACACTGATTAATTAAACTATATTCTTATGATGTAAAATCACGTACGGTCTGCTGAAAATTCATGCGGATATTACGAAAACCCATTACTGATTATATATATATTATAATAATAATTTAATGAACTTAGACCCTAACGAATTATCAAAATGGAATTGTATTCTTGAACCTAAGACTAATGGAATTAATACTTATAGTGGACTATATATAGGAGATATTGATTGTGCTAAAGATCAATATTTGCTATAAAAATTACAAATACGTGCTGTTTTAAGTGTAATTGATTATCCTGAAATTAATTTACCTGAATCTTACATTCATTCCAAAATATCAATTCCTGATTCAGAAGATTAATCATTACTTGATCATTTTCCTATGTGTTTTGATTTTATTGATGAAAATAGAAAACATACAAATGTTATGGTTCATTGTTATGCTGGAATTTCTAGAAGTGCAACAATTATTTTAGGTTATTTAATGTAACATTTTGAATGGAATTTTGATAGAGCCTATTAAATATTATGGTGTTTGAGAAAATAGATTTAACCTAATGAAGGCTTTATTAAATAATTAAGAGTATATGAATAAATTTAAAAAAAATAACAAAATATAGAGAATTTTGATTATAAGAAGACCAACAATAATTAATAATAAGAAAATAGACAAAATTAGTTTTTAAAATAAATTGAATAAGAAATTGAAGAAAGACAAAAGAATCTTGAAATACTAAAACAAAAATACAAATAAATTTAAAATACTAAATTGATATCATAAGAATAATCCAAAATTGTTTTGTGATATTATACTAAATATATATAATCAAATATTTTTTTATAGAGAAATGTTATCGTTTAATTTTATTAATATAAAATGTAAAAAATTGTTGGAAAATATTCTTTCAATATGAATCATCTAATTGGAAGAGGGGCATATGGAAATGTTTATAAAGGAACATCAAATGATGGAATGCCTGTTGCAATTAAAGTGATTGATAGAAGAATGATTAATCAAGTAACGTATATAAAATTACAAAATAGACTAATACATAACAACTAATAAATGAAATTAGATCAATGAAGTAACTTAATCATAAAAATATTGTTAAATTTTTAGATTTCTATGAAACTCAAAACAATTTTTATATTATATCAGAATATTGCAATGGTGGTGATTTAAGAGACATAATAAAAAGAGGAAAATTAGACTCAAAATCTGTAATCAATATTCTAAGACAAATCTTAAATGGGTATTTAATGTAATCTAATTAAGTTATTATTCACTTTATCAAAATTCAATAATACACAGAGATTTAAAACCAGCTAATATACTCTTGCATAATGGAATCCCTAAACTAGCAGATTTTGGATTTGCTAAAAAAATTGATTTTGAAAATGATTTAATGACAAGTATTGCTGGTACTCCTCTCTACATGGCTCCTTAAGTTATTTTAAGATAACCTTACACATCAAAATGTGATATCTGGTCTCTTGGCATGATTTTATATGAATTACTATTCTAAAAAACTCCAATAATTGCTGACAATATAATTTAATTGTAGGAAAAAATTTGTAAACCTATTGTTGTACCTCAATTAGATAATTCTTAATTATAATAATTAATTTAAGGATGTTTATAAATTAATGAAGAAAATAGAATTAATTGGGATGAAATTTATTAGAATCCACTTATTTAAGAGTAAGATTAATAAAAAAGGCAATTTGCTGGAGTATTAGTAGAAGTGGAGCCTGAATAAACAGATTATAGAAAATTCCTTATAACAAATTATTTGTAGATTGAATTTGAAGCTAATCAAAGAATATATTTAAATTAACTTAATTTTGCAAGAAGTGCATTTAATTTTAGTTTTTATATCTAAAAATTTGAATAATCATTTTTAGATTTAGCTTAAAAATTAAGATGTTTTTCATTTAATTGGCTCCTTTAACTAGAAAATTCAAAATTTTTAAAAGAATAATAAAAGTTTCTTAGTGATGAAAGGGGATAGTTTTGTTTAAATCAATTAAAATAGATGAAATAAGCTTTTATTGATAATACTCCTGAGAATATTTAATCAATTACTTTTAATACGATAAATTTGATAGAATTACTTGAAGAATACTTTTCAAATTTTTCTGTTAATTTATAATCTTTGAACAGACATTAATTATTAGCTACATATATGATAAAATATTTATCAAAAACATTAAAAATAGTGAGATTGAATGAATGCTTTTATGTAGCAGATCTTTAAGATATTTAAAAATTTTCAGATAAAGAAATTATTTAAAGGATTTTAGAACCTTGATTTCAAAAAAATAATTTTATTATAATTTATTATATTATTGATTAAATAATTATTTATTTTATTTTATAATTTACAAATAAAATGTAAAAAACATTTGCTATGGATGTTCGAAATATTGGAGGTTTACGTGCAACAGCTGATCATCTTTATAAACATCAAATTGCTGTTTAAAATGCAAAGCCATCTTTAAATATAAAGCCTCCAAAGCCTGTATGATTATTTATCATGAAAGCCTTTAGATTAAAAATAGAGATAAGAGAGTAAATACAATTCTGAAGATGATTTTAATAATGTATTAAAAACATTTAAAGCTGTTGTCTAAACAAAAAAAATGTAAAATTTTTAATTTATTTAAGTTTAGGATTGACAACGATTAGCCATTTATGAAAAAAAGAACTCCAAATAATAAAAATAAAAAAGAAAAATTTGAATAATATGAGCATGAAATGAATATTAAAGCTTAGAAAAGAAGAATAGGAAGTGCTGGTTCTATGTAAGAAAGAAAAAAGAATTATTTTGATCCTGTAGCACATCCTCCTGTTTTTTTTAGAAGGGAAGGTCAAAATTTATCAAATTGTCGACTAGATAATTTGATGTAATATATTGTAATTTATTTTATAATAATTCTAAAGTCTAAAGAATAATAGTCAGGAGAAAAAATAAATTTAAGTGCATCTATGAAGAAATGGTAAAGAGCTAAATCTCCAAATAAAAAATCAAAAATAAAAATAAATTAATTTGTTGAAGTGGGAGAAAAATAAGATGGAGAATTTGTTTATGATTTACCTAAATTAAAAGGTTAAGAAAAAAAAGATTATTATGAATTAAAAAAAGAACTAATAAGTATGATAAATTTATAATTTTAGTGATAATATTCAAACATAGAATCTATAAAAGTGAAGATTTAGAGGCTTTATTTGGTAGATTATTAATACATAATCCATCATTACATATGATTTGGATTGAAGATATCTTCAATGAAATAAGAGAAGAGTTTCTTGATTTTGAATGAAACATATATTCAAGAACCAAAATTGAAACTATACTAATAATAATATTAATTTCATTCTTATAATTTATTTTTTTAGCATTTTAACAATTCAGCTTTGTTTATTAATTACTGAATAAAAAATATAATGAAAAAAACAAATTAAAAAACTAATGATAATAATTTGAATAATTTAAATGGAGGAGGTTTTGGAGCTCGACCAAAAACATTGCTTTGTACAGAATAAAGTCATTTATAGGCACAATATGTGGAAGAGAATTTGGAACAGCATCTCTTGATATTCATCAAAAAACTTGTATAATAAAATATTAAAATGACCTCATGAATATGGATCCTGGACATAGAAAATAGATGCCTACAAGTAATAATAAATTAATTAATTTAATAGCTTAGTAAGTTTTATAAAAATTAGACTAAGAAAAGTAGTATAGATAATAAGGTGGTACAAAGGTTGGATAAAAGTCATAACAAGTTTTATATGAATAGCCTTAATAAGTTATGGCTCTTGTTGGAGTAAGATAGATTTAAATAAAAATAATAGTGCAGAAAATGTGGAAGAAGATTTAATCCTGATAGAATCAGAAAACATGAATCTGTTTGTATAGGACCTGAACCAGATATTTAAAAAATAAAAGAATAATAATAAGAATAGAATAAAAGGGCTGCAAAATATTTAAAGCCAAAAAAAACTGGTAAATGGAAATAAGAACATCTGGAATTTTAATAGGCTTTGAGAGAAATGAGGAAAGTTAGATAATAAGAAATATCAGAAGGTAGAGTAAATCCTTTTGGACATTAATAGTATGGTTAATCTTATGGAACATAAAATAAGTAGATACCAACAAAATATGGTAAAGGAAATTAATATCAATAAAATTATAATAATCGACCTTAATAATAATAATAAAAATAATCATATTAATAATAATAGTTTAATTAAAAAGGTTATTCATAAAGTGTTAAAACAACTCATAAGTAGCCTAATTTTGAATAATAATAGACAAAAATGTTATAAAAATCTCCAATATCTCAAATTACCTAAAAATAATAATATTAATAACCTATAAAAAGCTCATATAATGATGTTGGTTATGGAAGGCCTGCTTATAATGGTGGTGGAGCATGTAAATAATTAATTATTAATTAGCTTACTAAATTGCTCACTCAAATGTTAGTACATTTAGTTTATTTACATAGGATGGATAACCAAAAAACTATGATAATTATTAAAAAAATAATCCTTATGCAAAAAAGAATGGGTTATATTGATTATTAAGAATAATAACAATTAATTTACTCTACATTACTTTTCTTATTTATAAATATAACAATTACATCAATTATTATATAATAATAACATTATTTTAGATTCAATTATCTTTTTAATTGGAATTAAACACAAAATTCACAAGAATTTAAATAATTAAATTGTGAGTTTATTTATATTATGTTTATTTTTAAATTGCGGTATTATAATTCCTCAATTTTAACAGAACTAAATGCACGTTTTGGACTATTAAAGAAAGGGATGACAGTGATTGAATTGGGTTCTGGATCAGTACAAATTTACTTAATTTAGGGTCTTTGGACATAAACTTTAAGAAAAGCTATTGGTTCTAATAGAGATGATCCAAAAATATTTGCAATAGATGAAGTTTAATTACCAAATAGATTTAAAGATGGAGTAGTTTTTATTTAAGGAGAAATAGAAAAAAAGGAAACATTAATGTAGCTATAAAAACAACTTGATTTAAAACCTGTTGATTTGGTATGAAATAAATAAATAAATAATATAGATAATATCAAATTTAGAAAGTAGAAGTTAGAATGATAGAGATATTGATAATTTTGAATAAATTCGATTAAATAGAATAGCATTAAATATTGCTTTAAAAACTTTAAAAACAGGTGGAACTATGTTAATTAAAGCAAGAGATGGTTTACCTGAAGAATAAAACTAAAAATTTATTAGCCTTTTTTTTCGAGAATTAATTAAGGTGAGACCATTAACTGTTTAGCTAGATTTTATTAAACATTATTATTTAGGTTTAGGATTTAAATAAAGAGACGAATATTTGAAATATCCAACTTTTTTTTAAAAAGTTCTAAATTTTTAGGATGGTGAATTATTAGAAGAAGAAATTCCTCCAAGCTTTTAAACATAAGCTGAAAGAGATTTAGAAATATTAGAATTTTTACAATATGCTTCACAACATTAAATTGCTGTTACTTAAAGTTAAATAGATGAAATTAAATAGAATCCAAGATATAAAAATTTAGATTGGGAAAAATATCCACTTTTTATAGTTCCAGGTCCTTTGACAGAATATTAAGAATAAATGATCTTAATTGCAAGATATAATGGAAAATTAAGTTTTACTCCAAATACTAATTCAGTTGAATAAGATATTAAAGAAGGCTAAGAAATTATAAATAAAATAGAAAGAGCACTTCAAACGGATGAGAAATCAAGTGAATTATTAGAAGAAGGAGAAATTTTAGGTCAAGAGATTAAAGAAGAAGATGAAGAAATAAAATTAATGAAAGAAAAAATGAAAAATATAGAAAAAGAAGAATTGATTAAAAAAATGAAAAAAGAAGATTTAAATAAATTAAATAATTGGCTAAATGAATCTACTCTCAAATTTATTTCATCAAATTATAAAGGAGCTACACCAGAAAAGATTATATAAGATGAAATTGCTAAAGGAAATGTAACTAAAGAAGAATTACTAGAATATTTTGAGACTAACGAAAAAACTTTAATGGAAAAAGCTAATAGAGATTATGAAAATCGTAACCTATTTCATTAAAATAATAGATTTGTTAAAAAAAGCTGATAAAATAAACTAAAAAATGACTAAAGAACATAGATAAGAATATTTTAACCGAAAAAAAGTACTTAAGACTAGGAGACAATGAAATCATTTTATTTTTATAAATCTTTAATAAATAATTTTTTATGCTTATTATAATGTAAGATGGAGCTCCCTATCATAATTATAGGCAAACAGAATAAGATACTTAATATTAAGATGTAACCAATCGAGAATAAGAAATGAGAAACAGAAATTAAATATTAAAATCAAGAAGTGGCATTATCAGATTCACTATACCAGAAACTGAAGAAGCTACAGAATTAAGCCAACTTCTTAATTAAAATGGAATATAACCTATTATTGAACCATAAAGTTTTTTTCAAAAAATTTAACAAAAATACAATGATTTTGAAGAAAAATTTGAGTCCTATTGCACTTGTAGAATTCTGTAATAAAATTTAAGTTTTAGTCTTAATTAATTAATTATAACGATAGTGTATTGGAGTACTTTCTTTAGTGTTCTATCAGAATCTATAGTAAAATACAAATTTAATATTAGGCAATCCAAAATAGTTAAATAATAGAAAATGATAAAATACGTTAATAACTAGCTCAATAACTACCTGTATATGCTTTTTTATATACAATATCATCATAAATGTATTAATTTTAATAAATTTAGATGCTAGTAGAGAAAAGAATTTTTTTTATGGATAGTGTTATTTGGCGGTTTGATAATTACCCCTACTTTCGTTTTGATAGGATATCATCTTAATTTATTTGGAAATCATGAGGGATTTTCAGAAGATTATATAGGAGTCGGTTATTGCATATTAAGTATTTCAATTTTTATAAACTCTCTTGTAAACAGAGGACTTTTATATTTCATTCAAAAAGTATCTTCAGCACTTATTGCTACATTATTTAATTGTAGCTTTTGTGTTTTAATTTCATATTTTATTCTATTTAAAATAGTAGCATTTATATTGCTAATTTAATCAACCAAAATGGAGGATATAATGGATAATATCACTTCTATAATTGCTCCATCAACGTTTTTAGTAATTTTTGGTTTTTCTTTTTTTTTATTAAGAGGTTTATTCTATTTGAGATAAAAGACAATTAAGTAAGATTTATATTAGCTATCATTATATAAATATGCAGATGAATAAATTAAAGAAGAATATTTGAATTATAAAATGAATAAGAAAGCAAAAAATATATTTAAAAAATTAAAACTAGAATATATTGTTCCAATTTTTATTTCAATATGTTATGCTACAATTGAGATTATTTGCTACATTTATTTAATTTTAGGATTATAATCATATGAATTTGAATAAATCATCACTTTTGGTTTTTTACTTATAGGTACACCTATTTTTATGATACTTGGAATTGTTATTAGTAATTCAAGAATAAAGAAATCAAATTTATATTTATTTACATCTTTACTATTTAGTGTTATTTTAAGTGTAATATGTATTAAAGTATGGAGTTTAACTTTTGAAATTTAATATATAAAGTCTATTTCAAGACTAATTGGTATTTGTCCATTAATTATATCTTTGATGTGGCTTACAGTAGCATTTTTTAGATCTGAAAAGAAATATTAAAAGCTCTTTGTAATGTTTTTTTCTTGTTTTTCATTTGCTTTACCATTAGGAATCTTTTTAACATTTTAAGCATATTTCGATGATGAAAATTTTTACATAGCTGCTATTGTTTTAATTTGCATAGGCATAATTCCAATTATATTTCTTATTATTTATTATCTTATTGTCGTAATAATATATCTGATAAAATTGCCATAACAAGCAGAAAAATTGTTATTTTATGCATATGAGTATGTAAACTTAAAAAATTATGGAGTGTGGTATAATTCTATCTGCTATATATTATCATTTTATTTCATATGTTATTTTGCTTGGAATGAACCAATCACAGCAACTGGAACAAAAAAAGGAACTGTAATATATAATTTTATTCTAATAGATAATTGGTTTATTGAGTATTCACTCTATTTTATTTATTCTAACAAATCATGCTTTATCTTTTGAAGCCAAAGAGAAAAAGCCAGATATTGATGAAATAATACCTTCTTCATAAAAATTATTAAATAGAGTTTAAGACAGTACATTAATAGGTATATTACTTCCACTTATAGTCTTATTACCAATAGGTGTATCTGTAGATAATGAGGTAACTAAAAATGCATTAATAGCAAATGCAATAGGTTTACCTTTATCATTTTTATATTATAAATATTAGATTTCTCTAAAACAAGAATCAGTTCTTTATTAAGATTTTATTCAACCACTTGTTGTTATTTTAGTATGGACATTTATAATTGGTCCAATAGGAACTTTATTTCCAATTTTAGCAGATTATTATGAAAACTCTTCAGAAGAATTTGCTCTATTTGCATAATTAGCTGTAGCTTATACTATTTTAATTATCATAATTAGTGTAACAATAGTATCAATTTTTTATTCTGTTTTGTTAAACAAAGAATAATTAGAAATGAAAAAGAAAGAAGTTCTTAAAGTAGTAATGAAAGAATTTTCAGATAATGGTGTATATGCAACTGAAGAAATTTCATCTTTACTTTTTGTTAGATATGTTTAACATAGAAATGCAATTAAGTTATAAAATGATTTAATCAAAGGGGATCCAGTAAATATGTATGAACATCCAGATCCATCAGAAAATAAAAACATTAAAAATATTCTTGTTACAAAATAAGATTATGAAAATAAAATGAAATTAGAATAGCTTAAAGAAAGAAAACGACAAAGTTCTAGAAAGACTATAACTGCATCGATAGATAATTAATCTTTATCATCTGCAGATACAACAACGGAATAGAGAGAATAGAGTGGGTTTTTATAAGCAGTATAAGATTGTTTATTCTCATGTTTATTGTGTAAATTAGGCTATTATGAATTAGAAGAAATAGAAAGTTATAAAGTACGCAAAGAAGAAGTAGAAAAAGAAATCAAAAAGGAAAAAATTAGAAGAGAAAAATAAATAGCATAGAAAATCAGATCACAAAAGAGAAACTCTACTATTTTATAACTTGATAAAATTGAAAATGATTAATTTTTACCTTTAAAAAATACTCCTTAACGTTCAAAGAGATTTTGGTCAGCAGTCTATTAATTTTTTAATGAGAAAAATGACTTTACTTTAATTTTAGAGATTTTAGCATTAGAATATGATACTTAGACTTTATAGTAATATTAAAGCTTTTAACAAAAGGATGAAAAGTTTACTTTAAATGAAGAAGACTTTGCATTATTAATTTATGATAATTTTAGAGAAGAGAATTTATCTTATATAGAAATTCTTCAAAAAATAGCAGTAGACAAGTATTCCTATTTTTTATAAGAAATTCCTAATTTAAAATAATTGATAAGAGATTAGAATGAAGATGATAGCATATTTTCAAAAGAAATTTTAGACAAAATAAAAAATTTAAAAAATGATGAAAGAAAAAAATTAAATTAAATTATGATTCTAAGACCAATTTAGGGTTTAAAACAAGATTAAATATAAGAATAGATAAAATAATAAGAATTAGAAGAAATGTATAAGATTTAGATTGAATATTAAATAGAATTGGATGAATTAAATAAAAAATACAGAATATAAAGAGATCCAAGTGAATGCGAGATAAAATTATGGAAAATTTGTAAAAGTATACATACTTTTATATGGATTACACCAAAAAAATATACCTAAAAATTTATGAATTAATTGGCAGATCTTTATAGTAAAATTGCTCCTCTTCAACCAAAAGAAGATCCAATTAATGAAGATTGGAAGAAAATAGCTCCATTAATATGTAATACTTTAATTGATGAATTTAATAAATTTGATAGGAAGTCTAAAGAATAGGAATTTGATTTTAAACTTACAATAACAAATTTTTTAGCTGTGTTTTTAAGATGTTATGATTTATATGGATTAATAACATTAGCATTTGATTCTTAAGTTGGATGGTTGGGAAATAAATCTGAATTCAAACCTATAAAAATGGTTGATTATTCAGCAATTTGGAGTGAATATAACTTTTTCTTTTTTATGGCTATGGTGATGAGTATTGCTTATATAGTTTTAGGAATATAAGCTAGTAAATAAATAGCTGATAATTCTTTTGGTTATGATTAGGATGGATAAATAGCAGGAATTAAAAGTTTAAGATTTTGGCTTAGTAAAACCATATAAATTATAAGTGGTTAATTTATATTTGTAATGAAAACCTATATTGATGCTTTTATTTGTGATTACAGTGAATATCCATATACTTTGGTAAGACAGCCATCTGTAGAGTGTATGAGTGATTTCCATTTCTTATATATATCTTTAGCAATAATAGGTTGTGGAATATATTACCCTTTATCGACATATTTGTAACCTACTTTTTAATTTATGGATCGTTCTTTAGATCTAAAGTATAAATCAAACTTTGTAGTGTTATATATATAGGCTAAATTATTGATTTTAGGATCTAGTTCAGTATTTTCAAATTTATAAGAATCAGCATATTAATATTAAATGCTCTTGGCCTTTCTTGTAATGGCTGGATTAGTTTATTTCCATTTTAAACTAAATCCATCTTACATTAAATGGTTTAATACAGTAGATAGATCAATGTTACTTATTTTATGTTATGTATTTACAATTATTAATAATAGTTCTACTTTGGAGCATTTGTAATTATGTTAAGTAAAAGTGTTTATGCTGGTTGGGCAATATCTTTAACATTAACTGTTGTTACCTTGGCATATCTATTATATTTCTTAATTAAAGAATACAGAACATATAGAAACATCAAAGTAAACTAAGTGAGACCAGTTGTGGAATAATGAATTCTAAATTGAAGTTAGAGATCTTATTATTATTAATTATGAAAATCTTATTTTCAATATTTATAAATTATTCAAGAAGAAAGATTACTTTTTATTAAATACTTTCTTTATTAATTATAAATACTCATTCCAATAATTTAGGAGATTTTCTAGGTTTAGCATTTTTACCTACTTATTGAACTAGTATTATTTTGCTTTTTTGTTAGGTATTGAAATCTAAAATGATAATTTTATAATAATATTTTTATAATTATATGTATTTTTACCTTTTTCACTTTGATTCTAAAATTGAAATCAAAACCTATTTCAATTAATTATCTATTCATAATCATTAAACTAAATTCTTTCTACCAATAAACAAAATCATTAAAAATAACCAATGTTACTTAATTAATAACTTCAGGCCTCTTTTGCTTCTTAAGTATTCCTCGTTATTGTTTCTTCTTTATTTAAAATAGCAATTCTCAGAGTACTAAAGATAATTATTTTATCTTTGAATATTTGCATTATAAATATATGTTCCTACATTAGGTAACGCATATATGTTTCTGGATATCCTTAATCTTTAAAAAAAAATAGAAATATTTCTAATAACAATATTCAGTTATAAGAGGAAGTATTTTAGATTTTAATGTATTTCAAAATAAAATTCATATAAGGTCCTTCAGATTGTAAAGCTTATAAAAAATCATCTTTATATTCTAATAAGAAATGAAATCCATTTTTAATAACATCTCTAATTTCATTTCCTCTTAATTTTAAAGAATAGCTAAATAATTTATTTAAGCTTTTAAAAATATCATCAAAAATATCTATAATTTTATATTAGGCTTGAGTATTATAATTTGATATTATTTCAAGTGTAGATTATTTTAATATAGCAGAGTCAGCTAATTTTAATTCATAATTGATATCTTCTGCTTCAGCAATTCCAAATA